AGTTCACACTCTTTCCTCTCCTCCATCCCTTTGCCCCCCCCCCCCCCCCGAGGTCTCTCTTCACCGTGGGGAGTGTGACAGGAAGCACTAGAGGAGTCTGGCCCTGGTTGTGAAAGCACAGCTGCTTTTCATTACTGGCTCGCTGTCAGGCAAGGCCCCTGAAGGAGATCAGCTTGGAGAAGGTTCTCTGTTGTCCAACAGATTGGCCAAACTTACTTTCCTTGGGTTGGGATCGCCAGCCCAAGTCTTCCTCAGCCCCTCCTTTCCACAGTAGTTCTTCCAGCCCTCCAGAAATGATACACAGAATCAGAGGACCCCGTGGAGTGGGGTGACCTCTGGTGTGTGTCCCTGTGGAAGGTTCCCCGGTGCCCGCGATCCATTCCCATCCGGAGCAGCCATCCCTCGAAGGGGCGCTGGCTTCTGCTGCCCCAGGGAGACATTGCGTAGGGCGGGACGGAGGTGTCCTGGTTTGCTTGGGTACGGCCCTGCCGGGCAGACCCACTTTTCTGGGCAAACATGGATTTTCCTGAAATAGCTTGGAGATGTTGCCAAGGCCAGACGCAAGGGACGGCAGTCAAGCATACAGCACATGGCTACGTTCCGAGAGCCACTTCTGCAAACGGGCGTGCAGGACTCCGACTTGGGGGCTCTCAAAGGGGCTGGTGCCAGTCCCGGAGAAGGCTGTCCGAGACCCCTCGCCCTGGCGGCTGAATGCTCCCCGCACTACCGGAGGAGGCCCTCCCGCATCACTAGGGAGCACAGCCAGGAGGCTCCTGTGGCTTGGGGGCTCCGCGAGCACCTGGCTGGCCACTGTGTGAACCGGGTACCGGCCGGTTTTTATAAAAAGAGCAGGGCTCTTTTTATGTTTGTCAGCTCACACTCGGAGTTCTGGAACAGCAGGGCCAGGCCAGAGTCCAGAAGTCGGCAAGACAGACGCCCATGCGAGAGGCACAGTCGGGAAAACAGGGCAGGCACTTGGAGCGGCAGCCATGGGCTGCTTCCAGCACGGCTGAGGTGGAAGTGGGAAGCATGTGATTTATTTATTTATTTAGGCTTAGGGTAGGATTCCTGCTGCTGCGGAGGCCTTTCCTGCTCACGATCCGGCCTGCCTTCTCAAGGGGCCCCCACCAGCCCCTTCTTGGAGCTGCACACTCCCGGGTTGTCCAGCTTCCTCAGCAACCGAGTCCCCCAGCCCTAGAAGTCCCATCTCCCTCCTGGTCTTCTCACGTGGGCTGATCTGGGTGCTCTCGACCTTGGGGAGCTCTAGTTCCCCCTGAGAAGGCTTCCTGCAGTGGGGGCATGACAAGAAGGGGCCCTAATGTGCGGCACAGCTGCTGCTTTACACCAAGAAGGTCCCCTGAGGAGTCCCTGCAGCTTCTCCAGGCAGGAAGTCCGGCTGTGGGGATTCCACTGACCCCATCCTCTTTCCTCTGACCCCTGTTTATGTGGTGGGTTTTTGGCCTTTATGCAGAATTGTCACATTCTGAAAGGTGAGAAAGGCTCCCCCAAGTCAAGTCGTCATTCTTGGCCATATCAGCTTTCAGGTGCAAGTTTAGACAGGAAAAAGCCCCCAGCCAGCACCCTGGATTCATAGGCCCCCTTTCTTTCTGAAATTGCACATGATTATTGTGTTCTTAAGTTCCAACGGCCTGGAATGAAGCCTGGAAGAGGCTTAGCTGTGCTGGCTGGGCCATGCTGAGAGGCATGGGCCTTTTACTGTCCAGGCTGGTTAAGGACTGTGCTTAACACAATGGTGTTGTTTTGGCTCAGCCCCTTTGGCCTTTTATCCTGACCGCCATTAACATCCCCCCCCCGCCCCCCAAATGGAATTTGGCCCTTGGAGTGGAAGGAGATTCTCCACCCCTAGCTAAGTAGAGCTGCCCATCTCTTCCGACCAGTGACGGGGACCCTGTTTTGGTGGCATTGTCCCATGACAGGAGAATTAGCTGTTTCCACACAAGTCTCTGGACTCTGTCCCAACTGCTCTCTTCCAGAATTTCACCAATCTGTTTGGACAGCCGCTGGTGTGCCTGCTTTCTCCCACAACATATCCAAAAGCATTGCAAGGTAGGACAGAGTTTCACGTTTATTGCATTGGCATGTCATGCTTCCAGAATGTCCGTGAACAAGGCCGCGAGCTTTCCGGATTAACAGCGGCCGACAACACCCTTTTCCCTTCGATTCCCTGAACCACCGTGAGCCTTTTGTGGGGAGGGGTTACTGGGTTAGAGCATCTGTCTTCTGGGATCACTCAGTAAGCGTCTCATGGACATACTGGCTGAAGCTGAGATAAGCCGCCCATCAGCACCCCTGGTGAAGAGGTGCCGATGCCGTCGGCTCTCTCAGGAACAGGGCACGCCTCTTCCCCACAACTTCAGCCGACCGTGTCCTGGCTGCCTTCACTTGGTGCTACCTGCAGAATGGGTCGACCGGGCCGTGCCATCCCGCTCTGCCTTGTGTTTTCTGCCCTGCCACCGGAGGAAAGAACATAAAACCGTTCAGGGAGGGGTGAGGGGACCGTCTTTCAGCCTGAGGACAGAATTCGGGTTTAGAGACGGCCTCCCAGTGGCAGGCAGGGCCTAAGGCCAAATGGCCCAGGGCAAAATACACCCCAAGCACACTGTGGCTTCTTCCTGCCACGAAGAGGCATTTAATACTGTTGAAACGGGGGGAAACTGCACAGAAGCCAGGAAAGCAGCAGGTGACTGGCAGCTGGGACAAAGGAAGGGACCGTGCCATGTGGGGCAGCTGGAGGGGCAGCTCCAGTCCCTGACTCTGAGGGTCCGCACTCTTGTGGTGACCCACCCTGGGCTAGCCGTGTTGCTGCAGGATGGGGCGTGGTCCCGTGTGCCAAAAAACAGGAGCGTTTGTCAAAAGGACCACTTCTGAGCCAAAGGTTATGCGCATAGACGTCCTCTGTTCTGATGGTGTGTCCCCTCTCTTTTGGCCATGCGTAAGTGGCTCGCACAAAGGACACTGAGAAGGGAACGGGAAGGCAGAGCCTCCACTGGCTTTTAGGTTCCCACTGACGTGTTGTCTGGGTGTGACGACGGGCGTGTGTTGTCTCCCGTGCCGTTGCGGCAGAAGCTTGGCTGGCCTGTCCTTAGGGGCTTGCTTGGCTGGACAAATTTAGTGGAAGACACTCTGTGGACTGACTAGTGGATCTAAAGGAGGGAGCTGAATATTTGCTCGACTTGAAAGGCTCTCTATATCTATTAACTTTCCAACCCATTTTTCCAGTCCCTATAACTGTAAATGGTTCTGGTGTGCCTCTCTCTGAGAGAGCTGCCCCCTTACTGCTACTTCCCCGCATGAAGTCCCGTCTGGTGACATAATTTGTGGCTCAGGAAGGTGGTGGTCAGCCACGAATGCATGGGAGGCGTTGGAGACTTCACCGTTTGGCTGTGGAGGTAAGTTCTATTATGCACCAGGAGGCTTTGCGTAGAAAGTAAGCACTGTTCCTGCAAAATAACCCTCCCTTTTAGTCCGGGGGAACACTGACAATAATAGAACTTGCCTTGGTTTGTCCTGAACGAAAACACACGCATGCACCAAACGGTGAAGGTCTCCAGCGTGGGAGAGAAAAAAGGAGGGGGTTCTCTTCTCTAATGTATGTACACCTTACATACAGTCATCTTTCCTTTCTCCTTTGCTGCTTAGCCTTAACAATGTGAAACAGAGCTGAGAGCTAGTCAGGCTGAAGGGCCAGCTTCCACTGTGGTGGATAATTGAGACGGTACTTGGGGGAAGAGCATTTTTGTGCGATTCTGGGTGGGCTTGGGGGTCGGCTCCTTCGAGGTATGGTGCCTCTTTTCTCGTCAGTTTACACGAGGTGTTGCTGGCGCTAATTAGCAGTTCACAGCAGTTACCACCCAGTGAGGGGGCCCGCTCTCTCACCACAGTGGAGGTGCAGAACTAGAGGCCAAATAGAGCCTTTTGGGATCCCAGCCCAGCTGCCTGGCACCTTCCGGGTGGCTGTGCCCCTTTTCTTGGCTCAGCCTCTCTTCCTCCACAGTCATGTATAGATTTGGCACCCGCCCCGTTCTCAGCAGTTCAGATGTCTCTCCTAAGGGCCCTCAGCTCAGAGAGGCTGGTAGTTTTTGTTCTTTGGTCCTGGCCCTTTAGCCCCACCCACCTCTTGAATGCGGCCCCTGAGAGCTTTTCTGAAGTGGAATTTGGCCCTCAGGGCTCAGAGGTTGAACACGCCTGTCCCCACTGGCTTGCCAAAAGCCTTGCATTCTGGAAACGTCACACTTAACTTCTTTAGCCAGACTGCAAAAATGCGAGGAGGCTTCTGAAGCTGGTTATTTGCTGGGCTTTACATTCATTTGCCACTGCTGTAGGCGGAGCAGGCGAGGAACCTAAGTGAAAATGGCCGCACAGATATGATGCTGTATGCGGAAGAAAACAGGCCTTCATGTGGGTTGGGGGAATTGATTTTGCAGTGGCAAGAACGGGCTGCTGTCCCGTTTGTCTAAGCCCGTCTGAGTTGTGGGGAGCTGACTTGGGGCCCGTCGTAGCGTTTTGCGGTGCCTCTGCGCATCACACTTGAAGGCTGCAGAGCTGTTGCTGCGGCCAACTCTCTCCTCCTCTGCTCACTCTCCTTGCTCTCATCCGTTCCATACGCTAAGCCCACTGCCTCTTCTTAACTTCCAGATCAGTCTCAGCGTGGCAGCCTCTTCAGCTTCTTTCTGAACAACCCTTTAATGGCATTCCTGTTTGTCTCTGGATTATCAAGCATGCGCAAAGGATTGTGGGACAAGTGTCACGACTACCTTCGCAAAATTAACCGGGATATTGCACAGTTGCTGACTCATTCCCGCTCCATAGGTACGTCTTTGACCGAAGGAGCTTTGCAGCCAGGGCAAAGAGTGAGGATGATGTTTCTGGGCTTTAAAAGTGCTGCGTCTGGGGTTGGGGAGGAACTTCGTCCCCTTGTCCTGAAATTTGCAATGATGGCGTTTTTAAAAACAGCTTTCTCTAAGAACCAGTTGTTCCTCTCTGCAGACCAGGCCTTTCTCCAGTTTTTCGGAGATGAATTCCTTCGCTTACTTCTAACCAGATTCATCTTCTGCTCGGCCACCATGAGGATGCACAAAATCTTCCGGGTATGATGGGAAGTTCATTCTTCTTCGCATCAGATAGATATTAGCTCGGTCCTCTCATAATGCCAGCTCAGGCCATGGGTTGTCAAATTCTGGGTTGCCACAGTGACCACATTAACATTTCACAGGGAGTTAACCACAAATAAGGAAAATTCATGCTTTGGTGTTGGGTTGTAAGCTTTGGATTGTTTAAACCACACGCAGTTGTCACATGTAAATCTAGAACTGTCAGCAGTTGGTGGATTTTTTGGCCAGGCTACCAAAAGAGGCACCGAAACAAACCCTCGTCTGCATCGCATGCCGGCAGCACTGCAAAGGCAGCTGGGATGGTGGTGCGCAATCGTGGGCAGTGGCTGATTCATTCTGGGATGTTTAGCCAATAAACAGCCTGGAGTGTCTGTGTTTGTGCATCACGAAACAACCTAGGAATGGCGTGTTTTTGGCTTGTTAACGGAGGTCAGCACTGGCTCAGGCCCACTGCTGAGCTGCGCCAAGTCCCGGGTTAAAGGCTAAGGTAGGAACTGCTTTTCACTAGCACAGGTGTCGGGGACAGAGTGAGAGACAGGTTGAACCAGCAGGTTGCAGTGGCCACCAGGAAGAGCTGCTCCGGAGGGCTCTTGTCTGTGAGCCCCTGCTCAGGTGTGGGCCTTGGAAAGTGCCCAGCCGTGGTGACCAGTGGTGCACAGCCACAGGCAAAAGGCAAATTCCCATTTGTATTTATTGCATTACGCTGAGAAATTATTGTCTACATGCCTGAATTGTAGAAGACAGCTGCAGTGCGCCATGAGCCAAGGTCAGCTACATAAGTCCTGACATGCATTTTCCTTCATGAAGACTGGACTGGGCAATTGAAATGGCTGTTCTTTCTTCCCTTACCCTTCTCTTCCTGTAGCAGGAAACTAGGAATTATCCAGAATCGTATCCCCAGCTGCCAAGGGATGAAACAGTGGAGAATCCACACCTCCAAAAGCACATCTTAGAGTTGGCTTCCATGCTGGATGTTCGAAACGTATTCCTGGAAACCACGCTGGATGATTATTAAAAATGGAAACGCAGAATCCTGGCTTTCTACTGCAGGGTTTTTTCCCAGCCACAGATTTTTTGAAATGATGCAGTTTTCTAATGTGAAAATCCACAAAAAGGAACTTACTTGATTTTTATTTTTAAAGTTACGATTATTTTTTTAACCAATAAAAATGGCTTGGCTGTGGGCACGGCTGTTCCATTCTGTATGGGGTCAATTTTATAGAGGAATTCCTCCTTTTAAAAATTTTAGACTAAAGAAATCCCTTGAGTTTTAAATTTTGATTTGGCAGTTGAACCCAGCCACATGTCACAAAGTATTTCAATGCTGTTGGTCACTTTTAGCCCTTGTGTGTGGAAATCCTTTATTTTTGTACACTTTTTAAAAAATTGGAAGCAAAAAATGGAGGAGGAGAGGGGAAAGACTCCCAAAAAAAGAACTGTATATTCCATCCCGAAAGTATTCTGGATTTGAAATGTGAAGGGTGGGACCACGTTGTGGAAATCAGCCATAGCAATAAAGGAGTCTTTTGAGACGATCCACTTGGCCACTCCAAGAAAGGAGATCTTGAAGAGGTAGCCCAGCGATCCCATTCAAGTGAAATGCTGTTCCCTCTAAATTTGTTATCCAGATGTAAAAGCAACATCGTACTGGGGCCAAAACCGCCGGTCTCTGGCCTGACCCTGCAGCGCCGGCTCCTGCTGTGCTACCGCCTCAAGAAAGGGCCCCCCATCTCTTTGTTGGACCACGTACCTCTTGCACAGCCATGACCTTCTGAGGATGGCCAGAACTGCTCTGGATTCTGAAACCCTCCGAAGGAGGCCTGCTTTCCACTGTCGCTCCATGAAGGACCATCTCCCAGGCTAGAAATGAAGAGCAGCAGCTTTCTGTGCACAGGGAAACACGGCGAGCAGTGGCTGTGGCAGTTGGACTGCAAAAGAACCCTTTCCTCCTGCTCTCCTACAGCCCAGGAGGGTGGTTCCCGCCATCGCCTCAGTCCACCGATGGTGCGCTCCCGGGCCTCCTGAGAATGGCCAGCGCCGGGCCTCCTGAGCCTGGAACGGCCGGAATAACCCTCGCTCCGGTCGCGGCATGGCTCTCGTGGCTCCCCTGCGGCCCAGGCGTCGTCTTGGCCAGAGCTGCAGTGAGGCATCTGTTACTGTTTTTACAGGTCTTCTCCCCACAGGACCCCTTCATAGGCTGGCCAGAATCTTGTAGTTGTTGTGGGGGTTTTCTGCCAGGGCACTGGGGCAAACCAGCTTGGTGGCCACCCGAATGGAACTGCTTGGGAGCACTCACCTGGGAATGGAGAGGGAGAGCCTGGAGGTGCCAGCACCAACAAGGCACTGCTCTCAAATGGTCCCCACCCCAAAACAGGGCAAGCCGGAGCTCTTGCTACCACTCCTGAAGCAGGAGGGTCTGTCCCTGAACCTACAGCGAAGCACAACCACTTCGGGAGGCCTCCAGCTCTCACTTCCTTGCCCCACCTGCAGTCCATAACCAGCCCGTGGCATGGAGGAGCCAAGAAGGAGGTGATGCTCCAGAGTGCGGCAACCAGCTTGTCACACCACGATGGGTCAAGGACGTTTTTCAGAGGAAATGCCCCGTGCAGGAGCCCAGCAGTGCCTGTGCCTGCACATGGCCGTCTTGGGGACAGCCCTTTCCAGGGGAGCGGGGCCGCTGTGTGGCATTTGAGGCTTGGTTCCGCACGGAGCACGTGTGCAGTGCACATGCTCTTACAGCCGAGCAAGCCTGCATGCTCGTGACAATCGCGGGGGTCATTTTGAGACGTTCGGCAGAGAACGCAAGTCTTTCAAAGTGAGTGTCGGACAGAGGCTGAGAGGGGGAAGGACAGGGCAATGCCCCTGGGCGTGTGTGGGGGGATGTTTTGCCTGAGAGTAAACCCTGTTTTGCTTGGAATCTGTTCCAACAGGCTGTCGTGAAAAGTGCCGTCCAAGATCACGGCCCGCACGCTGGGAGCAGCAGGACTGAGCTCTGTTGCTGAGCTGCGGAAGGTGGTGGCTGGCACGCGACAGCAAGAGGTGCCTTAGGCCGGGCGTGACGTGCAATGAAAACATGGGCAGTGGGGTCGGGCTTGCCAAGCGCAGGCGGCCCTGATACGCCTGGCTTTAAAATACCTTCACTTTTCAGCAGGCAATCAAAAAAGCAGTTTAATGGCAGAGTTGGTTAGGTTTGGTAATGGGGCTTTTTCTCCTGTGGTGCTTTGTTCTTTCAATCCCTTGTTACCTTTTTGTTTTGGTAATGTTAGTATGGGTGAAAAGCGTTTCATTATGTGTATATGCACTCTGCCTGCCATCATGGGAAAGAGATGCTTCCTGTAAATGTGCCTGTATATATGTAGATATTAAGATATATTTATAAATATATATATATATATATATATATATATATGATTGCTTGGGAACTATATGTATACAAAACAAAGATGTATACACCAGAGCTGAGCAAAATGCACTCCAGTGTCCTGAACGCCGTCCTCGGTCAGTGATCGCTTGAGGCAGCCATTCAGAGGTGGCGCTCGGAGCTGTGGGGGCCAGTGAAAGGGCTCCTCTCCCCAAGTGATCCGGGGGTGATTGTGTCTCACGCCCAGGGGGAAGCACATCATTTAGTGACCTAACAGCAACCACACGAAGCTCCCCAACCAGGCTTCCGGCTCGTGATAAGGAACACTAGTTCAGCACAATTTCCATTTTTTATCCATCTCGGGTGAAGCCGTTCCTTGGGGAAGTCGCTGAAAAAGACCGTGCTTCTGTGTGCTTCCTGCAAGCAGTGGCTGGCTATCGAGAATGCCCTCTTCCTTCTTGGGCGGGAGGGGGTGTCCGTCGTTCAACACGCTTCCTTTGGTGGCCCGGGGAGACCTTGTGGAGGTCCCACACTGGCTTTGTCTTGCTCCATTTGGCCAACATTCGTGCTGAAGCAGTTCATTGGTGTAAGCCTGGAAAAGAAGCATCTCTTGAATATTTGTTGACCCTGTAGGTGCCGGGCAGGGCAGAACTCTGTGTGCGGTTCAACAGAACAGGCGTGCAAAATGCCAGTGAGTACAAGGCGATTGAAGTCAGATACTCATTCTTCAAACAGGCTGCTGCATGAGTCTTGATGCAAGTTGTCTCAGCTTTTCTGGCACGGGTGCAACAGCGCCAGGTTTTTAATATAATTTATCTGAATGTTAACTAATACTCGCCATCCTGCAGGGGTGAACTGCACCAGGGCTGAAACAAAGCAGGAGTTGTGGGAAGAACGTGTTTCCAGCTTCATTATGAACAGGACAATCAAAGGCGGAGGGGTGTCCTTCACTGCAGCAGCTCCAAAAATGCCCTAGATCAACATAGCCATTGGCCATGCTGGCTGGGAATGATGGGACTTGCAGGCTAACAGATCTGGAAGGCACCGGGTGGAGAGGTCTGCCTTACATCATATAAGATATTTTTGACGTAGCCCTCAAGGGCAGCGGGGGCACTTGCTGAATGGAGGGCGGGTCAAGGCTCCCCTTTTTGGGGGTTACTGGAGGTGGCTTGCACTCCGGGTTGCCTCTGGTCATGCACTCCATGGGGCAGGAGCTCCCATCAAGCGGCAGGACAAATTCTGCTGGATCAAAGCCATCCCATCAATCTATTTTTGAATTGTGTTTTTGGCACTCATTGGTTTTAAAATTAGAACAGTATGCTGGAGAGAAATCAAAGGGCCTTATCAGATGTATTGCCCTTTGTATCCCTTTTAAGTTTTTGGATTCTATTGATCCTTTAAAAAAACTAAGATGATTTGAAAAAAAAAAAAGTCCTTGTGGTTGCTAAAATCAGGTGAGTGAGAAAAGAAACTAGCTCAACCCTATTCATTCCTGCTGTAGATCTAGCTTTGAAACCTTAGTATTTTTCCTCTGTCATGGTGGATGTTGTGTTGGCTACACACATGCGGCACCATGAACAGATTTTATGGGGAGGTACCACAGATGAGTGGTAGGACATCTGGCTGGAATCCCCAGTTTAAGAACAAACACCCGCGCACCTGTAGCTTCAAGCCTTTTGAGTTCTCTCCCAAGCCCCTGGAAATGATCACCTGCGGTTTGTACAGATACTCTCTAGAATCTGTTCTTGAGAAAACTCTCAGGTGTAAGTTTCCAGCAGAAGCTTGCCTCGGAAGAATGTGGTATATGTCTTTCTGCGTATAGACACTATTTTTCTTCCTTTATGAGCCAGAAGGATGGGCTTGTGTGATGCCTAAGAAGCTTTGGCGCAAGGAAAGGCAAAACAAGGGTGCAGACAGTTAAATAGCTCGGACTTGTAAGGGTGAACGTGTCTAATGCTTAGCCTTCCTTTGGCTGCTGCCTTAAGAAGCCTTGCAGAATTGCTAGGCACAAGACGGTGGTTCGGCTCTTCATGTGCACACTTGGCTAGCACCCCCCGCCCCAGTTGTCCATGGGGCAGCCCCGGTGTTGCAGTGATTCGGTCCAGTGTGCCCCGTCATCACCACGGGCCCTGAAGCAGGCGGCACCCAAGCAGCAGGGAGCAGGCACTCCTGGCCCTCCTCTGCATTACCAGCTGATTCATTCATTCACTTGCTGCGGTAAATGGGATTTCTGGTGCTACAGGTTGGCAAAGTCTTAATGAACTATTAATTGGTGGTGACTCCTAGAACAATAACTTGGCTCTCACTGTGTAATTTAGCAGGTTTTTGAGTGTGATGCTTTTACTTGCCAGATTATCAAACAGTGGGTTGACTCCAGATTTAGCTAGACTTGGGGCTAAATGACACATATTCAGTACCATTGCATGCAGCTGAACTTTGCTGCTTGTTTACCTGGATTGGGACCTCTGTGTTGGCAGGTCTCAATCTTCCCAGCCAGCTGCTTACTCTCCTTCTCTCAAAATGGCCCCTCCATGAGGGGGCTAAAATAGGAAAAAACCTTAACTGGCAATAATGGATTTTTTTTTAAGTTTCCATGTTGTATGGCAGGAATTTAGGTTAAAAGTGTCTGGGAAGGTTTATGCCTCCCTTCTCTGCATAAGAGCAGCCCCACACACTTTCTCTGATGTAACCGCCCTCCCCACAGCAGTTGGTTAGACTGAAATTAGTTATGGCTAACATCTACCGCTGATTTCAGTAGTTTTGCTCAAAATAGGAACAGACCCATTGATCACAAAGCTGATGTTTTTATCTGAAAGGGCTGCTTGGAAATTGCTCTTGGAGACCAAGAAATCGCTGTCCAGAAAGGCAACTGGAATATCTTTGTGGGGTGGGGGGTTCCTGGATTCAGGTGAATCTCCAAAAATCCATTTGATATTCATTATCCCAGTGGTCATGAGATCAGGAAGCAGACACATCTGCTCTGTACAGATCAAATTAGCTGAAATTGAAGAGGAGAGACTGAATAATGTTTTGGATTGCACTTGCCATTCCATTGGCTTCAGAATCCTGCCAGAATTTTTGAAGGCACCTTCAGCTTGTCGTCTTCTTCTCCAGACAATGATGCAAGGTCTGCTTGGGGTTTTCTTGCACTTGGATGATAGTGCTCCCTTCTCCGGGATTAATTCTTGTATTGTAATGCACCAGACACAGGGCTGCTGTGAGAACTTCTACAGCAAAGGATGAGACAGCTCTGCTTTGTTGTGTCTGCTGTTGGCCACCCTAGCCAGATGGTGATCATCTTTGGCACTGCTGAATCCACTGTAGATTCTTCACATTCAGGCTATAATTAATGAGCTGCTGTCAATGTTTGTCTTCTGCTGGGTTGCTCGGAATCTTGAAATACTGGCCTTTTGATCCATCAGAACTGTTTTTCAGCCCTTCCTTCTATCTTGACATCTCTCATTGCCTGGGATGCAAGATCTCTACACTTCCCAGATCATTATGGAGGATTCTTTAGGAATTAATCCTTTGCGGACAAGGGTGAGATGGTTTTCATAGATGTAGGTTTGAATGCACAAAGATACAGGTTCAGTTTTCTTAGAATGACATAAAGAAGCTACTGGAGTGGCCCAGAGATCTAAGTCTTATCCTGCTTTATAGTCTTGTATTGGTAATCAAAGCCAATGCCTTTTGGCAACAGTTTCAGCATCTAGAGTTTGCTCTATAAAATGTGTCTGGACTCTAAATTTGTTTTGTACTTCCCAGGACTACAATGGCATGGCACACAGCTGCTGGGAAGCAAGTTTTAGTAAAATAGCTGGACACTTACGGAAGTAAATGTGAGAGAAATATGAACTAGAGATGTATATATTTGCTACTAAGTGAGAAACCACAGAATTGACCATGAAGTTAATTTTAATAGAGCCATCCTAAGCAGCCGTAAGGCATGGACAAAATCTCATCAATATACGATGCCATAGTCTAAAGCACCAAAAACACACTTTCCTCATTTTGCCCTGTTGGGGCAACCAAGTGGAGACATGCAAAGGAAAGAAAGAAAAGACAGAAGGTTTCCTACGAGAGTGAAGTGCATTTTGCTTTCCTTTGGAAGTGGGAGCTTCCTACAGAGGATGCCTTTGTAGGTGAAGCATCTGCAAATGGGTTGCGGGCTGTTTCTGTTTGCTTAAAGCGCTACCAACTGCTTATTGTTTCAGTGTGGTTTTGCTTGGGAGGCTGGGACTGGCAAGGACCGAGCAGCCGCTGGCAGTTGCAAGCAGTCACCCCTTGGGCAGTGCAGACATTTGATGTGTGAGAGTCTCGCTTGACTTTTGGGGTAGCTTTGAATCCTAATGCCACTAAGGCTTGGTCACTGATTCCATGGTGGACCGTTTAAGCCTGTGCTTTCAGCACCACCTGCATGTTGGTGCGTATTTGAGTGGAAAAATGCGTAATGCTCTCAGCTGTGGCGATTCTTGGAGCCCTTTCCTCATATGGGCATGTTTGAATAATGCCGCCAAAAAGCATACATAAATTCTGTAGTTAGAAATAGAACTGAATCCTGCTGCACAATCAGAGGGGGACATTCAAGCGTAGTCTGAATAACAGGATAATGGTTTGGGTCCAGATTTCATCCTACTGCAAGCAGATCCATATTTCCTGGAAGCTGCAGGACTTGCTTCTCTCTGAACTTGAATAGGTTTGTACTCAGAAGTTTCAGGGTGACGTGGGTGGCTCGACTCTTAAGTAAGGTAAATCGGGAGCCAACCCAGTGCCAATAGCTTTAAGTCGGGAAGGGCCATGCGTGCACCACAATGAAGATTTCAAAGCCTGCATAGAACAGGGTTCCTCACTGAAATTCTCGCGAATTTCTAGCTGAACCTAGAATGGCACATTCCCAACCCTGGTGACAAATGTGTACTTAAAAAAAAACAAAACAAAACCAGCAGCAGCAGCTTGTATTAGAAAGTAACATGCCTGACGTGTGGGGGTTTCTTTTTTCCTTTTTACAAACATGTCTTTTATTTGGAAGTTGTAATACATCTCTTGGTAAAATACTTTAGTAATCTGTGGCAAATGCTCATCTGTAATTGAAATGTTATTAAACTGTGACGCCGGTTGTGGGGAATTCACAGCTGTGTCCCTTAGGATCTCTCTCACGAGGAGATTGAAGCACAAGCGTTTTCCATGTGCCGAACCCGTTCCCAGTGCTGCTAGCGCATCATGCATGTGATGCCGCTGTAGGGTAATCTCCGTATTGGTTCGCAGAGCCACTTTCTGTTACGCACGTCTCTGGTGCCCATGTCTCCACAGTACGACTTGCGGTTTCCACGGCATTCCTGATCCGACCAGCATCGTTCGATGCTTTCCTTGTGCTGAGAAGACTGGGGTCCTTCTTGTTTACAAAGCTGTAAATGGCTCCCTCCATTCCCGTGGCTCCCGCTACCAGTTGCACTCCCCAGTCGACGTGGAACCCTGTTGTCTGTCTCCTGTCTGTAGTCCCTCCAGATGGCCTCCGCCACACACTCCACCCCGAGCCCTGCCCTCTCCCCCATCCTGCTGTGCACCTTTCCTGGTTTGTCACACGATATGGATAACTCGTACTGTAGCTTGTGCAGATATGTTTCCAGTGATTCAACGAAAGCTGTCTCAGCAAGGTGGTGATGCTGAGGCAAGTGGCAAATTTTTGTACACTTCCAAGCATTCACCACACCCTTCGATTTACCGCTGCTGGGAAAACTAGTCCACTGAATAAAATTTCTGAGCTGTAACACTGTGACTCTCGGCAGACCCAACATAGCATCAAGGGAACAAAATACTGTAAAAATGATATTATTGATAATAATATTGCTTTTATGTTGTGTTAAGTAACAAGGTTATGACATTTCTGGGATTTTGCAGTCAGTGTTGAAGACTTTCATGTTGGTTAATGTTCGCTTGGAATGTGAGTGCATCCATCAGTTGTGAATTACTGTACATGATTTTTGTATCTGAGACCCACTCAAATTATATGTATTACCAATATACAATAAACATATTTGCTTAATGGTGTGTGTTTGTGTCTTGAGGATCCGATTTGAGTGTGCATTTGAATGAAAATAAAAGTATGAAGGCTCCATCAAATGCATGTTTTGACAGGAAGAAGGCCTACAATTTCCAGCATAACCCCAGCCAAGCATAGGATGACACACTCCCAGTTGAAGGCTCAATGACAACATGATTCTCAGAGTTTATGCCACTGATAAATAATTTACTCTTCTCAGTAAACTGAGAAGGGAATTATTTTTTTTCACAGCTTTTGGGTTGTGCTCCCTCTGACTTTGCTTTCTTTTTGCTACCATGTTTATCACAAACCATAGATCATATTTTTTATTTAATCAGATTCTTAGAAAAGTTTTGTTAAGACATGATAGCTTTATGGAAGTGTAATTGCTCTACATTTGTGATGGTTTGTGATGCAGCCCTGGCCAACAGGCACTTATTCCAATACAGTGGTACCTTGGCTCGCGAACTTAATCCCGCTCCAGGACTCTGGTAGTGACCCAAATTGGTCATGAGCCAAGTTAAATTTCCTCATAAGATTCAATGTAAATAAGGTTAATCCGTTCTGTAACTATTTTTTTTTACTCACAAAAATTTGAAGCAAAGTGACAAAGATCCTGGCCATCTTCCCCACCCCCAACGATCATGCGGGGGGGGGGTGGAGAGATGGCCGCGATCTTTGTTGTCACTTTGCTTTGTGCGCTGCGTGGGGGGGGGGAGACTGGCGCAATTGCGGGCACACTTGGGCAGGGAACACGGGTGCAAGCGCGGCCATCTCCCCCCCCTCTTCCCCAGCACAACCACAATCGCACCCGTGCAGGGAGGGTGGGCTCGCTCGCGATAGTCACCCGATGCAGAGTTCGCGACCTGCGGCAAAATTTTCATGAAATTTCTGTTCGCAACCTGATTTGGTCATGAACTGAGGTGTTGGTGAGCTGAGGTGCCGCTGTACTGAGTTTTCACCCTCCAGTTGGTGGCCTGCACCTTTTGTGCAGTTCGAGTTCATTCCAAAATGAAGATCCAGGGGCTTAGGAAATACAGGTTTAAAAACTGGCTCAGTCCTAGAGAAATTACCTTTCTTGATCCTGTCCATCTGAAACCACCTCCTTTTTATTTTTTTAAGCAGTGTGTGAAGGACTCCTAAGTTTACAAGTTCCATGCCCTGTAACTGAATCCTTGGCCTTTGTGCATTGGGAAGAACTGCACAAAAGCCAGAAAACACCCAGTGATCGGGGTGGGAGGGAAAAGGCTGTTGGGGCCACTGGGGAACCTCAGCAGGCCCAATTTGCACTCCACCTGCGCGGAGCTGGGACAATACATGCTCATTATAGAAACCAGGCAGCTCCTTCCGCAGTTGTGCCTGCCACGTGGTTCTGTTTCCAAACCCATCCGGTTGCTACAGGACGCCTGGGCTATTGAGCGGCATATAATTGAATTTAATAAAGTACTAGTAAAATCTTTTAACCACGGGGGCAGCTCCTCTGCAACTTGAAGTTAGGGGATGGCCGAGGAACTCGCCTGCAGCGTTGCTTATTCACAATCTCTTTTCTTTTTTTTTTTTACATTCACGTTGCGTCTCTTTTTAGCTTTTAATTTTTGTTAAGCGCCCAGCAAGCCTCGGGTATTGGGAGGCATAAAAATTAAATAAATACACTGCTTTCTTTTCTGCGAATGGACCCAGGCCAGCGAGGGCGGCGCTCGGCTTCTCCAGCATTCCGCCCACGGGCACCACCTCCACGGCCCCGCCCCTTTCCCTCCCACCCTCTCTTCAACCTCGCGAGCGGGTGGGGCTTGTGCTCTGGCCACGCCCCCTCGCTCCACCGCCCCCCCAGTTCGTCCCGCCCTCCCCTCCGCACATGCGCCTTCGCCTCTGCTGCCTCGTCACTTCCGCCAGCCGGTGAACGAGACGGCATTTCCGGGTCCGGCTTCGTCCCCCTCTCTGTCTTTCTCCTGCTCCTGTCAGGACCAGTTGAAGAGTTGAGTCGTTGCGGTTTATTCCTTTTCGTCTCTGCTCCTGCCCGAGAAGGGACGTTTCTTAAGTGGGTTTCAATGAAATTAATGTAAGACCCATTTTCCCCTTTAAAAAGAAATTGTCTTGAGGCGTAATAAGGGTGGGGGGCGAATTGTCTGCTTATTACGGTAACAAGGAGTTGTTAGGGTCGGAATCTGGACTCCGCAAGAGATTTCTTCTCAAAAGCTCATGGTTGCGGTGGGAGGTGTGATGGTAATCACGGTGACAGAGGCAGATAAGGGTGGAATAATTTCGGTATTAGGAAAGATATGGTACCGACGTTTACGAAGTAGTAGAGTAATTACGGTACCAGGGTTAGGTAGGTAGGTAAAGGAATTGCCGTTGCAGGGACTGATAAGGTGATTAATAATTACCGTCATAAGGACAGGTATGAGAAGAGAGTCAACGGGACTGAAGTGCAAGCGTAGTTGTAAGAAGCTTTGGATAGTATAGTAACTTTTCCCCTCTTAAGGTAAACTGGCTGGATTGCCCTTAAGGGACGGAGCTTCAGGCATGCGAGAGTTTGTTTTATGGATGCCCGAAGCTGACCCAAAGGTGTTGTGCTGCCTGCCCCAATGCCAGGTTGCCTGCTCATGGCTTAATTCCAAGGACTCGGGTCCCACTTTTCAGCCCTAGGCATTCCTGAACAGCTAATGACAACTTAACAGCAGTGAAGAAGCAACTGGAAAACTACTCCATGCAAGTATCAAACCATTTTTTAAAAAGCCGCCACCAAGTCATAGAGGCTTCCTTTTGTGATGGGAGGCACAAGGCCAATCTCCCTTGGGACAGCCTTCCACCGTCTCTCTGCTGCAGCTGCAAGGGGTTCTTTGCTCCCATGTTGCTTCCAAAGATGATTTTATTGGGTTAGATCCAGATTTGTACTGGATCAACTGTTAGGAGACCCTGCCAAATGCAGTGATGTGTGAGGGAAGGGGAACTAGTGGCCCTGGGCAAGCAGAGTCCTCCACTCATCAGAGGGAGATCATAGATTTAGCCTCATTCTGTGCATGTTATTTTAGAGGGAGGCACTTCTACAGACACTGTTTTCCCCAACTGTTCCAAGGTTCCAGTTGCTCCTGCCGGCACTTCTGAGTGGTGCCCAAAGTGGACCGGATGCCTTTACCACAATTTAAGATCAGCGGAGATGCCCCATGCATGCTCAGTCAACAGTTGAGCAGCAAAACTATCTCCAAGACATCTGACTAGTCTTCAGTGGTACACCTACATGCAGTGCATTATGATAATCAGTGTGAAACTCTTGAGGAAAATGCCATGATTCTGTTCAGGCGGGTTTGCAGCCTGAACACCTGCCACAGCCAGAAGAAAGTGTCTTGTGCTGCAGAAGTTGCTTGGGCCTCCAAAGCCCGGGCTGGATCTAGCCATGGCCCAAACCAACAAACCTGATCCTTTGGAGGGTTTGCAGCTCTATCCAGAGTTAGTCTTTTGAACTGGGTTCTAGGGAGCTCTGGAGGTTTCTCGTGAGGGTACCTGTGATTTGTCAATGAGAATTATTCAATAATGTCTGACAAGTTTCCTCTAAAACTTGGCTTGCTCAGCAGGATGTAGCAGTAGGAGGTGGTTGGTTGTCTTCTCAAAACCATGTGGTTTAAATAGTGTAGCTGTTAACCATGCCTGGCTCACATGTCTGGACTGTGCAGGAAATTTCAGCTACTGTTTGTTTATTGAACTGATTGATTTCACTGTAACTTTTTGTAGCTTGTGCTTTATCCTACCACACAATTATGATTGCTCTTCATCTGGGGTAGTTCATAAAGTAAATATTAAGAACCCCATGTGTTTGAAAGTGGAGGTTAAGGATGGCATATAAATGTTTAAATTAAATTAAAGACCAGAGCTGCAGTCACAAACTTTGTAAGGCTTCAGAGGATTCTCATAGCAGGTGTTGTGAGGTAAGATGAGTTAAGTACAGTGAGGGCTGTGGCTGCTGTCCCTGCTTTTGCAGTCGCACCGTTAGCTGATTTTGATGCAATCCTCTTTGAGGATCAAAGTGATGGTGTCTGGTGTCTAACAGCTACTGTACGGTTACCAAGGAAGCCAGTGAATAATTCATGGCAACTTGGAGTATTGGTGCTAGGTAAGGAGAAAGGCTGAGTCAGGAGAAGGCAGTCCTGTTTGCATTCTGTGAGCAGAGCCTCTCCCTCCAGTAGTTCATGCTGCAGCCGGGGATCTTCTTTGCTCTTGCACCCAATGCTGCCCCCACCCAGATAGCGTTGGGAGGGCCCCCTGTGGCTTTGTGCCTGCTTTGACGCCTGCAAGGGCAGGTGTGCTGGGAAAGCTGCAAGAGTCCCAGAGCCTCTGCAGATAAATGTCCTTCCTGCAAGGCTGGTTTGCACATAACAACTGTGGGCTGAACAGCTCAAAGTCATCCCCGGTTGCTCAGTAGTGCACAAACATCCTGCTCCTGACCTGCTTGCTGCATGTGCAACCCCAGAATTCTGGGTTGACGGGGTGGAGACAACCCAGTATTTTAACCTGTGTGTTTTAGGCTAAAACTCTGGGTTGTTTGTCCCTCAACAAATCAGTGTTTCAGATTCAGACAGACTCATTCCAGCACTGTCTCACCAATTTATGGGTTAATCAAACATGAACTGGCGATACACGTGAAACAGGGCAGTGAGTGAAAGTTAGTACATTGTTCTGTTTGTCCAGTTTGACTTGTATCATGTTACTGCTTAAATGTGAAAACGCATTCCTGACTGTGGGAAGAGCTTTCATAAAAAATTATCGCAGCAGAAACTTCCTTTCTTCTCTAAAATATTCCATCCAAAACACTGGGAGCTTTTGCCTGACCCTACTGAAAGGCACCGGCTTGGGGAAGCTGCTTCTGATTCTTGTGGCTGGGTTGATTTGTGCTCGTTAAGTGGTCTTTTCAGAGCCGTTCTTTACAGAGGCTTCTCCCTTTTTCCTTCTAATTTCCCAGCATCACTGGGCTATGAGCCCCTTGAGGGAAGCAAGAAGTTTGGATGGACAGTAAATTCAGTGCAGAGGCGGCTTTCCCCTTTCCGTTGCTCCGCACGTTGCCGTCGGGTTGGGGACCACCACCCCTTTGAGGGCCTGATTCTGGAGCTACAGGAAGATGTTTGCAAAACTGAAGAAGAAGATTGCTGAAGAGGCAGCTACTGCTCCGCGGCCGGGAGGGGTGAGCAGGATGCCCAGATCAGTCAGCAAGGAGTCTATCACATCGGTTGGAGCAGATTCAGGAGACGACTTTGTAAGTGGGCTCAGAAGTAGCTCTTCCAGAAGCTGTGCTGTGTTCATCCACTTTATTCCTCCATTGGAGAAGGCTCATGGAGTTAAAGGCAAATATGAATGCCTATTTCATGATTCCTGGTTTGCAATGCTCTTCCCAAAGTGAACATGCTCGGGTAAACTTCTTTTGTTCAAGGTTGAAGGTGGCCTCACTAAGAGGTGGAACCAGCCCCTGCTTGCCCTGCCAAGTTGACGTCCAAGTCGGACCGCATAATTGTGCCCACCAGCTGTCTTGTGGGGGACTTTCTACCACTGTTGCAGTCTTGCTCTCTCACCTGCATTCTGCAAAGGTGAATGCCCACCTGCAGTCCACCTCACATTGTCTGAGGTGATGTGCAGGTGGAACCCTTCCTGCTCATTCAACTGAGATGAGAGAGAAAGTGGGTCCGAAGCAACTGCAGCGCAGAGCTGAGCGCTTGTTGCCACACGGGAGCCCCGGCTGCCTGAGCTGCCAGAGCTGGCCGGCCCGGGCTCAGCCTCATCCCAGTGCCTTCCGGATGCCTTGCGCGGCGCTCCCGTCCGCCCGAGCCAGCGCAGGCGGCAGTTCACGGTGTTGCTCAAAACATCTCGCGCAGGGCTGCTTGGGCAGAGCTCTGTGTGGTCTCTGCTTTCCCCCTCTGGGAAATGGTTCCCATGGTGTGTTTTTTAGGTTAGAAAGTGGGCAACACACAGAGTGGCCGTGCTGGATGGGGCTGATGAGAATGGTTGTCCAACACATCTGGGGGGGGGGCACCTGGCTGGGGAAAGAAGTCCTTGAGGTTCTGCCCAGCTTAGTGCAAAGGGGCGGGGATACTTGGATGTTCTGAGACCACCACAGGGGGATTCACCATGACTACCCTCTGGGAGGTCCGATGCGCCCTCCCCCAGCTCTCTGGAATGTGTTTCTCGGCGCTGGGCCGGCCAGCGGGGAGGTGGGTCCTTTCATTTTCCAGAGCCTTCTCAAGGTGCGCAAATGGGGCAGGGCTACGTGGATTCTTTGTGCCTGAATGGCACGAGTGTGCGTGTGCTAGCCTCCCCGTGTTTCACGCTAAGTTTGCCCGTGTGTGTCTCTTCACCTGCCAAGCCCTCCGATGGAAGCAGCTCCAGAGAAGATCTCTCCTCCCAGCTCTTCCGCCGGAACGAACAAATCCGGAAGCTGGAGATCAAGCTGTCTGGTAGGTTTCCTGCTGCACGCCATGCTGGTTTCAGGGCAGAAGGACTCTCCCTCCTGGGTGTCATGTTGTGCAGGGACTGTGGCCATCTCTAACATGAAGCTCTAGTCTTCTGCCGCCACCCCACTCTGCCCGGAGCAAAACTTTCTGGTTTTCATGCCGCTACAGAAGTAAAATTGGGAGAGGAAGCATCCTCTTTTCTGCTCAGGTGGGTGTGTGCTTTGTTCAGTGATGCTCTGGACTCACAAGGACTCTATTAGCCCATCCAGCGTGCCTTACCTGGCCCTGCAAAATTGTGATTGGAGCAGCAAAAGTCAGGAAGACGCACCTCTAGCCTTTTGCAGTAGGTTGCGAGGCAGAGGAAATTTTGTACTATCCACTACCCACAAGGGGTGGGTAGCGTAAGAGAATCCAGAGCAGGAGATCAGATCCAGCCCTCCCAGATCCCAGCCCTCCCAGCAATGGCTGCACCCCTCTTCCCCAGCCACCACATTATTTGGTGGCTTCCTGGCTCCCGTGTTGTTTTCTTCCTGTTTTAAACTGCCTCTCCTGAGACCCTGTTACTAGCAGTGAGATTTTTTAGCTAGAACTGGCCAATGTTTTTTCCTGTTTTGACCCCTGCCTTTTTGCTGTTGGCCCCAGTAAGTGCTGGAAAGCAAAGCACCCCCTCAGGTGTCTCCAAAAAGGATTTCAGTTTTTGGATGGGAGCTTCTGTGGCCCAGTTCTATCGGTGTGTCCTGCAATGAGTGCAGCCCCAAAGTGGCCACCGGGGCTGTTCTGACAGGCTTTAAAGCGTGAAGGGCAAAACGGCCCTCGTGGACGCCCTTGCTGGACCTGTCCCTCCTGGCAAACTGGGAAGCTCTCCTCCTGCCTGCATCTTCAGTGCCCAGTAGCAGCATTTTGTTCTTCCCGGTGCCGAGGCGAGGCTGCCTTGCCTTGCCTCGCCTTCCTGGAATGGAATGATTTTCGGACAAAGAAGATCCTTGTCCTCCTCTGCTCACCATCCATTCTCCCCCCACCCTTCTGTTGCCGGTCCCCCTGCCTGCCTGTATCCGGTGCTGCTGCCACTGCTCTTCCCCAAGATTATGCTGAGCAGATCCGAAACCTACAGAAGGTGAAGGAGAAGCTTGAGAATGCTCTGGAGACACACCAGGACTGTATGTACCACTTGGAATCCTCAAGTCCATGGGCCTTCCTGGCAGCCCGCTGGGAAATCACGTGCGCAAATATGGGCGGGCAGAGGAAAATGCGCCACTTTTGCTTGGGGCCGGGCCAGGGCGTGGGTGTCCGGACCTCCCCCGGGGGCTTGCCCCGTTCCCCTCTGGGGCCCCTCGGGTTGGGCGTGGAGGAAGGCGCAGCAGCACTGAGTGGGCAGCGGCAGTGGGCCCAGGAGATGGAGGAGTTGTCTTCTGCCTGCCCCGTGAAGGCACGAGGGTGCATGCCCGCCTGTCAGCTTCCTTCTCGACCTCGGAGCTCTCACAGTTCCAGGGGCCTTGGCAGGCTGAGCCTCACCCTCCCACTGCCGCCTCAGGTGCCGTGGAGGCCTGTGGCCTTGGGCCGCAGGGTCTAGTTGGGGCGATGTCTTTTTAAAAGATGTGCTTTGCTCAGGGGGAAGAAGCGGGTTGCTCGTTTTGACTTCAGGAGTGAAAAATGTCAAATAGCAGCACTGTTTCTGCCTGATTTGTAACGAACAAAGGAACTGTTGTATGTTGGCTGGAGCCTAGTGCCAGACATGAGGGAGCTGGCACTGCGAAACCTTTATCTCCCCTCTCTCTGTTTTGTAGATAACTTTAAAGCAGCTCTTTCTCCCTTTCCCACAAGTGATTGACCAGACAAATGTAGATTCAAGACTCGTTCATTTGGACATTCTGGCTTCTGCATTCTGCTGTTCAGCTAAAAAGGCTTAAACCTGTCTCTGTGTTTGTTTTATTATTAAGCTTCTATATCTCACTAATAGTCCCATAGGATTCTCTAGGTAGTTTATAGTAACAATTTACAACAACGAAATAACAAAATTATAAGCATGATATACCGATAAAATGGCAACAATAAACAGCAGATAACATACCACAATATAACGATAAAACCACAATAAGCAACAATATGCAGTGATACACAGCTAAGTGTTAAGGCTTGATAGATTAAAACTAAATACTGCATAAAAATTAATTTCTCTAAAAGTTTGCACAGTAAAATCAATTACTACAGTGTTTGGAAAATAACACTGTCTTTGCCTGGTCCCAAAATATTGTCATGAAGGCGCCGGGCAAATTGCTCTTGGGAGGCTGTTCTGTCGGCGAGGAGGTCAGCCTTTTTAGAAGGGCCTCCGCGTGTGACCTTACGGGCCAGGTAGGTACACACGGGAGCAGGCAGTCCCCCAGGACCCCCGGTCCCAAGCTGTTCTTGGTTTTATATGTTAAGGCAAACCCCTCAGATTGGACCCAGAGCTCAACTGGTGACCCATGAAGATGGTGTAATACTGGAGTCACCTGGGTGCACGGTCCTGCTTCACCTGCCCTCACACCACCCCGTTCTGTACTGGCTGAAGTTTCCGGACCATCTTCAAGGGCAGCCCCATGTTAGAGATGTCCAGTTGAGAGGTTACCAGAACGTGGATGGCTGTGACTAGGCTCTACCTGTCCAGGTAGGGCTGAAGTTGGTAAATCAGCTGTAGCTGAGAGAAGGTGCTCCCGGCCACCGTGTCTACCTGAGACTTAAGTGGTGGTTTTGGGTCCAGGAGCATCCCCAGGGCATAGACCGTGTCCTTCACGGGGAGTGCAACCTTGCCCCCCAGGACAGGTGGCAGGCCCCCGTCTGGGCAGACGGACCGTTCACCAGCAGCACCTCCGTCTCACCTGGATCCAGCCTCAATTTACTGGCTCTCATCCGGTCCATTGTCCAGCTCAGGCAGATTCAGGACGGAAATGGCCTCTCCTGGGTTTGAAGCAAATCCAACGGAAAGCTGGGGGCCCTCAGCCCCCACCTCCCAAGGGCCTCTCCCCAGGGCTCCATGCAGATGTTGAACAGCAGGGGGCAGTGCAGAGCCCCGTGGAACCCCATGGCATGGCCACAGCAGGCACAACAGCCCCCAGCACCACCTCCTGGACATGGTGGGGCAGCTAGGGGTGGATCTGCCGCCACTCAGTGGCCCAGCGGAAGGCGCATCACCTGGGCACACGGATGCGACTCCTTCGCACAAATTGGAGTGCGGGACATGCTTGTAATGCGTTTATGTTATGCTGAACACACACACACACACACCTGCAAACACAATTTTTGGCTCTCTGGTTCTAAATGCGAGGCATATATTGCTCTGCTTCCTGGAAGCGGCTTCCCCAGTAAAACAATTAGGGAGATTGTAATTGTGGGTGGTGGTCCAGCCCCCTCTGCATCCTCCGCACGGGGCTTCCCAAGGTGCGGGGGCTGCTTCAGCTCACGCATACCAGACCAGCCAGACACGGGCGGCCTGACCGTGTCCGAGACCTCGGTGCAGGCCGAGTCCGTGGCACGTGGCACCCCAGCACAGCCTGTTCCATTGTCTTCCGCAGCCTTTGTGAAGAAGCTCCAGGAGCAGAATGAAGCCCGTCAGGCGAACACAGCCAAGATGGCGGAAGGCATGGCGCTGGCGCTGGAGAAGAAGGACCAGGTGGGCGCTCTGGGGGCACCTGCGGGGCTCGGAGGCGCCGTGGCAGGGTGTGGAAACGGCTTCCTGGGCAGCACCCCCCCCATGCTGCGTGGCCGCCCTGCCCTGGCAGGGCACTCCCTGGGCATGATGGAGCCTGGCGAGGCTGGACAAGGCTCTTGCTGTTCCAGGAGCAGTGGTGGCATTCGGAAATGCATCCGAACACAGCTGTCGGCGTGTCAGGACAAAATCGCCCTGCTCCCACTACTGCCCTTTATTTTCAGGACGGAAGCCAGGTGTGGCTCCCCAGGCTGGGAGACTCGGGCATCCCCCAGAAAGCCACAGCCCTTCTGCCCTCTGCAGTCTCCAGGCGAATGTGCTCTCCCAGCTGCGGTGCAGTGCCCTTCCCATTTCCCAAGGGAAGTGCCTCTCCCGAGGCTGTCACTGGCAGCGAGGGCTGCTGCGCTCCAGGGGGCCAGCCCTCTGACTTGGCCTCTGGCTGCCAGGGCCCGCCTACCGTGGAAATCCGGCCCACAGAGGCTTCTCCAAAGTGGACCCCAGCCCTGCGAGCAGGTGGCCCTTGTGCCAAAGCTGGCAGCTTGCAGCAGATGGGATGGCGAAGCATGTGGGGAGCCCACGGTGGGCTGGGTTGGGAGGGGAGTGTGACTTGCTGTGGACGATGGTCCTCAGCAGCGACGCTTCTCCTGCACCCAGACATGGAGGAGCAGCGGGGCGCAGGACATCTGCGGGGCTGTCCTCTCACACTGGCAGCCCTGCTCTGAGAAGCACTCCTGGCGCTGAGGAGGGGTTCTGTTTTTCCTGCGCATATTTATCCACGTATGCTGTTTTATCCCACTCCCAAATTCCAAGGCCTCGAGGAATATCTTGCATGCAGTCCACAAAAAGAAACATTCCCTGCCCCGTAGACTTTCCGTCTGAAAAGACCCGAGAAGGAAGCGAGTGGGGGCAGGAGGGGAGCAAGGAGGTGCCCCGCTGGCAGGATAGATGTTCTTCCATGGGGCCTAGCTTGTGTGGCTGCTGGCAGAGGGGTGCTGGCCCTGGGAAGGCAGCCAGCCTGCCTTCAGGAGCTGGATTGTCCTCGGCGCTGGTGCTCAGGCCCCCTCCGGGCACTTTCCTGGGGCAGCGCCTTCCCTCAGCCACCGGCCCTTTAAGGGGGTGCCTCTCTGTGATGCAACGACATTCTGCTCCAGAGTGGCCGGGGCCGGGGCCTGTGCCGCCATCGCCACCTTTCCTGTCGCCTCGGCTCCTTGCCCGCTCACCCCAGGTCCACCGATGCTGACCTGCCCCTTTCTTTTTTCCCAGGAATGGCGAGAGAAGCTGTCGCACGTTGAGAAGGCAAGCGTGGCTGAGCTGGGCCAGGGCGGGGGCCGGCGGGCATGGGCAGGGATGGGCGTGGGTGCTCTCTGTGCGGAGCCTGCGTTCTGGCCGTGCTGCAGACCCGGCCGGCGGACCTGTCCCACGTGCCCCGGGCACCCTCGCCGCTGCCCGCTAGGCTGGCCTTCCCCAGCAGGGTGCCTGGGCCCGGCTCCCATCCCCGCCACCACCGAGTCTTGCCCGACACCCGGGGGGTGCGTGTCTGGCTGAAGTGGTCTGAGAGCAGAAGCCCTGTGGGGCCTGGGTGGAGTGCTGGGAAGCTCCCTGGGGGCACGCTGCAGGCGGAGAGAGAATCCACCCATCCTCCCTCTCCCTCTCTCTGGGAGAGGCGTGCGTGGAGGGGCCTCCTTCCTGGGGCATGATGGCGGGGGGCAGTTGGCCCGTTGCCTTAGGCCCGCCTGGCACCCCACCCCAGTCCAGTGGGGTTCCCCGGGGGGGCGGCGTCCTGTTCCCCCCAGCCTCGCACCCTTTTCCCTCCCCCAATGAAAGGCCTCTCCGGAGGCCTCAGCGAGTGCCACTGAGTCATGCCGGCTGGGCTTTCGTGCGTGTGAGCCCGGCCCTTTTGCCTTGGAAGGTAGCCGAGAACGTGCCCTGGCCCTCAAGGGGCAAAGGTCCTGCCCCGTCTGGGGAGGCCCTTGCAGGACCGCCTGGAGAGTCCTTTGCGGGCAGGGGCTTCTGGTGTCTCCCCCCCCCCCCCCCCCCCCCCCCCCCCTCCCCCTCTAAGCGGGGGGCCCCCCCCCCCCCCCCCCCCCCGTGGTGTCTCAGCAGGAGAGGAAGCTCCTCTCGGTGCAGCTGCAGGAGATGCGGGAGAAGAGCCTGAGCCTCTTCCAGAAAAGGGACGAGAGGGACGAGCTGGAAGGCTTCCAGCAGCAGGAGCTGGCCAAGGTCAAGCACATGGTGAGGCTGCTCGAGGCGGGGCCGCTGGCCGGGCCCTTCCCGGGGCACGAGCGGGGCCACTGTGGCCCCCAAGCCCCCAGGCTGCCGCTCTCCCAAATCCGCCGCCCCCTCCCTTCCCTTTGATGTGCCGTTAGAGAGGGAGCATTTGGGGCTTTCCAGAGTGCCCCAGTGCAGAGAGCAGGGATGCTCTGCAACTCTTACCAGCCCTGGCCAGCGGAGCCCATGCTGCCGGGCGATGGGAGCTGTGGGCCAAAGCACCGGCGGCCCGCCCCTGTCCTATGCGCCTTCCAGTCTTAATTGTTGCTCCTTTGAAACCCTCAGCTCTTACAGAAGGAGGCGTCCCTGGCCCAGGTGGAGCAGGAACTGGGGTCTTCCACTCAGGAGCTGACACTTGCCCGGGAGGAGCTGCAGGCCTCGCGCACCCTGGCCATGCGCCTCACGGCGGAGCTTCAGGAGCTGCAGCGCCAGCACGCAGACTTGCAAGTGGAGAGGTCAGGGGAGGAGACCTGGGGCTCCCTCTGGGGCAGGCTCCGTGCGTGCTGGGGTCTGTGAGCGCGTGCAGAGCTCCCAGCGCGTGCTGGGTGTGCCCGGAAAACGGCCGCGGCACAGCCGGGTTTGCCGGTTCATGAGACGCTGGCCCAGTGGGGGTGGCCAGCTGTAAGGCACTCCTTTCCAGAAGGCAGGCACTGGGGAGGCGCAAAGAAACTACCCTTTGCTTTGCTGCGGGCAGGCCAGCCCCGCCCCCCCATTAAAAAGCAATGACCGTTTTCACAATCTTAAGAAGTAAGTTTAAAATGCAGAGGCCTGGGAGGTTTCTCAATGAGGCCGTAACGCTTGGGGGGGAGGGCAGCGGGCAGCAAGGAGTCGAGCGGAGGGGTCTTCCACCCTCAGCTGGGTGGGGTCTGTCCTCGCACAGGGAAGCTGCGGCTCTGGCACTGCCCATGGATGCAGCCTACCTCACAGGGTAGTTGTTATACGGATAAGATGCCGGGGAGGAAGAAGAGGAGATTGATTGATTGATTGCATTTATATACCACCCCGATGGCCCTCTGGGTGGTTTACAAACATTAAAACCCCACCAATCCTAAAATAAATAAATTGGCTGCACCACGACCGAGTATAAAATAACATGGTTAAAATGAATTAATTAAATAAATATACCATTAAAATGAATTAACTTTAAAATATTGGTTAAATCAAAAGGTCTTGACCGGGTGCCGAAAAGCATATAACGACGGCATACAAAGCCACTTTCTTTACAAAAAGAGTGATATAAATCGAATGAATAAACGAGCAACCCCGTGAGGCTGGGAGTCACGACTGGCCCAGGGCCACCCAGCGAGCTTTGTGGCTGAGGGGGGTTCATGGCCCCACACACCCAAGCCCTAGGCAGATGCTTGAACTTGTCCAGCATACTGGCTCGCAACTTGGGAAAGCTGCTGGGAACTGTAATCCAGCATCAGGTTGGAGTCAGCCGCGTCTGTCGCCACCAGCTTTTTCTGACCAGTGTCTCTCCGCCATCTGAACCCATCTCTCTCTCTGGGGTGAAGGATGAGGTCGTGGGGCCCTTTGATGTGAGAGTGCTTGGCGTGTGCTGCCCTGCCAGATCAGGAGGAGACCCGCAGACCGCGTGCTCTTCCCAAAGGGCTGCTAACAGGCAGCTGCCCGGCCTCCCAGTGGCTCTTCTCTGGCTTCCACATTTAACCGTAAACTTCTCCGGCTTTCCCTCGCAGGGATGAGCTCCTGGACACGGGGGAGAGTGCCAAAAGCAAGATCACCGCCCTGGAGCAGCGGGCCCACGAGCTGCAGGCATACATCCAGCAGCTGTCAGTGGATCTGCAGAACGTGAGCTGGGGAGCCAGGAGGGAGGCTGGGGCCGCTGTCATTGCCTCCATCTGAGCAGCCCGTGCGGTTCCCCACTGCTGCTGCGGCCCCACGCCTGATGCCAGGCTGGGTCTGCCAGTGCATTGGCACCCACATGGGCGTACGGCGCCGCCACACCCCTGCTTCGTCACCACAGGGAATGTGTGTGGCTGAAAATGTGCTTATTCTCCCCCACATTAAGTCATGCACTCTGCAACTCCCACTAGCCAGAGCCCTTTGGGCGGTTTGCAGAGCAAGCGAACAGAGAACGACACGCTAAAACACAATATGAAAACCTTAGATCTGACACAGAACAACACCAGAACAAAACCAAGGAGCAAAGTCAGCGTCAGTGCAAGGAATGGCCGTTCTTGAGCGGCCTGTTCCTGAGGAAGGCCCCTCCCCGGCTGTTCCTTGACTCGCCTCACTTGCAGGGCAGCTGGAGATGCTGCACCTTTGTTGCACAATTCCGATTAAGGCGGGCGACATGTGGCTCTGCAGGCGGGGGGACGCTGCATTTCTCACAGTCTGCTGCTGCTGGCTGGACTGCCTCGAGCGGGGGGGAGGGGGGAGCGCTGTCCAGCAGTCGCCAGAAAGCTTCTCCTCCCTGGTAGCTTCCCGCTGCCGAGCCTCGGAGCTGTGGGCAGGGAGCACCAAGAATTGGCCGCAGTCTCCACTTGAGTATTTATTTCATGATGAACCCGGCTCGCGTGTCCCAGCCTTTCAGCCAGCAGGGCCCTGATCTCGGTGTGTGGAGCTGGCCCTCCTGGAAGAGTTGGAGGGTTGTTAGCAGTCCGCAGCTGGGTGTGGCTGGAGGTCTAAGGTGCAGTCAGTCCAGTGCAAGGGTATACAAGGGAAACACTGGCAGCTCCCAGCATCCCCCCGCCTCCTGACATCGCCTTTTGTGTGTAGGACTTGGCCTTTAGCATCTTGTAGGCAAAGCCTCTCCTTCCCAGAGCATCACCTCTTTCGAAGGTGAAGAGGACTGGCTGGAGAAGCAAGCCTGGAAGTTAACTGGAGTACTGTGCTCAGTTTTGTCCCCTCATTACAGAAAGGATATAGCCAGGTTGGAGTCAGTGCAGCGTAGGGCCACAAGATTGGTGGCCGGTTTGCAGGGGATGCCGTATGAGGCGGGACTGGGGGAACTTGGTCTCTTCAGCCTGGAGAAGAGGAGACTCCGAGGGGAATCTGTTGGCGACATACAGGTGCACAAGGGGGTGTCACATGGAGGTGGCTAGAGACCTGTTCCCCAGTGGAGCCAAGCTCAGGGAACCAAGGTTCCATTTCGGTGCCAGGAAGCACTTCCTGACAGCTGGGACCCCAAGGGTGTGGAATGGGTTTCCACGGGAGGTTGGTGAGGCCCCACCGGTGAGGGTGTTCAAAGATAGGCTGGACATGCACATGGTGGGCATCTTGTGAGCAGAATCGGCTGGAGCCGGGGGTCAGACTAGATGACCCGGGAGGCCCCTTCTGACTCGCGCTGTTTCTTGAGCTGGGCACGGATCTCCAAAGGCCGGCTCAGCAGTCTTGTCCTCTGCTCCTCCAGGCACAGGTTGCCGCCTCCAGCTGTGAGAAGCAATTGGGACCTTTGCAGGCTGAACATGAGTCCCTGAAGCTGGAGTACGAAGGGCACAAGCAGAAGGTATTTCAGGGATGTTCCCCCAGCAGGCCTTAAAAATGCGAGAGGGACCGACGGCCTCTCAGGCAGGCGCTGCTGCAGAAAAGCAGGGTGTGGGCTCTGCCGGCGGAGAGGCCGCACCATGACTGCTCCAGCGGCTGACGAAGCCGGTGCGTGCGCATAGAGCAGAAGCATTTGCTGCGGTTTTGCAAGCTTGGCGCATATCCGGCTCCTCTCAAGGGGGGCCGTGGCTCCACAGAGACCCCTGCTTTGCCATTTGGGTCCCGCCTTCCATCCCTGGCTGGAAAGCCTCCGTCTTGGGGCGCTGGAGGGCCACGGCTGCCAGCCAGTGTTGACCATAGTGGGCTCGGTGGACCCAGGGCTGGACTGTGCCTGTGGCAGCCCCCCTCCGTCCCACTCAGTGAGCTGCTGGGGCAGCTCCCGGGTGAGCCCTGCCTTGCGTGCGGTGCCCCTGGCATCTCTCCAAGCGCCACAGTCCCCCAACCCGAGGCAGCCCTTGCCAGGCTTGGAGGCCGATCCGAGAGGAAGGGGAGGCTTTGGGGAAACTCTGCCTTTTGCTTTGCAAAGGGGAGAAGCGGCAGCTCTGCTCGAGTGCACGGGGGGGCAGGGCCTGACCTGCTCGCGGGGAACTGTCCCCCAAAGGGAGGGTGGGCCCCAGAGCAAGCCGCGTGTGTTCCCACAGATGCTTGCGGAAATGGAGGAGAAAGACCGGCTGGGGAAAGCGGCAGCCCTGGAGAAGCGCTTCGAAGGGAGCCTCTCCGGCGACGAGCACGTTCGGGAGCTGCTGAGGGAGGTAAATGTGGGGCGCTGGTGGAGACTGGGAGGAAGGGGAGAGGAGCGTGCCGGAGGGGCTTGGGCGTCCCCTCCCTGTCACCCCCAGGAGCTCAGAGCCAGAGCCGCTGCTTGCCTGGGGCCATCTCCCATTCACTCCCCGGCCTCTCCGAGGGGGAGCCGGCCGGAGCCCCCGGGAGCCTGAGCCACCGCTCTGCGTCCGCAGGGAGCTCGGAGCACGAGGACCATTCTGTCCTCGCCCGCTGCTGGGAGCAGCCCCACTACTGGGGCCGGGGCTCAGGGTTAGGGGTGCTTCCCACTGACACGGCGAGGCCCGCGGGGTGCTCGGGGGGTGGAAGGAATGAGCTGTGCAGAAACGTCTCCAGGATGTGGGTGTTTTGCAAGGCCCTGTTGCCGCTGGTGCATTTCAGCCCCTGTTAGGGCTCGGTCTGAGGCCCAGGCTGGGCAGAAGAACTACTTCTCTCATTAGTGTGGAGAGGCCTGCAAGGTGCCCAGGTGGGGCAGGTAGAATGAGCTGTGCAGGAAGTGGCCATTTTGGAAATCCCCGTGGCAGTGGATGGGGCGTGTGCCGGCCTCTCTGAGGCTCCGGCTTCCCTTTTCCGGTCACCGGCAGCTGGCTGAGGGGGAAGGGGGCCTTTTCCCTTGGAAAGGGACTTGGGCCGGGCCCCTTCCTGGCGCTGGGCGACTGCAGAGCAGCGTTCAGGCAGGCTGCGTTCCGACGGGCACCGGGTGCGCATTTGGCAGATGCCCGTCCCCACCCTTGTCTCGGCATTGCCAGGCCTCCTTTTCCGCTCGGCAGCAGGAGAGCGGGGGCCAGGTGCTGCCGGTGGCTGCCACGCACCCGCCTGCGCCCGAGCGCTCCTTGGGTGGGAGCAGCTGCAGCTCGGCAGGGGGGCCCGCCTGGCCTGCGGAAGGGGCCGGCTCCATCCCCAGCAGTCGTCTCGGAAGGGCCAGGGGAGCAGGCTGCCCGGCGCCCTGGGGAACTGTGGCTGCCAGCCCGCGTTGACTGCACTGGGCTGGTGCGCAGGCAGCGGGCGGCTTTTGGTCCTCCCATGTAGCTCCACTGCTGTTCTCCTGCGGGCGGCACATCCTGCGCCTGGGGGCTTGGTGCGGCTTCGAGTGCGGCGGGGCCGTGATGTGCCGGGTTTCCATTTCTGTTCCCTCCAGAAAAGTGCGCTGGAGCAGAGGCTGGAGGAGGGCAGGCAGCAGCTCTCGGGGGCGCAGGCGAGGCACGCGGAGAGTGTAGCCCTCCTGGAGGCGCAGGTATGCTGGGCGGAATTGCCCCCGGACGCTGTGGGAGGAAGCGGCCAGGGGTTCGGTCCGCGGCAGCGCTCGCCTCCCCTCCCTCAGCATAGTGGAGGCGGGAGCTTTGCTGGGAGGACGCGTCTCTCGGCCGCGAAAGGAGACGCTGCTGCCCGGGAAGGCGGTGGGCTCTCCCACTCTGGAGACGTGCACAAAGAGCTGGGCGGCCTTCTGGGTGGGGTGGCATGGGTTGGTGTCCCGCCACAGCAGGGGCCACCCGAGGGCCCTCTTGGCCCCTTCCAGCTCTGCTCTTCTGTGATTCTGTGACTGGGATGTGCAGCGTAGTTGTGGCATATTTCTGAGCATATGCAAAGTGCTTCTTCGTGATGCCCGTGCAACCACGGCCAGTGCGACATATTGCACTACATACGTACTGGTGCTTTCCTACATGCCCGCACGCCCCTTAAGATCGCCGGGGGAGGCCTTGCTCCGGGAACCCTTCCTGAAGGAAGTATGGAGGGTGCCAACCCGGAGGAGGGCCTTCTCTGTGGTGGCGCCCAGGCTGTGGAATGCGCTCCTCAGAGAGCTCCGCCTGGCACCGACTCTCTACTCTTTCCAGCGCCAGGTAGAGACCTTTTTATTTAACCATCATTTTAATAATCAAGGGCTTTAGATATTTTAACATTTTTTGCTCTTTTTGTTTCACAGTCACACTTTCTATTTTATTTTCCTTTTTTTAGTTTATATGTTCAATTTTAAATGTTCTAATAATTGTATTTTTAATATTGAGCCAGTGTGGTGTAGTGGTTAAGAGCGTGGGACTGGGACTCAGACAATCTGGGTTTGAGTCCCTGCTCGGCCATGGAGCCAGCTGGGCGACTTTGGGCCAGTCACAGACTCTCAGCCCAACCTACCTCACAGGGTTGTTGTTGTGGGGACAAGATGGAGGAGGAGATGTAAGCTGCCTCGAGCCCTTTGTAGGAAAAAGGCAGGCTATAAATCGAAAAATAAATATATAAATAAATATTGTATTTTAGAATTTTATATTATGTAAGCCATCCTGAGCTCTTCCATGGAAGAACAGGATATAAATGCTTGTAATAAATAAATAAATTTGCTGTTAGTTGGAGTGGACTTTTAATGTAGGGAGTATCCAGGACATCCCTATTCAGAAATATTAGCATGTAATATTAGATCAGAGTTTTTAATATGATGTGTTCTGACATTTAAAAACAAACTAGGCTTATTCAAAGAGCAAACTAAGGAGGTGGTTGAGGCCCCATCAGTGAGGGTGTTCAAGGATAGGCTGGACGTCCACATGGTGGGCATGTCGTTAGCGGGGCCGGCTGGAGCCGGGGGTCAGACTAGATGGCCCGGGAGGCCCCCTCTGACTCACTCTGTTAGTTTGTTCCTGTGTTGTATTTATGCAGGCCTTCCCGGTGTAGCTTAGCCTGTCCTCTACCTGATACGTTGATAAAATGCATTCTGCGCAGTGGCTCTTACGTTTTCATGATTTGCGTTGAAGTCCGCTGCTGCAGGCCATTTGTACATGCCTGCAAGTGCATACCTTCTTGGGCCTGGCTCTGAGTCGAGGGACGTGTCCAGGAGAGAGGCAGCGAAACGCCTCGCTTCTCCCACGCTCAGGGGCCGCTCTGGGATGGACTGCGTCCCAGTGTGGGAAGGTGCTCCACGTTCCTGTGCGCTGCGTCCGCCTGTTGCCCAGACAGCATTCGAGCTGCAGAGGGAAGAGCCTAGTTTGGACTGGGGGGGGGGGGCATGCCCAGAATACCCAGACAGGAGCCCCCCCACCTGCTTTTGGCAGCAGTCATGCTCGAAGGGGACGCAGCCGGCGGCACCGGCACCGGCCCGTCCTGGCCGTGCACTGCAGCTGGGCGTGTTGCCTTCCAGATCAACCAGCTGAGGAGCCAGCTGGCCGAGGGGCAGGCGCGCCTGAGTGAGGAGCAGGCGCTTGTGCAGGGCCTCCGGGAGAGCAGCGCGCGGCAGGTGAGTGCCAGCACGGGCCGGAGCCGCCTCCCGGTCCCGGATGGGGAGGCTGGGCGGGGGGCAGGGGTGTGCCTCCGGGTTCGGGAGCCAAGGAAGGGCATCTCCCCCTTTCCTAGCTGCAGGATCTCGAGCAGTCCCTCCAGCTCGCCCGCGAGGCTGCAGCAAAACAGGCAGAGGAGCTCGACGAGCGAGAACTGCGGATCCAAGAGCTGGTGAGTGAGCCCGGCCCTGTCGCTCGGCACCCGGCGTGAGAGGAAACCCTCCCTTGCCAGCCGTGCCTCTTTCTTGCACCGGCGCCCCGCCTGTCCCCGCCTCTGCTTTAGCCTTGTAACCGTGCCGCAAAGCACGGTGCACCAAGGCTGAGCAGCCGGCCGCAGGCCTCCCGGGAGCTCCGTGGCCGAGCCGCGGCTTGAGCCCCTCTGCCTGACTCCCGGTTCAGCACTCACAATGGTTGCACCCCGCTGGCTGCCCCATGGCGCCGGGCTGGAGGGCGCCAGGCTGCATCCGGGGCTGCTGCTTGGTGGGTGGAGGCATTTCCATCAGCGGAACCGGAGTGGTGGGGGCATTCCCCCACCCGTCCTCAGCGTTTGGGAGGAGAAGCCCTGCAGGGCGTGCCTGAGGGTGGCCCGGAGTGCCGGGGACGGGAGGGGAGCAAGCACCTGTGCCTATCTCTGCTCGGGTGGCCTTAGGCTTGACTCGCTCTTCAGACCCCCGGGGACCTTTCCCTGCACACCCGGCTGTGCTTCCACATCCGCGCCTGGGCCCCAGGAGGCTGAGGGAGAGGGACTGGGCTCCGTTCAGGAACGCTGCTCAGCAGTGACCGGGCACGGCCTCCCTGCCACGTGGAAACTAACCGGCAGTTCTGGCCTTCCCGTGCGCTCACGCTGGGGTGTCAGGTGGTCAAGGGCAGAGAGCTGCAGGGTTGCGCTGACCCTGCCCGCCTTTTCTCAAGGAGTGTGGAACCCAGTGGGGCACGGGTCACACCAGGGGTGCTGGCTCTTGCCCCTGCACTCCCCCCTTTCAGCGCCTTGGTCCCCAGGAATTCAGAACACGCCTCTGAGTCATGATTTTTTCTGTTCTTCATACGATACCTTGCCTAGCGCAGGTTCTTGCATCTCTGAGCCTTCAAAGGGGGATGCGGGTGTCCAGGGCTTCAGTCGTGTCTGAAAGCATCTTGCAGGTGCTTCTTGCTAAGTTGCCGGCTCTCGGCGTGGCTTCTGGCTGGCGCAGAGCAAAGTTTCTGGGCCCTCTGCCCTGCAGCTGCCACATCGCTGCCTACGGTGCAGCCGCTTGCAGACCTGTGTCTGGCCTTGGAATAAAGCGTGCCAGCCTTGCCCAAGCTGGTACCCCTCGGATGTTTTGGACTATAGCTCCCATCAGCCCCAGCCGACTGGACTAGTGGCGGGGAGTTCTGACAGTTGAAGTCCAGACCATCTGGCAGGCGCCAGACTGCAGACGGCTAAACGGAAGGTTTGGGTTGGGCTGGCTGTTTGTTTGTCTGTTTGTTTTCAACGCAGTGGGGAAACCCAGCCTGCGCCGGCTAACGCGGCTTTGGACTTGCTTCTTCCACCCTGGCAGCAACAGGCCCTGGAGCTGGAGCGGGCCAGGGCGCAGGAGGGCCTCTCCGTCGTGCGGCGCCAGTGTGCAGAGCAGGTGGGGGGCCTGAGGGAGCAGCTCGCCGCGCTGGAAGGAGCCCGCGAGTCGGAGAGGACGGCTGCCCAGCGCCAGCGCGTGAGTGTCCCTCCCGTCTGGCCACCGCGCAGGGCCGGGCCGGGCCGTGGTCGGTCCTCTGCAGCCGCCTGCCGGGCTGGGAGGAGGGCCGTGCCAGTTCCGGGCGGAGAAGACTTCTGCCAAGCCCCCGAGCTGCACGCAGGGCACCCATCCGCGCAGCCTCCCGCAACAGGGTGCCCCGCAGGTTTTTGCACGGCAGCTTCCATCCTGGCCGGTGGTTATAGGAATTGTAGTCCCAGTCTGAACTGGTGACTTGTGGGCCTCCCACCGTTTAGATGGCAGGCAGGATTGTTCTGTGGCGGGCCAGGACACTGAGGCGCCTTCCTGACCTGACCCCTTCTGGCTGCTGAGCTTTCAGCAGGCGTGGTCTGCACATGCTCCAGCTTGGAAGCCATGAGGACTTGGAACTTGTCTCTCTCTTCTTTTGAAAGCAGCTCAGGGAGCTCGATCCTGTGGCCCTTGTTACTTCCTGCTTTGAAATAAGGTGCTGCTTTAAAGGGAAATGGCTAAAAAGCCCTTTGATTGATCACCTGCACCACTTCTCCCGTTCGCTAAATTACAGTGACATCATGGAATGCGCACAAGCAGTCCAACTGCACGGGTGCAGGGTGAAGAGCAGGGAACGCGATGCAGGGCCTGCAGCTTCTGTGCTGGAGGCAAGAGGCCCGTTTTGGCTAGGTAGGGAAGTTCAGCGACTGGGGCCTTGGAGCCACGCTTGGATTGGCAGCAAGGGGGGCAGAGCCGTGGGGCGCGCCCTCCTGCTCCCGTGAGCCACGGTGTGCTTGCTTTGGATTCTGTTCGCACCCCTTGTAGCTGATTTTTCCATTTATGCATCCAAGCTTCTGCTGAGGCTGTGAGGTGGGCACGGGGCACCAAGTTCACGCACTTCCTCACTGCGCCTCCTGTTCGCCCCAAGTGCCCTGCCGTGAGCGACAGAGATCTCGGCTCTCCTGGTCCCCACGCCCAGGTCAGGCCTTTCGCACGGCCATAAAAGCAAGAAGCATTTCTTTTGTTCAACTGCTGTGAAAAGCTCTGGAAGAGCAAGAAGCTCGGCTGCCAGCCACTCTGCATTCATCCGTAAAATAGGGCTGGGTCGTCTCTGGTCCTCCATCTGTTTTTCCCCACTGCGGCCTCTCCATTTTCTGGCAGCTGCTGGCCCACTCTAGAATTTAAAGAAACATCTGTACAACTGCAGGCTTTCCTATTTGCTCTTCACCGTATGACTTAGAATTAAGTGTGTCCACGTGTGCGAGAGGGAAAGCGTTGGAAGCCCCGTGAAAGGTCGGTTGTAAGATTTTCTTCTGCCGGTTTATTAACGAGTGGCATATTTTGTTGTTGTGTTATCTTTCACGCAAGCAGCTTTGTGTTCTTCCCGACTATCCTCCAATTTAAAATGCAGCGCCTTGGTTAGACCTGGGCCGTGCAGCAGGGGAACTGAGGATGAGAGAGCGCCTGCCCCGGACAAGCCGTGAGCCTGGGCCGAACCGGAACCGGAACCGGAACCTGGGCCTTTTGCTGTCAGCCCGCAGCACTCTGCCTCTTGTATTGTGCTGGGAGGAGAATGAACTGAAGGCTGCATTTAAGCAAAATGAAGCTTCCTCAAGCTTTGCAACAGTTCCTGAGCCCCTGGCTTCCTGTTTTCATCTAGGAGCAGTTGGAGAGCAGAAACGAAGAACTGAAGGACAGATGCAGCAACTTAGAAAACTCATTAAGGGCCTGCGAGGCTGAACTGGAAAGACTCAAGGTATTGTGACCTGAACTGCAGCCCCACGGAGCCGCTCGGGAGCTGTGCGGCTGTGAGGACTGCCTCCTGGGGTGGGCCGTGCAGGCGAGCAGACAGAACTGGGACCAAAGGGGCGACGGCACCAGGGTGAGGCAGGGGCACCGGGTTTTGCATGGATGCCCGCCTTTCCTCGGGGGCCGGCAGTGGCGCCTGCCTCCCTCTTCCCTTTGTCCTCACAGCAGCCCTACAAGGTGGGTCAGGCTGGGAGCCACCCACTCAGCTTCCTGCAAGAGCAGGGCAAGATCCAGGGCCCCCCAGCTCCCAGTCAGATGCTTTAACCACTAGACTGCACTGCATTGGCATTTTGTCGACTAGCAGTGGAGTTGACGTGAATTCGCCTTCTGTGGATCACCTTGGGGAGCAAAGAAGCACCACCGCATTCGTGGCGTGTGGGGGAACCGGAGTGGTCCTGGGGGACCCTCAAAATGGTAGAAGTACCCGAAATGCCCCTTTGCGGGGAGAACTCGAGGGTGGGAGAACCCTTCAGAACGGCCCGGCAAGCCGGATCCATGGCCACAGGATGCCCCCACCCCGGCGGGGAGAGAAGTGGACAAACTGGGATGGGATGGGATGGGATGGGATGGGATGGGATGGGATGGGATGGGATGGGGATCCTGGTGGAGGGCACCAACGTGTTGGCACGCCACCTGGCGATGCTGAGCTGCAGACCCACCCTTCTCCAATGGAGGCCCGTGCCTGGCCACCCGCAGGCCTCCCCATTCCTTCCCTCTGGACAGGAAGTCCCGGCCCCCGGTGGTCCCGGCCCCCGCCATGTCCAGGTGGTGGCGTCCTTCGCCAGTGGGTCACGGGCATGGAGCCCCAGGCTGAGGCCAGACGTCAGGGGGCCCCCCGCCCCACCCCTGGGCTCCCCCCATGCTGAGCATTGGGGAGGGTCCCCGTGCAGATACCTGCTAGTGTCAGGAGGGGGCATCAGGCAGCACCCCACCCAGGGGAGATGGCCGGCCCCAATCCACCCCGGACTCTGGCTGCCTTGCAGGCGGAACTGGGCAGCAGCGCCAAACCCACTGAAAGCTCGGAGGAGAGGCAGAAGCACCAGGGGCGGCTGCAGCAGGAGGTGAGGCACCGGGCCGCCCCGGCAGCTCGGTGTGGGGGGTGGCCTGGGCTGGGGGCGGGGCTGCGGGTGGGACTGATGGCTGCCTTCTGACTCTTCGTGGCCCATTCTTTGGCGGACAGGTTGCCGACCTCACCTCATTGCTAAAGGAGAAAGACCGGCTGCTCGCGGAGAAAAGGGACGCGCTGCCGAAAGAGGAGGAGGAGCTGGAGCGGATCAGGCAAGGTGCGAGCATGCACAGGCCTCGGCCGTCGCCGCCAGGGAGGTGACGCTGTCGCTTGACCTTTTCCGGTGGCTTGTGACACACAGCCCGTTCCTGCTACTCGGTTTCTGCTCCTCTTGTCTCTGTAAGGAGAGCTTCCAACACCACAAGTTAAGAACTGGAAGTAGTTCTGCTTCATTCTAGTGGTGGAAATAGATGTAAAAAAAGGACTCCAGCTGTGTGTAATTTTGCTCCCTTCCAGTTACCCAGGATGATGGGACAGAGGCTTCCAGAGCAGAGGGTACGGCTAAGCAGGGTCAGGCCCCCAGTGTTTCCTTTTCTCCTTTTCTTAAGGGAGTGTTTGCTCTAACCAGGGCTGTGTGCTCAGCACCAAATGCTCTGCATGAAGTGTCCCAAGCACTCCCCCGGATGCTCTCCCCTGTCTTTTCCAGACAGTCTTGCAGGGGGACTGACTGCTTGTGCACTGGGGCTGCTCCTTCCTGGAAGCACCTGGGGCCCTTGTGTGGCCAGGGATGCCCTCTGTAGGCAGGAAGGCTGGAAAAGGGTGGGGGAAGGGAGGGAGGGGGCCGCTGCAGGCTCCCCTGTCATGCGGAGTCTGGCCAGAAGACGCCGAGTCAGCTGCTCTTCCTGCCAGCCTGGCCTACTTCCCAGGATGGCGGTTCAGATAAAATTTTGGAACCTGCGCCTGCTGTTCCGCTCCCCTTGGACAAAAGGCCAGGTGAAAATGGAAGTGAGGCCGAGGGAAGCCTCTCACCAGCTTCCTCGTCACCACAGATGGCCCCCAAGCCAAAGCAGGTCTTGTTTGCCCCAGGCCGTGATGCGGCTCTGCTGCAGATGCGGAACTTGCAGTCCAGCCTCGAGGCCTGCCAGTGCAAGGCGGCGGAGCGGGATGCTGTGGCAGAGGAGCCGGTGAGCGTCCTGCGGGCGCAGCTGCAGGCGCAGCAGGAGCGACTGCTGGCCAGCGCGGAGCAGGTGAGCTGCCGGGCCGGGGAGGGGAGGGTCCCCCCAGGCTGCCCTGCTGAGTTCTTCTCCTGCTCCCTCTCCTCGAGGACGGGCTGATCTCTCCTGTTAGCCGCTAATTCAGAAATCACGGATGGCAAGGCTGCCAGAGGATGCACAGATCCCCTTCCCCCACTTGCCTGCGGCCAGCTCCCTGCTCTCGTCTCCTTGCCAGGGTTGGAGGCGCAGTGTCCCCCCGGTGAAGCCACGCTGCCCCGTTCCCCGACAGCCCTGCTTTGATGCGTCCTTCTTGCTCTTCATCCATTTTGTTTCCCTGAAGAAGGGCTGCCCCTGGCAGTGGGGAGCAGGCGGCCGCCCCGCTGTCCCTTGCCTCTGGATCCCACTGGCCTCCGGTGGGAAGGGCAGGAAAGTCATGCGCTCCGGAGGGCAGTTGGTCACGAGTGGCTGCAAGCGTCAAGCCCACGGACACATGGAAACAAATCCAAGTTCACCAGCGCCCCAAAAGCGCAACAGCCCCATCCCGTGCTCCCCAGGAGGTGCCTGGAGGCCGCGGAGCTGAGCTGATGGAGCCAAGAGGCGTGCCCTCTGCTACCAGGGCAGGCTGCCCTTCCCCAGGCGCCCAGCGCAGAGTTTGGCGCTGGCACAGAATTGCAGCTCTCCTTTAAGAAAAGCCGAGAGATGCTTGGAAGTATGTGGCAACGGCTGATGGCATCTCAGAAACTGGAAAGGCAGCTGGGAGGGACTTGCGCCCCCACGCAGCGCCCTCCCACAAAGCGGGAGAATTTGCGCAAGGGTGGCCAGCCTGCCGGCAGGACTGGCACGAGTCGCGAGATCTGGGCTGCCACGGCTTGCCTTTCTTCCCAAGCTGGCTGTGGCGTGGCTTCTTTTGATCCACATTAAGCACTCGGCTCCCTGACCTGCTTGCCGTTGGATGCTGTCCGTATTCTGGCGCCGAGACGCGAAGGCGCACGGCCCTCAGCCTCTCGCTCGCCCGCCCACTCGCTCGCTCGCTGTGGCCACTCGCCGACCTTCTCTTTCGGTCCCCTGTCAGGCGGCTGTGCTGGAAGACGCACCTGCGGCCCGGAAGACGCACCTGCCTCCCTCCGACGCGGGCGAAGGCGAACCAAATGGGGAGGTGGCTGCCACTGACGTCGCCCAGCTCCAGAAGGAGAACCGGGAGCTGGAGCAGCAACTTGCCGAGAAGAGCAAGGTGCCGAAATGTGCCCGGCCCCCCGCCGCCCTTTCCTCACGTGCTGTTCTGCCCCCGCACGCCTTGGCAAATGCCCCCTGCCACTGGGGCTTCCCTTCCCCTCTCCCCCCTCCCTCCCAGTCGTAGCGGCTCCTCCGTGCTTTCAGCCCTGGGACGGCATCTCTCGGCTTTTGCATTGTCTATGGAAGGAAGAATCGGGGTCTGAGCAAGAGCGCCCCAAATAGCGAGGGCCCCTTCCATTAGTGTGGTGAGCAGGGTGATTAGGCTGTTGATTGTTTAGGCCAGCGTTCTTGGTTTCCCAGCCTCTGCAAGTGAGGCTTGACCCAAGCGCATTCCTTCTGCTGTGTTGAGGGTCCTGAGAATAGAATCCGCCCCCATGGAGCTGCCCCAGATGTCCCCAAAAGGGGGCCTGTTGGGATTCTCGGCTCGCCCTGCCCAGGGTTAGGGTTGAGCGGCAACCCAAACGTTTAAGCGAGCGGCTTCTCAAAAGTAACTGCAGGCAAGCCCCTCCGCTCCCTCCTTGCCGCACACACAGCCAGCAGCTGGCCTTGGGGGCTCGCCTGTCGCGTTTCCTCAGGGTGGGACCATCAGCGCACAGGATGTGCCGTAGCTCTGGACGGACTCACGCTGCCCTGGATTGAGATTCTCCCCCTTCCCCGCAATTTCTCCTCTGGCAGATGATCAAGCAGCTGCAGCAGAGGATGGCCGAGCTAAAGAAGACCCTGCAGAAAGAGCTGGTGAGTTCGGCCTGAGAGCAAAGCCGCCCTGGAGGCATTCGGGAAGTGGCAGGAGGGCCTGGGCCACTTTGCCGAGTGCCGGCTCGCCTCCCGGGGCGAGGGATGCGACTCCCGTGTGTGCAGACCGTGGCGGCGCTCGCCTGTGGCGCGAGCAGCGCGCTGGTTCTGGGGGGTATCAGCAGTGCGTTCCGCAGGCCTGCCGCCAGCTCTGCTGGGATGAGGGCTCCTGAGGGGCTCCCCCATGCACACCGCACACCTCCAGATCTGGCCCACTTATGAGCACAATGACATGTGCTCATAAGTGGGGGGGCTGTTGTAGAAATGGGGGGGGGCGCCATTGCCTGTCCGCTGCGTAGGCCGGCCAGCTGGCGCCTTGCGGCTGGCAAGGTCCTTGCCGGAGCCGTCCTCCTGGCAGGCGCCCCCCGAGGCAGCATGCCCTGGGTTCGGACGGCCGCGTCAGCTGCTGCTCCCGCCCGCCCGCCCGCCACCTCCGGCCGGCCGCTCCCTGCCGCCGCGCTCGGGGCCAGCTCTCCGAGGGCCCTGCACGTTGCGGAGCAGTGAAGCGGACCGGCCAGACGACGCGGCGCTCCAGCGGAGCTGGCCTGGCAAAGGGCTGCACGTTTGCCAAGCAGAGCAGGGACTGGAAGGGAGCCTCGTGCTGCGGTCCCCGCACGGGGCCCTCGGGCGTGCCCGGCTGAGCGAGGGCAGAGGGGTGGCGGGGAAACGCGTGTGCAGCCGGCGTCTCGCCGCCCTGACTTGAGGAGCTGCGGGTGGATGGAGCGCGCTGACAGGAGGGGAGGCGGGGTGGCCTTTGTGCCGCAGGGTCAGCAGTGGGGGGGGGGGGGGGGGTTCTGCGGCTGTGGTTAGGAGGCATGCTAAGCTCTTCCGCACAGCCCACGACGAAACGCCCTGCTGGGTTCGGACATGGCAACAGGCTGCTGAGGGAGTGAGCCGGCCAGCACAGCCCGGCAAGGAGGCAGGGGCCCACTCAGTGGCTTATCCACAGGAAAAATGGCGCGCTGAGAAGCCCGCCCTGGGTTTGCATGCCAGGAGGAGCGACCCTGAAGCAACCTCGGCTGGTGCGCCTTGTGCTGCCGGCATTTCTGGGCGCTGGAGAGGCTTGGGGCAGCCCGGAGCCACTCCCGCTGGGGCGGCTGGATCCAACCCAGGCTGTTTCGCATGGAGCAGCCGTGGCCCCGCTGGGGCCCATGGTCGCATGGCCAGCCGCCAGGACGCGGGGGAGCGCTGGGTCAATGCGCGAGGCGGGCACGGCGTGGCGCAGGGTCACCCCGTTGCAAGGCAGGCGCCCGCAGCAGGAAACCTGCTTTCCCGCACGGCTGGTGGGCAGGGCAGGGCAGGGCAGGGCAGGCAGCGGTGGCTTTGCTGGGCTGCCTCCCAGTGCTCTTTTCTCCCCCCCCACAGAAAATCCGACCCGACGGCGAGGCCCCTGAAGCACCTGCTGCCACCTTGACTGTGACAAACAACTCCGACTTGAACGACTCGCGCGAGATCAACTTCGAGTACCTGAAGCACGTGGTGCTGAAATTCATGTCCTGCCGGGAATCAGAGGTAAGCGGGGGCGGGGGGGTGTTGCTGTCCCCTTTCCTGCTTTCAAGCGGCATTTCTGAGGCGAAGCCGAAAGGTTCGCTCGCGCGGAGCAGCTCCTGTGCACCTTGTTGGGGACATCTCCATGCAGGCCAGGCGGCAGCCCACTCTGCGCACACAGCCTCTGCCCTGGGCTCCCCGGACAGGCGCGCCGGGCACCTCCCCGGTGCTCTTTCTGGTGTCCGGCAAAGACTGGTTTTTATTTTCCCTATATTTCACTCGTTTAACTTTAAACCTTTGCTTTTATATATTTCATTCTGTTCAGAACTGCAGCCATGCTTCGATGCTGAATCATAGCGATTGCGATTAGGGTTTTATTCTTTTCGATTAATATGCCTTTTTAGTACTAGTTTAAATTTAACTTCAATTGCCCAGGCAGCCTCAGCTATTGAGTGGTATAGAAAACAGAGTGAAACGAAGAAAGGAGGGCGAAAGAGCTGGTGCGCTCGCCTCTGCTCCCCGCTCTCGTGGCTGGAGAGTCCACCGTTGGCGTGCCTGCGGGGCCCCTCTTCCCTTCGGAGAGGTGGGGGGCCGGGGGGGCCTCCCTCCACTGCAGCAGGCGCTCTGGCTCTGCACAGCAGCCCAGCGGTGACGTGCAGGTGTGTTGCCTTGCAGGCGTTCCATCTGATCAAAGCTGTGTCCGTGTTGCTGAACTTCTCTCAAGAGGAAGAAAACATGCTCAAGGAAACTTTGGAGTACAAGGTGAGGCTTCATTTGAACTCTCAAAAGGTGGCGAAGAGCCGTGTCTGATGGGCCACGCGGCTCGCTTTCCCTCCCGGTTTCCAATCGCGGCCAGCTTGACGTGGGTGGGGCGTCCACGAGCCGGACATGCCGGCGGCAGGTGTCCCCCACACCACCTCCCCAGCAGCGGGCACCAGGGGCAAGCGCTCGCTGCGCGCGCACGCGGATGCTCCTAGCCGAGCCAGCGATCGTCAGATCCTCCCGGCGTTCATCTGATCCCTCCTGGAGCCACGTATCCGGTAGTGCCATGCTGCACAAGGGGCTTTGGCTTTGCCTGGCCCAAGTCCCCCTCCCCCCCGGCTTCTGCAGATGGCCCCTGCTCCACCCTGGATTAGGAAAGCAGAACGCGCCGCCCCCGGCCACGCGGCACTTTTGGCCCCATCGGACACCCTCTCCCTGCCGTTTCTCCGAGTGCAGGTCCCCGGGGAGGTGGGCCTCCCTGCCGCAGGAGCGAGCCTTCCCCGCATGCCGCATCCGCTGCCCGTTTCTGCAGCCTGGCTCCACCTGTGTGGGTGGGGGGCCTGGGGCGAGCAGCAGCCCAGCCCAGCCCTGGCGTGCCCTCGCCGTCACTCGGCTGGGAGGGCACTGCTGTGGAGGGGCGGAGCCCACGTTTGCTCCGCTGCGCTGGGGGGGCCGACTGGGGGTAGCTGTGTCTGTGCGTGGCAGTGGCCGTGAGCAGCCACTTTCTCCAGCGCCTCCGGTCAGTTCCGCGCGCCTCCCTGGAGCCGCGCGCAGGAGCAGAGCTCTCGGCCGGCGTGGTGAGCGGCTCTACTCCAGGCTGTGAGAGGTGGGATTGTTACTTGTGATCCCTTCCTGCTGCCAGAAAGCTGGCCCAAGGGGGGTGGGTTCCACCAGGACCCCTCCCAGCATGCTTTTGACTGGCCGAAAGAGGGTTGCACATGGAGAGGCAGCTTGGAAAAGCTAAGACCACCCCTCCTGCCCCGGTGGTGTTCCACAGCTCATTTTGCTGCAGCTGTTGGCCAGAGCCCTTTCGTAACTCCAGCGTACTGATTTTGCCCCTGCTTTTCCTGCGGGGCTGGGGTAGCTTGGGGGTAGCCCTGCAGAGCCAGCACCGGCGATGCTGGGCTACATGGGCCAAGGCAGCCTCCACAACACAGAGAAAAATTAAGTCGGCAGGTGAAGATAAATGGAAGCAGTGGAGCACCAAGAAGCCACCATGCAACTGGGCTTGAGGGATCACACTGCCAAGCGGCCCTGGTGGGAACCATCATCTTGGCCTGGGGCAGGAGGACCACCCCCCCCCCCGGCTCAGGCCCGCAGGTGCTGCGGGTGGGGCATCAGCACAGTGCTTGGCCTTGACCACGACCCCTCGAAGGGCCCCTTGGTAGGTCCAGCTGCTGGCCGGGGGTGCTGGCCGTCTGCTCCCCCAGTTGGGCAAGGGGCAGAAGGCTGCCACCTGCAGGCTTGCACTGGGGAGCGCGGGCCCTGCAACCCGGCCAGGCCGCCCGCACAAGCCTCTGCCCCGAGTAACCCTGTGCTCCGCCCGTGCTGTGCTTGCCTCCTGCCAGATGTCCTGGTTCGGGTCAAAGCCGTCTCCCAGGGGCAGCATCCGACCCTCCATCTCGAGTCCGAGGACGCCCTGGTCGTGAGTGGCCCAGGAAGTGCGCCAGCCCGCCTCCAGCAGCGGTTTTTCTATGAAAAGGATGCTACGCCCACCCACTTGCGGCGTTTTGAGCACTGTCGCCACAGTATTTTGTACAAGAGTGTTGAAAAAGTTGTTTACCAAGCCGTGCTGTCAAAGGTGTCCTTTCCGGCAGCTGCACCCCATTCCCTGGGGGGGCCAACAGATGTCAAGGTGGGCCATGCTGGGCCTGCTCCTGAGGCCTCCTGGAGTCCGAGGGCGACGCTTGTGGCAGCTGTGGCGCCCTCCTGCCTGGGCAGGGCTCTCCACCCACGTGTGGCGAGTGAGAGGGGCGTGTGCCGCACTTGGGGCGTTAAACCCCCTGGGACGGGGAGCCCGTCTGTCATTTCCGGCTTCGCACGGCTTCACGCGGCTGTACCTGGTGGTGCATTCAACCTGCGCTGGAAGCAGCGCCCACATCCTCCAGCCAGGAGAGCACAACTTTCTACAGACTTGGCTGGCTTTATTTTTCTTAAAGAAAAATAATTTTAAATGGTCTTTACGACAATATTTTTGCCTTTTTAAACTAACGTGTGAATGTGTAACAGTAATTGCAAATGGAGAGAGGAAAGCAGCCTTCATTCTGAGATTGAGAATTGACACTTGTGTTAGAACAAGGCATCAAAATCTTCCTGCCTTGAGGAGGTTGCTACCAAAAGCAGCCCAGTTTGTTCTGCAGCTGAATTTGCGTTGAGGGCGAGGGGCTGCAGCGGAGGGGCCGCTGGGCGCCTTGCGCTCTGGCAACAAACATATCTATCCTTCAGCCACTCCATTCGCTGCTACGGAAGGATCACCATAACCCAGACGGCCTCTCGAACGGATGGCTTGGCTCATACAATCACCATTTCTTTTTAGCACTACACGAGGGCAGTGGCTCGTTTATTAGCAAGCAGAAACTGCGCGGCTGGCCACCAGTTTAGCCGAGATATTTTCCCCCATTCATACTGAACCAAAAAACCCACATCCCGGCCAACTTGCCCTGTACACGGCATTGAGCAACCACGCGAGACGGACCACAGTTCTGTTCCATGGCAAACTGCTAAGCAACCGTGTTTTCACCAGCTGCTTACTAAGATCATCGGGCTGCCTTGTCTGTCTTACTAAGAGCATGGAGCAGATGCTCCTAACGGTTGGCACTTCAGCACTTCCCCAAGGTGTACGTTCCCGAGTGCCGGTTCTGAGGAATTGTATTGAAACTGTCATTAGTGTTGGCTTATTGTAAGCTGTCAGAGCAAGAACTGAGGTGTGTATATTCATGTACTCATAGCAACAAATGCACTTTTTTGCCTTGTACAAAGAAAACACAACTCAATGGGTGTGTATACAGCGAAGAAGCCTGCACGAGCCCTGGCTCGTCCACTCCTGTGTACATACGGGGCCGTGCAAGGTAATGGCTTGTAGAGACCTAATCTGTGGTGCAATACAATTTTGATCAAAACTCAAGGCTGCCTTGATTCCCTTCTTGGGTGTACATTGGTGAGCCGAAGGTGCAAAGGCCTATGCTGGAGGACGCTGGCTTGTCGGTGTGCGTTTGTGCACGGGAGTGCCCCCTCCTCTCACAAGAGGGGAGCTTGCATGCCCTGCAAGATCGCTCCGATTTACAACCTGGGGAGGAAGTGAAGCTGGTGGGCAAAAGGGAGATCGTTTGGATGGCTAACTCCCAGCATTTTGACCACTGCCCAAGCCAGCTAGGAGTTCATGTCCAAAATGTAGTGAAAGTCTTGAAAAAGCCACCCTGCAGTCAGTCTTGCCAAGCTGGGCTAACGCCCCCCCCCCCGGCCTTTCCTGCCACTATTGCGAAGGGTGGCTTCAGACTTGCAGGGGAGTTTGGGGACCCCCGCCAAGGCGCAGCATCCCGCGCCCGCCTGTGTCCCAGTCTCTCCAGACAGGCTGGGCTGCGGCAGGTCTTTGGGCCAAAACATTCAGAAAGCCCGAGCTGGTCTGTCTGCACGACAAAACAAACGGCAGCTCCCAACAGCTTTCACCACCTCCCCCCGAGTGCTGCCTCTAACGCCCTGGCCTTTTAATGGCACGCAGCAGCTACTGCTCAGGCTAGCTGGGGTTGCGCCTGGAAGCGGAAGCAGCCCCTCTCTCGGCAGAGACCGTGGCCTGCGGGGCGCATGTCCCGCTTCCGAATTTCAGATCCTAGGCATCCTCTGCAGCTGTTTTCTCCCAGGTGATGGTCACTGAAAAACTGAATTTAGTGTGGGAAACGGAGATCCACACTCCACCTTAACATTTGCTATTGCAAATGGCCCCCCACAAGAGCAGACATGAGGCACTGGGCTTTTTTTTTTGGAGGGAGAGGCGGAAGGGCCCAGTTTTGCCTTACCAAAAGCAGCGGCAGCAGCTTGAATCCCACCTTAAATGTGCAAGCTTTGTTTCCCACGCTAAGTATGTGTGGCCAACATGTAGCTGTTGCAGGAAAGCATCTACAAGCCCCACTTTTGGTGCCCTCCCCCTTGAACGGACTGGCCCTGAAAGACTCTGCCCTTCCACCGGCTCTCGGAGGACGGAGCAGGGCCACAGTGCCGATGAGGAACGCGAACCGTCCAAGAACTTTATTTTGATAGCATGGGACCGACCCCAGCCCGGCCGCCTCAGCTATGTACAAAAAGCCCCCTTGCATAAGAAAACCCCCAAACCAAGCGCTCATTTCACTGCCAGCACCCCCGCCCCCCCGCACTGCAAATGTCTGTCCATCCTAAGTCTCAGTCTCTCTCGTCCCACCGCTCGGCCAGAGCACAGCAGCCGTCCTGGACCCCCAGCGCTGCCCAGCGTGGCGCCAGGTGCTACTGGATCTGACAGTCAGAAAAGATGATTATGCAAACATTCCCTCCAACCGTTGCGGTTAAAAGGACTTTGTTCCAGGAGAGGAAGGAGAGCCCCCCCCCCCCCCCGCAGTACTTCAGTCGATGAGGGCTCCTAGAAGGGCGACCGAAGCGCCAGCTGCAGCCAGTCCCTCCTGGCTCCAAGAGAGTTCTTGGTGTCTCAGCTCAGGTCCTTTACACAGTTTTTCGTGCAGTAAGAACTCTGACTATGGAGCCCAGGCCTCCTACTGCTAATGCCTGGAGGGCGAGAAAGAAAGACGGGTTAGTCTCCGGGCCAAACTCAGACCAAGCAAGGCAGGCCCATGTCTGCTCTGCTCCTGCAGGGCCTCCGTGGCTGCCGGCTGCATCTCGTCCTCCTCTGCTGGGCACCCAGAGCAGCCCTGAAAGGCCACCCAGCCCCGTCCCTTGCCAAGCCAAAGGGCAGCACCAGCTCTGGGCGATGCCCTCCTTCTGTCGCTTCGTCAAACAGGTGTTCCCATGGCACACAACCGCTCTGATGCGTTTAACAGGAGAGAGCGCTCCTGCCACCCTAACAGGATAGGAGAGGCTTGATTTGGTGGACAAGTCAGGACTGAACCTGCCCCAGGGAATACAGGCCAGCCAGACCACACACTGTTGCAGAACCGGGGATTTCTAGAGAAGAATTTGAACCTCCCCCCGCCCCCGCTTCCTGGGCCAGGCACTGAACTGCAGCAAACTCCACCTCGCCTGCTCTGAACAGCTCGGAAAAGCGAGAGGGGGCTTGCTCGTGCTCTGCAGGCCTTGGCAAGCCGCCTCTTCCTGCACAGGCAAGCCGGGGGCCTCTGCCTCTCCCCAGCCCTCCGTGTGGGCGGGCAGCTGGGCTCCCTCGCCCCCCCGCCGCAGTTGCTCAGGCAGGTGCAGCTTCCGGCCTCGTCGGGCACACTTGCGATCCGCGTGACGCCACGGCACCAGGCAGAAGCTCGCGGCTCATACGGCATCCCCCTGGAAGCGCAGGCCAGCAGAAGCGACTGAGCGCAAAGCAGGAAATCAAGGCAGCGCCTCCCACACACGAGCCTCACGCGTGGGAAGCTGTGGGCACACGCGCTGACTTTCGCTCCGCCTCCTGAGCCGGAAGCAGGCTGCCTGTTCTCACAACCACCTCCACCCCAAGCACGAGCCCCCGACAGTCCCAGGCTGCGGTTTCCATTGGAAACAGCGTGCAGAGATGGCTCCCGTTGTCATGAGAACGCACAATCCACCCACTGGTACATCTGCAAGGAAGCAGCCCAGGGGCAGCATCACGGGCCTGGTAAGCCAGTGGCGGAAGGGCAGGCACACGCTTAGCCTCACCACTGGCACGGGGGGCTCCGGGGCTGCGAGCCACTCTTCCTTCCTGCACGGGTCCCACTTCAAAGGAACCCTGGCTCCCTTCAGGGAGGGAGAGCCACCAACATCTCAGAGCCGTCCGTTACCCAAGAGTCCTGCAGAGGCTGGCTGGGTCCAACGTTAGTCTGAATCCAGCCCTTTGGGGCGGGCAGTGTGTGGGACTGCGGCTGTTCCCACGCATGCACGCAGCAACCAGCACTCCACCACTTCCGGCAGCAATATTTTTGCAAACTGGAATGTGTTGCACCAAAAAGCCCCTACACAGAGAAGAGCAGCGAGGCAGAAAGGAGGGGAATCTGAAGCTTTCCCGACACACTAATCTTCTCAGAGGCATCTGCGGACATTTCTTTTTCTTCTTCCCGGGAAGCAACTAACTGCCCCCCCCCCCGGCCCCCACAGCCTCGGACTGGAGTGCACAGGAAGCCCATCAACACCCAGCCTGGACCTTGGCCGCGCTGAGCTCCAGCAAGCAGGACAAGCAGGAAATCGCTGCAGCCACGCCTCCCGCATTCCAGCCGTGCTCAGGAACACTGCACCATTCACACTCCGTGCAGCAGGTGTGTTCTTTGAGGACACACCTGGAGAGCCACTTCCCACCCCATCGTCTGGAGAATTGGCGCATGGCTGCAAATGCAACCATCTTCCTTGGAAAACAAGAGCCCTCTCGCCTCGTGCCAAAAACGCAGCCCTCCTGCACACAAGCTCTGTGGATGCCCGTGGTGTCAGCGTCCCTCCCATCGGGGCGCTTCAAGGGTGCCACATGCCGAAATGAGGCCCCCGTGCAGCGCCTGGCTCCTCAGCTCCATGCTTCCCCTGAATTCTGCCATTATGCAAACTCTCCAGCAACCAACCTGCCCAAAGGCACATCCAGTTGCAAGATCTAAAGCCTCCCAACCCACGTCCGGGGGGAGGCAATGAGTGCGTGCAACCGCAGGTGGATGGGGCAGGGTGCAAAGACCTTCAAGAGGGGGGCCTACGGGCTGGTGGGGGGGGGGAGACACCTACCTTTTCGTGCCACTGAAGTAGTATTGCACTGCTATTTTCCGTTGGCTTTTCAAACCCTTTATAAATGTACTTCATTAACAAGTCAATGCCACTGCTATCTAAGGAGTTCACCGCCTGCTCTATCTCGCTGCCTTTAAATGATGTCAGAACCTTCAGCACCATTTCCTGGGCCCGCTCCTGGAGAGAGAGAGAGAGACACACACACACACAGGACAGAATGAGGCCTCACATACAGCTCGCACTGGCTGTTTCCTCGGCACCGGCTTTCCTATGGGAAGGCCGAGTCCTAAAGGGCTGTTTCAAAGTGCGGGGCTGAGGAAGGCATGCACAGTCCCCCGACAGGCAGCCCTCGGCCAGGTGACAGCTGGCCATCTGGAAAAATGCCGTGCCCACCAAATGGCCGCAGCATGTGCACACTGGCATTTGCCGTATCGGGACACGGACGGCCAAATCCGCCCCTCCCCGGCCGATCCTGCTTACCTTGGCCGCGGGGTTCTTTGTGTTGGTGGGGGAATTCTGCAGAGCTGCGTGGAACGCTCTGAGCATGTCGCCTGTTCGGCAAAGCGGGTCAAGGAGCTAAAGCGCTTGGGTGGACAAACAGAACACCCCATGCTCAGGACCTGGAAGGGGGCCTGGAAATGGAGAACGGCTGATGGAAGGCCCAGCACTGACTTGACCGTGACTGCGCAGTTCGACCTAATTATGCTCCTGGCAACCAGGGCAGAAGCACCAGCTGTGAGAGCCACTGGTGGCCAGCTAGGATTATTATTATTAATTACATTTCTAGACCACCTGTACAGGCAGCCGGCATCGCTCTCCAGCAAGCCTCCCGGGGCTTCTGCCAATGGGGTTCCCGCTTCATCTATAGCTACAGAAGCGACCAGCTGAGAATGGCTGGGCCGCGAGGTCCCATGCGCTCAGCTGGGCACCACGATCGAGCAACTAAAGGAAGGACACAAGCCTTCCAAAAACAGGACTCCCTGTCCCCAACATGCGAGAATACTACTCTGTGCATTGCATTTCTGGATGTCCTGAAAGCCTCAGCAAGGAATTTGGTGGAACCCACTCCGCTCTCCAGAAGATCCCGACTGCAAGCAAAGACACCTGGTCTCTCAAGACTGATCCCTGTCCAGGTAGCCAGAGCAACTCTGCACACTGAAGTGGCAGGGAAGGCCTCCTCACCCAAAGCAGAGGTGACTGCACTTCACGATGAGACAGTCCAAGGACCGCCGGGGTCACAAGCAGCCTTGAACTCATCTGTGGAACTCTAAGCCTCCCAGTATCGCAACGAATCTGACTTGCCCGTCTTCTCCCTAAAGCTGCTTCTGCTGCTTAGTTTTAGCATTTCACTTATGCAACCACCAGGATGCAAACGAGTAAGGAGAGGCATCAAGGAGCAGCTGGGCTTGTTTAAAAAAAGCTTCGACTGCCGCAGACAGCAAACCCACATTTGCAATTAAACCACCACACGTGGGGGCCGACTCCCGATGCACACGGGATCTACTGCGCCCCCTGCTCCTTCCCGCAGCAGCCCCTCCAGCCTCCCAGCAACGCCGGAGCGAGGAAGGCCTGCTGCATGGGGAGAGCGATGGCCTGGGGACAGGGAGGGAGCAGCGCGGGCACAAAGGGGACAGGCCCTCTTGCGGGCGCAGATTGGAACCCTTTGGTGCCCGACGCACGTAAAGGCTGAACCCAGGCAGTGGCCTCCCTCCTGCCGTTTGTGGCCACGTCACTCTCGAAAGCACATGAAATGGACTGGGGCTCTTTGGCATGCGAGGCCTGTGCAGAGAGTGCCACATATAAAACCGCCCCTGCCTGGTGCAGAAAACGGGATTGTTCAAAACCGGCACAGCCACGGCTTCCCCCCACTTGTCCATAGAGCTGGGAGCTGGGCTGGGAGGTCGGCAGGCTCTGCTCTCCCACTGCCCCACATGAACGCACCACCCCCTGAGGAGCTGAGGCCTGTTCAACACCGCCTTCTCTGGCCTCCCAACCAGAACACCTGCCTCCCAGCAGCAGCAGCAGCAGCAGCAGCAGCAGCAGCAGCAGCAGCAGCAGCAGCAGCAGCGAGATATGTGATCAGCGTGATGTGCGTAATCACTGTGGCGTGCCCTCTGCTGTGAAGGAGGGCCTCGCTACAGATCTGTGCTACCTTCCGGTGGATTTCCGCCACCAGGCACCAATTCCATCCAACACCCTTTCTGCTAACACAGGTCCTCTTCCGTTCTCTTGCTACCACCAAATGAGCAAACCAGCCAGAAGGCTTTGAGCAAGGCACTGGCAGAATTCCGATTCACCAGTACAACAGATCCCACGCTATGCTTTAAAATCAGCAAGGACATGACCAAAGGTTGCCCATTCTACCACGAGGCAGAGGCCAATGCCGTTGGAAGACCAGGAATTCCAACCACCAAGTGATGCCTCTCATGTAAATGTGGAACTCTGCCAGTTTCGTACGTGATGGAGAAAAGGCCCTGGTTACAATGACTGACATAACGCTCTTTTTCCGTACATGAGCAAATCAATGAGGCACGGACCTCTGCAACTCACCAGTGGCACTGATGAAAACAAGAAACGGATCTGACATTGCAGAACTCAAATAAAAGGATGGCAATGAAACATTTTTGGTCTCCAGTTTCAGTCGGGTTCTTAACAAAAGCCACAATCTGGGTTATGTCCCTGGGAAGTTGGTGGCAGTTATTTTGAGCAATTTTAAAACAGAGTGGCTCTACTCACTCACTGCAAGCCTTTCTAGTCTACTGGAGAAGCTGCAGAAAGGGCAAATGGAATTTCCTCTTCCTGCACCACAAGTTGTGAATGGGCCATCTAAGGGTGCAGAGCCATCCTGCAGGGAGCGCATGCGCTCGTGGCCACAGATCCACTATGGATGCGGTGACCTGGGGCACAGCGTCCAGAGCGTCCTCCTCAAATGCCTCTAGTCTCCCTGGAGCACTAAGGACAGGACCAAGTTCCACAGGATCAAATGCACCGGCAAGAGGAGCCTCAGCTCTGCTCTGGTTACATTTCAGTGCGCTCACGGGGCCTTTTTGACAGAAGTGCCGTGTGCGCCCCTCAGTCTCTCTCCGGCGAGTGACAGAAGCAGCGCCCTCCTGCTCTGCACTCCAGAAAGCACAGGCTCCTCTTTCACCACGAGGTCTGGGCAGAGGCAGCGCCTGCTGGCCCCCGCTTGCAGAGGCGCACCCACCCGCTGCCACCAACACCCTCCGGAGCGTGCAAGTGCTTCCTCGCCAAACCTGATTCCACTCACAACAGATGCATGCATCACGGCCCTGACACACCAGGACGGGTGCAGGGTGGGGCTAACCTCACGCCACAGGGCTCGGCCTTGCCCCGCCACCCTGCTCCTTTGCCCTCGCAAATGTTCTGCACCACAGGGCGCCACAGCCTCTGCTTCGGCAGGTGTCGGCTGCGCCTCACAACTGCTCGGTCGTCCCAAATTACACGGCACATCATATGCACTGTGCAGCAATCAGCTTCCCGAAGGTTACAGGCAGAAAAGACCAGCCCTTTCCGGCCCCGCTCTGCCTTTTATGGTCACCCAATGCCAGTTCCATCCCCCCCCCAAACAAAATGTGACAGGCAGACCTGAGCAAGGGCTTCCCACCAAGGACTCGAGCCCTCCAAGGGAGGCGAAGCAGAAGTCTATTACCAGAGTGCGGGAGATGGATCCCTGTAAACAGCCCCTCAAGATGAGGTCTTGGACCAGAGAGAGAGGAGGGAACAGTGCTTGCCAGTTTCAGACACAAAAAGTCAGAAGGGAGGCTTGGATGAGATGAAAAGGCTGTTAGGAATAATGGGTGAATATGCATAGAAATCTGCAATAATTCTACACCATTGCCAAAGTTTGGCATTATGGGAAGAGAGCAGAGTAGGGTGAGTTAAGAAACCTACTGTAGCTCTGGGCTGTGACAGGGGCAGGTATGGAGTTCTGTCTGAAATTCACTATTAGCCGAGTCGCAATCAGTACCAGAGGAAAGAAGCAAGAGCTGAAGTAGCACAGGATGCACTGAAGGAAAACTGCAGAGACAAAGAGGCTGGCAGGCAGTTGCAAGCTGACTCCCAAAGGACTTCTAATACTGCCAAACAGTCCCCTCAGTCCTCATACAACAGGCTCACACCTGGAGTAAGAATTGCCTTGGCAACCAAACTAAGTAAGGGCTACAGAAATAGACTCTCTCTTTTCCAGCCACTCCCAAAAATCCAGAAGCCACAAAATATTCAGGCACATTCAGGCAGATGGGCTACTAGTCACTTGCCTGATCTTGCCTGCAAAGCCTCTGTCTTCGCTTAAATAAAGTCTTCATGGAGGCAGCAGCTGCAACACAGAACTCCAGCAAACATTTTCTTACCTGCTCCATCCCACAGAATGAAAAAGAACAATGCCCTAACACCCTAGTCTTCTACTTGTGGGTCCTACACAATGGGATTGCAGGTGCACCTCCAGTAAATCACAACAGCAGCATTTCCACCATGCAAATATGGGGAAGGGGACAGAGGAAGCAGCTCCCTGAATGCATATGTGGGTTAAACAGGAGCCACAGCTCTGGAAAAGAACAGGATCAACACTACTAGCCAGACTAGTAGTGGGGGAAGATCCAAAAGGTGGGGAGGGAAGGAAGAGGATAAGAGCAATAATGGCTGTAGAACAGAAAGGGTTGGAAAGGAATGTCCTTTTTGCAGTGATAGAACAGGGAGATAAGTGAACAAACTTCCCCAAATCCCAAGACAATCTTCCTCAACCTGGTGCCCTTCAGGTGTTCTATACAGCAACTCCCATTAGAAGCAACCAGCATGGCCAATGGCAGGGATAATGGGAGATGTGCTCCAAAACAGATAGAGAGCATCAGGTTAGGGAAAGCTAGAACAGAAAAAAGAAAGGGAATGGGAGGAGAGCAGTGCCTCAAAGCATATGGGAGGGGGAGAGTAACAGGAGGCAGAAGAAATACCCCCCAGTAAATAAGGAGGGGGGGAAACTGCGGAATAGTGGGGTGAAGAACGAAGTGAGAGCAGTGAGGTCAGCCCCAACCCATAGGGGATAGAAAGAAAGGGGGTGGGAAAGGGGAGACAGCCAGCCCGGAGGGAGAAAAGGGTGCAAGAAGGAAGTCCTCCAGAAAGGTGCTGAGAGAAGGCATGAGGCAACGGGAGGGTCCAGAGAGACATCCGCCCCCCGCCCCACCACGTGCGTGTCAGAACAGGCCGGAGGAGTCTCCCAACACTGGGTTGGACTACATCTCCCGGCGTCCAACGGTCAGCATGGGAGGCCTACTAGGTTCAAGCAGCCTATAGGACGGGCGCCCCTAACGGGTCGCAGCACAATCAGCTGGGGATGCTGGGAACTGTAGTCCAAGCCACCTGCGGGGCGCCGGGGGAGGTTGGGCGGAGAAGGGCGCAGGGTGGGGGCTCCCTTGCGGTCGCCGTCGCCGTGAAAGGATATTGCCGCAGCGCCGCCTCCACCTCCGGGCCGGGCCCTCCGTCGCCCTCCGCCGGGCCGGCCCCGCTCCCGGCCTCCGTACCGGCATCGGCGCCGTCGGGCTCCTCCACGAAGCGATTCTCGTCGAACTGGTCGATGTCGAGGCGGCGGAAGCGCGAGGAGAGCGAGCTCCGCGCCATGGCCGAGCCGGGACGGGCAGTCGGGAGCTGCCCTCAGCCTCGCCCTCCGCCTCAGCCGCCGCCGCCGGGCCGCCTCAGACACACACGCTCGCGCCGGCCGGAAGCGGAAGCCCCGCCCGCCCGGCGGAGGGGCGGGGCTCGGGTCGCCCCGCCTCCCCGCACGTGGCCCCGCCTCCCGCCCAACGGCCGGCCGCGCCGGGGCCCCGCGCCCGCTCGCCTTCGCCGGCGCGGATGAGCCCCGAGCCGCCCGCACGCCCGGCCTTTGCGGCCGGCGCCCCGCACAGGCCCCGCGCGGGAAGGCGTGCCCGCCGCGTCCCCACGGCGCGGAGGGCGTCTCGCAGGCGGGGCGCTCCGTGTCGTCGAGACGCGGGGCCGCCCGCTTCCTCCCTCGCCCCCCGGAGCGCCACGACTCCGCTTCGCGGAGCGGGGCCCGTGGGGGCATCGCGCCCGACGAAGAGCCTTGCTTTGAATCGGGGGAGGCACGGGCGGCCTCGCTGCTCGCTTGCAACAGCAGCAGGATCGGAAGCCGTCCTGAGGAAAGTCGTGCGGGCGAGCTTAGCTGGCAGCCGCAGCCGGATCCTGCGCCTGCAGAATCCAGCCCTCCTGCCTTAGCAGAAGCCAAGCTACCTGCGATTTCAACCGCTGCATACCTTGGAAATAAAATTAAGCAACCCTGCCTTGAAATACTAGGGTTCTCCCAGTCCTAGGAGGAGTAATATTTCCTCCAAGTACCAGTTTTGAGTTAGGGCTCCAGTCGCCGAAGCACAAAACTATGTCTCTCTCAGGCAAGGCTGAGGCCAGAGACGACAGTGATGGGCAGCCTATAAATCCCCTAAATAAATAAATAAAATAAAATAAACCCGGATCACACCTGTGATGTATCTCAGAGATGAAAATGAAAACACATACATTCACATCCACAATGTAGGGTTTTATTTTGAATGTTTAACCTAGAGGCAGAGTTCAAGATACGACTTTATTAAAAATACAAGGTATCTGAGAAAAATCAGAACAATTATTTTAATGTACAAATTCAAATACCTGTAGTGGGTTTTGTATTTCAGTTTGAATCCTAAAAAATAAAAACAAAACCCAACAAAAATTAATCGGGGGCAGCTTTATAAAGCACTTATTTATACCAGCTTAAAACAATATAAACAAGGACAATTCACGTTTACATCTTGGATATCTGTACACTAAGTGGGCTTTGAAAATCTGCTTGTGCACAGGAAGTACATCTTTGCTGCTGAAATCTCTTAAAACTTTATCCCCCCAAAAAGCCTCCTTAAAGACAGCCCCTATATGAAATAAGGAGATCAGACTTGTTCTAATGACTTGCTCTGTTTTTATTTTATTTGAAGGGAAAATGCCATTTTCCCCTTAAGAAAACTCAGGAAATTATTAAGTACTACAAGGGAAGTACTGCAAGGGAAGTGCTTAGACAGAGATTTCCAAAGCACTCTTTGACAAGTCTGGGAGATGTTTGGGACCAAAAGAGAAGGTACATGTGGGCAATAAAGAGACGCATCGCTACAGACAATATACAACACATTCAGATAATTTAAAAATAAAAAAGGCAAGAGGCAGCATTTCAGCAGCAAAGTGCTTGATAAAAAGTATGTTACACAGAAAACAGTACAAGGGGCACAAAAATATTCTCAGAGGAAATATGGTGTGGTCGTTCTGGGAGGAATCACGCGCTCTGAGTCTGGGACTGCCCGAAAGAGCTTTGGTTCTCTGGTATTGACATCTTTAAAGACCATGATGGAAGCGATATTCCCACAGCGGTAGCAGTAGTTTGGGGCAGACCACACGGTTACCAGCTTCTCATCAAACATGAATTTATAGCCCTCGTGTACCAGCTGGTGAGCTCGACAGATCAACTTTAGATTGTTGATGTGGACAAACTGTAAAAGGGAAAGAGGGAAGGAGGAAAGTGATTGTGGCAAGGATTCCGCCTCTCGCTGAGGCAGCCACAGCAACTGTTCAGAAAAACCGGCACGTGTGCAAAGGAGGAGATGATGTTCTCTTGCCCCAAGCTGAAGGCCTCCTTTTGCACCCTGCACCCCAAGTTTCTCTCCCAAAGACGACGCTGCTCGAAAGCCAGAAAGCAGCTCTAAGCTAGTGCAAGCCGAGTCCACAGAATAACATTGGCTAAAGTGCTCAGTCTGTTTTTAACGGGCACTGATGTGAAGTGCTGCCATTTTGAGTACCACATCCAAGGGCTTCAGATGACTGAAGCACGTTAATTCAGTAACACAGCTACAACTCTCCAAGCAGAACTTTAGACTGGGTAGCAAGGGCAAGGAGCTGCTGAACCGCAGCCCTACAGCCAAATCCAGCCCACCAGGGACTGTAACCCAGCCTTTCAGGTTCCCACTTTTGCATAGTTCCCCCCCACCCCTCCCCTCCCCTCCCCATTCATTGTAACAACTGAAATGACTGCCCGCTACTCGCAGTAAGAGGTTTCACTAAAATATGCTAACATTTTTGGCATTTTGGTTCATTCCTGGTTTGCCGTTAGTCCCCACCACCGCTGGAATGTGGCCTCCACAAGCTCCTCACAAGTTCAGTGCAGCCCTTGGGACTGATTGCACGCTACACGCATTATCAGTACTTGCTGGGTCAGCAGTATGTCCAGAATAGAAAGGGCTCCCCCAGTTTCAGTTTATCTCATGAAACTAAGAGAACACAAGATTCAGCCATTTAGAGATTGTTCTACAATCCACAGCTCATTTTTCCTGGAAACAGAACAGAAAAGACGCAAACAGCAGCCAGGAAGATGGAATCCAGCTGTTGTCCATGCAGAATAGTCCCTCGCTCTAAAAAAGCAGCCTGCACACCTGCCAACTGTTTCTCAGAGCACCCTTTGAAGGCAAGTCAGAGGCACATGAATAATAAACCGAGCATTTTATGTTGCGGCTTTTCATTTTTCTGCCTTACCTCATTGGTGACTTTTGCCCCAAAAAGCCAGCCTGCTCCTCTGGGACTAATGGCCCAGGTGTCAACATCTTCCGGGTCAGACCAGACGAGGTCGCAAAATGCTCCTTTGTGGGGAATCTCCTGGTTACGCTCGATGGTTCGGATCTGATCCAGCGTTTTGATATCTGGAGACAGGCCCCCGTGGACACAGAGGATTTGCTCATCTATTAACTTGATGTGGAGAATAGGTCTTGTTAGCCGCACAGCTGCCAAGCTTTAGAAGGCGCTAAGTGGGGGCCCAAGGTGAAGCTGCAGGGCCCAAATTACCAGCATATTTTAGTCTTACTGGCAGTATCTTAGCCTTAGGAATGGAGGGGACTGGCACAAAAGTTTGGAAAGGCTGGGCAGGGGAAAGGTAAGACCTGATCAGCAGCCTTCGCGGGCCAAATTCAGCCCCAGGCCTGCGTTCTACATCGCTGTGTTACAGCAGCAGGGAAACAATCCCTCTTCCTTCCTTCCTTCCTTCCTTTTCAAGAAATGAATGTTGAGAATAAATCCTTACCGCTGCCACTGTCAGCATGTCGAAGACTTTGGTGCAGTATCTCCAGGCATTTGCATTTCCATATTTGGTTTGGCATTCATCTATTGCGAAAAGCAAGAAAACGAGGGCAAGCAAAACGTGTGTTATGATTTACAGTTATGCAAGGACAGCAGTGGGCTACTGTGCATTCATTTTCACTCAGTCAGGATGCTCTCATTAATGCTGGTTCACCTAATTCCACACAGCCTATTTTCCCACAAGTTACTAATTAATCTGGAGAACATCCCCACATGCACTAGAATCTCCATAACCTTGCAAGAACAGAATTAGCTATTTCCCACAACTGTAGCATTTCCTCTTGAGTGGTCTTGCATGGCTGACAAAGATACCCATTTTAATCTGTGCTTTCACTGTGCAAGAAAATCTTGTAGTCATTGCTGGCACAGTTTTGTAGAAGACTCTGAAACTTGTCAGACTGACCAATAAGCCAGACAAACAAACAGATCCGATGCCAGGAATCAATCAAACACATCAATTGACAACTGGGGATTTTAAGTCAGCTGTCCAACTTCAGTCAGTACCTTTGGTACTGGCCCAAATTCAACATACCAAACCTATCCTCTTGCTAGTTCTGACCACTTCATGTTTCCCTCGATTACAACACTCATGTCTGCTTTCCATCGCAATAAACCCCACATCCATAACACTCTTCAACACAAAATACCCTCTACACCTTCCACAGAGACACGTCAATTCATCTCCTCATTTACACAACAGTAACTGAGAATCTCTGTTTGTGGCAGGGGTTTCCAGCCTGGGGGTGCCTGCAATCCTAGAGAGTAAAAAATGGGGTTTCAGGGGGTGCAAAAAAAAAAAAAAAAAAAAGCTGTGTTTTTCACCAAAAAAACCCCCAATAATAAAATTATTTATTATTATTTTGTTTGCATTTTGATTCAGTTCTCTTTTGTCAATTCAGACAAAATCTAGGAAATAAAAAAATAAAAATGGAAAAATCCAGGAATCACCTGAATCCACAGGCAGAGGTGCAGAGTGCAATCGGCAAGAAAGTTCCATGTTTTGACAAAATCGTGAATGAGAAGCAGGAACAAAGCAGTCACTGAATTTTACGTTCAATCACAGCTGGGATTAATTTTACTGTTTACTTTTTTCAAATTGCTCAATTTATATTTGAATTTTATGCACTGAGTTAAAAGCTTATTTTTTTAGTTCAGTTTGTTCACCAGCAGTACTGTATGTGGTTCAAAAATTATACATTTGAGTTCTTCATGTTCAAATACGTTGTTACTCTTGCAGGAAGTGTGAACATAAATCAAACGTTTTCTAGTAGAGCAGGACATAGCAAAGGCCAGGAACCCCTGCTCTGTGGGAAAGAACGCTTACCGTAAAATCCATACACCTGCGTTATCTGCCTGCTTTCATGATTTCCACGCAGCAGTGTGATGCGATCTGGCCATTTGGCTTTTAGGGCAAGGAGGTAAGTAAACGTCTCAAGGCTGTAATAACCTCTGTCTACAAAATCACCCTGAAAGCAAAGACAACATTTGCCTACATTACACATCGGGAAACACACCATCTGTGATCGTACATGAACTAACTTGAGCACAGTAGGACTTACAGCAAAGTAAACATAATTAGGTTGTCAGACTTTAATTCTAAGAACACACACACCTCTCATCCCCCTTTTCAGAGATGAAAGGTAAGAACAGAGGAAGCTGCCTTAGAACAGATCACACCATTTTCTGCTTAATGCAGAGTCTGCCCACACTGGATCACCAGGCCTTTCAAGAGACCTTTTCACATCCAGCAAGTGATCCTTTTTCAACTGGAAATACCAGGGGAAGAACACAGGAGCTACACCCCCCCGAGAGCAACGGACTTTCAGAAGCAGGGCTCCAGCCGTGCTTACTTGAGGCCCCTTTCCCTCTCCAGGCTCTTGCCCATTTTTACCTCATTCTAGGAGGACAAAATGCATGTCCTAAGACTGAATTAATGTCAGGAAGTGCTATAAATTCAAAAAGGCTGGTATTTTTGTTCACTCCCTGCTGCCGTTGGCCTCGTCCACCTTAGAACGCAGCCCGTATGAGTTTCTCTGCAAGGGCATTTGGCCTTTCTTGAAATTCCGAAACCATGACTGTCAAAATGGCTACACTAAAAGAATGCAGGTAATTAACGCACCAGTTTAATTTAATTTACCATGTGGCCGGTATGCATTATATAGTAACTCAGACGTGTGCTCTTTGGAAGCAGCAGAGGTATGCCAAGAGGTGTCCCACAACACTCACCAGGGGGAGTTAGGGCTACAACGAACAAAGCTTAAGCTGCCGTCCCTCCACCAGTTTGTCCTCCTTTGCACCATTTTCCAAGCCTACCAGTCTAGCAGAGGAGAGAGGGGAGATTTCCGAATGGCTAGACACCTGGACAGCCAAGCACCTGATTAGTTTTGCAGGCACTGGCAACAGGGCGGGACCTCTGCTTCCCACTCTGCCCGGCCTCACTGGCGAGGTCATGCTTTCCGAGGCTGTGCTAAAGAGCAAAGAGGAGGCACACCGATCAGGCGAGCCAGCAGGACCCGACTGCACAGATCAATAGAACGAGCCGCTCCCTGCCCGATCAAGCCACCAAGTTGATGCAGCATTTCAAAAAACAGTTGTTAGTTCTTTCTGGCATTTTGGATGCACGTACCATAAATATGTAGTTTGTGTCTGGAACTTGACCTCCAGTTCTGAATAATTCACATAAATCATAAAACTGAAAGGGAAGAAAAGGGCTTTAGCAAAGATATAGTTGGACCATGAGAAGGAGGTGCCCCAAGTGACACAGAACCATCGCGGAATTATACTGTGACCTTTCTGTTCATAAAACAGAAACTGCTCTGACCATCAGCAGCCCAACCTACCTCCTAGGGTTGTTGTTGTGAGGAAAAAATGGAGCTACATAAGCTGCCTGGGGTTCTTCACAAAAGAGGAGAAAATGCAGGATATAATTGTGATGCCATTGTCATTTCAGAGGCCCTCTTCCAAGCATCCCTGACGAAGGAAGCTAGGCAGGTAACTACAAAGGAGGCAGCCCTCCCAGTGATGTCACCCCCATTATGGAGTATGCTCCCCAAAGAGGGTCGCTTAGCACCTTTTCAGTGCCAAGCAAAAGCCTTTCTTTTCTCCCAGGCATTTTAGAGACCCAATTCTTAGTTATGCTTGAGCAATTCCTATACTCTTTATTCCGGTGTGCATCTCCGCCTGCAGCCCTGACCTCCCGTGTTTGGAGGGCAGGAAGTGAAAGCACACCTAAATCAAGTGAGCACTGAAAGAAGACCATCATGTCTGATTTTGGACCAATGCCTGGCACTGTTAGTATTAACCGCCCCGGACAAACACGCCCCCTCTTTTTCTTCCAAAGCACAAAGATCAGGGAGACCCCATTCAGTGCTCACTCCTGCTTCCCCCAGGTGAAATGCCTGCGCGTGCCAGCCCTCTCTCGCTCAGGGGGGGATGCTGCCAAGGGAATGGTCCCTCTGAAAATTCCACCTGTCCGTGTATGTCACCGCAGACTGTAACTGGTGTAGAAACTGGCTGCACATTAGATTCTTCCAGAAGCAGGTCGCACACGTAGTCACACAAGCGCTAGAAAGAGAGAATTGCACCAGGTCAGTACACAATTTTCCCATATTGTGGGCAATATAAGTGGCTAACCAGGAGACTTCCCGGACAAGAAGGGACCTTCCATCTATACCTCACGCAGGCCACAAGATCATCTTTGGAAGCCACTCTGCAGGTGTGGCTGGCAAAAGAGGTCTGGGAGAAGGCCTATAAGGCAATGGCAGACCAGAAAGGCTTGTCTGGAGCCACATTATGGGCTCTTCACTGCCAAGTGAGGACTTCTCATTCTCCCAGGCATCTCAAATCTTGTGAGTTTTTAGTTCTGCCCTATTAATGGTTTGCAGTTGCTAGTGTCATAACTGCTTTTGGTTGTAGACCATTGCTATTTTTACTCTGGCTTTTATGGTTTAAAAAGAGCCAGATAACATTAATGAAACATCATATAAATGCATGAAATAAATACATCTGATTTGTATGATAATCTTTCTGCACAGCATACCGAGAAAAATTAGGAAAGCTACTGAAATGTAGCTACCAAAGTTAATAGTGCAGAGGGGGGTTAGTAGCATGCCTGCTCATAAAACTATATGAGTTATTTGCAGTATATCAAAGAGAGAGAGAGAGAGAGAGAAAGAGAGAGAGAGAATCTTAATTTAGAAAAGCTATTCTTCCTGCTCACCTGCCAGCTATACCTAATGCAAATTTAATTGTTGGCAATTAATTTTATCTCCTGTTTATTAGTTAAAAGCTGTAAGATGTAATCCCATGCAGCCAACCTCGCTGGCTGGGGAAAGCTGAGCCTTGTTAAACATGCACCGGACTGTGTCCTTATGCTCTCTGAGGGAGACCCAAATATTCTAGGTTTTGCTTACTAAAGAAATCCATACTATTGGCTGAGAAGTCCTGAGTGTGACAGATAATAGGAAAGAGACTCAATAAAGTACACCAAGCAGCAATCTAAGCTATAGGGCAAATGTTTCATAAAACAGGTACAACCTGTCACAGTAACTCATTTTTTTTTTTAAAAAAAAATCACATTCACTGCCAGCAGGAACAGCTAGATACCTAGGGATATTAAATTGCTAAGTTGTTTCACATTGATTCTAACCCAGATTTCTGACTTGTTTCTTCTAAACAAACCAAAGAAATAACCCATAATATGTCTGGAGTTATTTTTCTGGCTTGTCATGGAACAACCATGCCAAAGGTTCATTTCTGCATGCAAAACTGACCAACCACGGGATCGAGTGTCTTGGGGTCTTTTCCCACTCCCGCTTGCAGCAAAGCAGATTGCGCACATTGACCAACAACCCAAGTTTTTTTTTTAAATCCAGCCAGTGTTTTTAAGGACTTTTAAACTATCTACAGTCAATATCTATTGCTCCAACACAGCTTACAGGACTCATCAGACTGAGGGAAATTTGTCATCCTGACAAAGGATAGTCATAACATAGTCAGCTACATGGTATTCTTTTGCTGCTGTACAATCATAGAGATGAAAGCTGGGAAGTGAATGGTACAAATTTGTTTAAAATCTGTAATAACCTAGGAAAGAAAAGAAGACATCTATGTGCACAACACCTAGTAAAAATAGATTGGGGGGGGGGTGGAAACTAGCTCCAGGAAGTTAAGGATGTAAACATATAGCACACTTTTAAGCTATTACATTATTTCCTGGAGAGAGTTTGCCAGGCAACCACTGAACAAGCATCCACTCACAGAGTAAGGAACTCACACATTTCCTTATGAAACACTGACGGCCTGGGGCTTCTCAGCTAGCCCCATTTGAAATGCACAAAGAAAGGCATTACAGCTCATGTAACTAAGAAGCAGGGATTTTGGCTTGTCAGAGGTTAGGAAAGGTTCACCTGCTGAAACTTCCCCTGAAACTATGTGGGGCACAGGAGCCCTGGGGTTTTCCTGCGGAATATCTAGCTAGTCTCCCACCAAGAGGCATGTCAGTTTTCCTTTCCAGATAAAAAGGTGGAGATCAGAACATGGAGGGCACTTTTCTTCCTTGCACATCCAATGCAGAAACAATCTGCTTCCTCCCACATTGCCCCAAACTCAGCATCAAGCACCAGTGCAAGGAAGACCAGCACCGATTTCTCCCAAAATCTGGAAGAAAATGTGTCATCCGCACCTTAAGCGAGGGCTGGTAGGTACAGTCATGCAAGGCAAGGGGTGACAGAACAGCTACAGGACTATGGAGACCAGTGTTCAATTCCTCACTCAGCTATGGACCCTGCTAGGTGAATAGGGGCACCGCTATCTCTCAACTTAATGAATCTCATAAAAGAGGGAAGGGATCATGTACACTGCCTCGAGCTCTGGAGAAAAGGCAAGATATACGCGTAATAGATGAACAAATAAAATTCTCACATCCTTACACTCTAGTACTGAAATGCATTTGTGTTAATCCATTTAAAACTTAAATCCCTTTCTATCTCTATGTAATCAGTTCTGCTAACAAAAGCAAAAAAGTGCCATCATAACAGCAGAAGCTGAACAACTGGAGCAGAACTTTACTTCTCACCTCAATTCTACCACAGCAGAATATCTCCAACAGACGGAAGAAAAACGTTCTACTATCCAACCACATCGCAGTGCATGTACCCACCTATTTATCTTTTGCTCCCGCCTACGGAACACTGCAATTCTAAACACACAAACTTCTCAGTCAGCCCCAGTGGGATTTCCATTTGTGGACTTAGGTATTTGTCTGCACTGCCTTATTAATCTGCACAGGCTACTAGCATAACAGAGCAGTGACCCTGCACTGGCGGCCCTGCAGATGATTTGGACTACAGCTCCTAGCATTCCTCACCACTGGATATAGTAGTTGTGGCGGATGGGACCTGAAGAGTAAAGCAGCGGGAGGGCATTTCTGCAAGGCTCCCTCACCTCCTAGCTCAACGCACTTAAGCGGGTCTACAGGAGAAGAGAAGCAGGAGCACCGCCTCTCGGGAGAAGCCCCCGCCTTGCGGCGACGCGACCGGCCACCCCCCCAGCCCATGCCGGCCACGGACGCCGCAGTTCAGTCCTGGTGACCGGCCGAGCCATCTGCCCGCAGACCTTCCGGCCGTTGGTGCCGCCCGCACCTTGGGCTGCAGAGCCGGGCAAGGGGACGCGCCGCAGCGCCAGCGAGAGACCCCGCCGCCTTTCCGGTCACACCACAGCTCGGACGTCAGGGCCGCCCAAACTGCTGGGTCCCCGAGCCCCCCGGGGCCCCGAGCCTCCTTGCCGCAGGACTCCGCCCTCCGCCGGCCCCGCCGCAGTCCTGCCACAGGGCGCCGGCCTTCGGGCCTCGGGCCGCCCACACCCGCCGGGCCGCCCGGGCCGCCGCGCCGCGCCGCGCGCCTCACCTTGAGGTCGTTCTCGGGCAGGTACTTGCAGAGCCGCGCAATCTCCACGTACTTGTCCAAGTCGAGGGGCGCCATTTTGGGAGGGAGGGAGGGAGGGAGGGAGAGACAGCAAGAAACCGAGCGCCGCTTTGCAGCGGGGGGAGGAAGGGATGGAAGCAGGAAGGGAGGAAGAGGGGGAAAGAGACGACGGACCGGAAGCCGGGCCGGGCACTTCCGGCTGGAGTGGGCCAGCCAATCTCCTCCGGGCTGAGCGCGCGCGACCCGCACCAGCCCTACCTTGACGGGCGGGGTGAAGGATAATTAAGAAAAACAGCAATAGTATTAATGACAACAACGATTTTAGACAGTCGTTGTCCGCTTTGCTTTCCCCACCCCGGAAGAAGGTGGGCCATACCGGAAATGACAACACTAACTTCCGGCGCGGGTTGGACTCCGACTTTCTACACTTTTTTCCGGCCGGCGGAAAGCAGCTTCCGGCTTTCCTTATTCCGGTTCTCCCCAATCCCAGGCTGCACCGCGCTCGCAGAGGCGCTCCAGCCCCTTGGAATCCTGGAACATGTAGTCAGCCTCTCGTGTACAGTTAACCGCCTTTCCCCAACCTGGTGCCCGCCCCGCAGCTTTGTTGGACTGCAACTCCCAGCCAAGGGGATGAAGGCCATTGCAGAAAATATTGCCGATCAACCTTCCCTGAAAACAGAAAGCCAGTAAAGCAGGAAGAAGGCCAGGATGGCAACTTGCTCCCTGATGATTTCCAGCTCTAATCTTTGTTTACATGAGAGAATCTTCAGATACGGTATCCCTGATCTTCCGTTTGAAGTGCTCCTGTGGAAGAGCTGTAGGTAAACCAGAGAGCAGATCTGTTTTCCATTGCTATAGAAAGGAAGGCCTAAACCAGCCTTTCCCCAATGTGTTGGACTGCAACTCCCATCCTCCTGTCTCAGTCAGCTGTAACTCGCCTCTAGGATACCAGGTTGTAGGAAGACAGGCAAACCCGGGTATCTGGAGAGACATGCAATGCAGAGGGACACCCGGTGGCTCTTCATGGCCGGGAAAAGGGAGCGTGGCATGTAAAGGGTGCCTGGGTTGAACTCTGGCAGCGTCTCCGGGGTGGATTAAACCTTGGGGATCCATTGCTGCCCGCCAGTGCTGACTCCAGCGGGGTAGAGGGACCTGAGCCGCTTCCTAGGTCCCCTTTAAATCGTGCTGCTATCAAGGACCACGAAAGCTAGAATGATGCCTGCAAATGCTCAGAGTATGCTGTGAATTCTGCATGTGCTCAGAGGCATCTCACCAGCCTCTAGCTTCACAAGCAATCTCATTAGAAAGAAAGGTCCAAAGGAGGAAGGATGGATGCGCAGAGGATGAGAGGAGGCGGTGCCCGACGCAAAAAATGAGGCCTGACTCGCTTGGAGACTGCAGGAAGGGCGGGGCTACTGGTCTCCCGGCAACGGGCCCGGGCAAGGGCGGGGCTCCGATTTAGGCTCCGCCCCACCTTGCCTTCCTCTTGGCGCCGCGTCCATGGGGCCCGAGCCGGGATCCGGAGCGGCGCCGCTGCGGGAGCTCAAGCCCGGAGAACGCCCGGAGGGAGCCAGCTGGTGGGTTCCTCGACGCGGGGCCTCTCTGCACGTGTGAATGCTCGTTTGGGATGCGTGCAAAGGTGACGTGCATGCCAGGGAGGCCGTGGCTAATTCCGCATCGATGAGGATGCGGGGGGAGGGCAAGGCTGGAAGCCAGTGTGCGCGCTCTGGCGCGGGCGTTCCGTGTGAATGCGTGTGGGCGAGCTGCATACTTTTGCATCTCTTTTCCTTCCCTGCAACCTGGTTTAAGGGTGGGGGAAATAACCTAGCAAGGAAGGATCTCAGCGAAACGTGTCTGGCATCAGCCCTGTAAGGTCATAGCAGAGCGATGGGGTTTCGTCTTGGCTTGGCATCTGCCTCTTTCCCCAGCGTTAAAGGTTTGATTGTAAGCTCCTTGAGGCAGGGAGCTGACTTCTTGTAAATTGCCTTGCACACATACAATGCAAATACACAGCAACCTGTGTATTGTTCCTCAACCCGGTACCCTCGAGATGTGTTGGATTCCAACTCCCAGCATGCTTCCCTACCCCTGTGCATGCTTCTCGCCTTCCCTACATGTAGTGCAGCACATCTCCAGGTTGGGCACAGCTGTAAACGGGGTCCCCTGTGTGAGCCCCACAACAGCCCTGCAGGGGTGGCTGCTCATGACCCTCGCCCTGCCTGCAGACGTGGAGGAGGAGAGCAGGACTGCCTCTCCTAAGGCCTTCCAGCTGCAGCAGGTGGACTTCCCAGCAGTGGTGCCGTTGGGTCACTTTAGACCCTGGACCTCATGTTTGTATGTGTCTTTTTCTCCCTCCCCACCTTAATCTATTACTGCATTTATATCGCAACCCTTTGCCTCTTGCAAGGAGCTGAAGGTGGGTGGCCCCCCTGCCCTCCTCTGTTTTATCCTGCCAACAGCCCTGTAAGGTAGGTGGAGCTCAGAGTCCGCACCAAGACCCAGTGAGCTTCATGGCCAAGGGAAGACTAGAACCCAGGTCTCCTGCAGGAGCACGATCCCATGCATGTTTAGGGTTGGGGTTAGCAGAAAAACGTGCTGGGGGCTGTTGGACTTCTTTGCCCAAGCATGAAGAGGGCTGCACCCCATAAATGAGCCTCTTCAGGCCTAGGCACACCACTTACTAGACTGGCAAGGGCGAGGCCGGCTCAGACGTGCGCATGCGCCTCTCCTTTCCTGAAATCCCCTTTTCTTCCTGCCTTCCAGGTACTCCCTTGTCCCGCTTGGGGAGGGTCCCTGTGCCCGAGTGGGCCAGAACACCTTGTATCTGCCTCCCCAAGATGCAAGCAGCCAAAAGGGGAACGTTCTCATTGTGGGGGGAGCAAACCCAAGTGGCAGCTTCTCTGACTCATATTTCATCGATCTGGGTAAGCATTAGTGAAGAAGGAGGCATAAAGGGACCCCCAACCCTTGCTCCCCGAGCTTATTAATGTGAGCAGTGCTTGGTTTCTTGAAGACCTCTACCTTCATTTTGTTGCCGAGGAAAGCAAGTTCCTAGTCCTCATGGCTGCAGCAACAGTTCTGAATGAGTAATTCCTGGCAGAGGGCTCAATTTATGGAATGACTCTTTGCACTACTATTTAGGGATTCCCACTCTTGCCCCACGCCCCACCTCAGTCCCAGAAAATCTCCCCACCTAATGCTTTTCTCTGTAGCGTTCTAAGGGGGCGGGAGCAGCTGCTGCTTGATGGGGCAGGGAGCTGGGGAGGTCCCGCCTCATCACCAGGAAGTTGATCCAGCACGGATCTCAATCCAGCCCCAGGCCTTTGCACCTGGGAACAGTGAGAGCTAAGGATCTGTTCCGGCTGCCCAGCAAGCTGTGCAAAGCAAGGTAAAACTGTGGTCCTTGCTGGAATCGGGCCGGTGGTGGGCACAGCTTTCCTTGCAGCTGCAGGTGACTGGCCCAAAGGCATGCAGGGCGCTTTTCGGTGGAGCGTGGCTGAAACTGGGTTCCCCAAGTCCCAGTCCAGCCCCTGTGCCCCACTGGCTTGCCGGAGCTCCGGTCCAGAGCATGGGGACGGCCAGGCTGGCAACGGTCGTGACTGCCTGCGCCATGACCCACCGGGCGCTTCTTTGCATTGATGCATCTTGGTGTGCTGCAGACACGCATGGATGGACGGCGCCCACCTGGAGCGGCCTCTCGCCACGCTACGAACACGCCACCTTCATTCCAGAGAGCCAGCCCACAACCCTCTGGGTCTACGGCGGGGCCAGCGAAACAGGCAACAGGAACTGTGTGCAAGTTTTGGACCTCCGTAAGCATGCATGGTTTCTCTTTTGCCCATGTGGATTTCTTAAGCTTTCTGGTGCAGTCCTAGACATAGCTTTCAACCACATCACTGGCACATCTCCAGCTATTTTCAATATTTGTACTCTCCTTTTCTAAAGGAAAACCCAGGTTTATTCCACTTCTAGCTCACCTTTGCTGCCAAGGAGCTGTGGGGGCCGTGTGGGCGGGCATGCGAAGCTTTGTCTCCCATCCTGACCCACAACTGCCCTGTGAGGTACATTCGGCTGTGGAATGTCAGGAATTATAGGATATTTTCTGTCTAAACACTGCTAGGATTGCCTTTTTTAAAGGGTTTTTTAAAGGTTGTAACTTGTTTGTAATGCGATTCTCTTGCTTCGAATCCACATAGTTTTTGGTCTTCAGTGATGCCGTTTTCTTGTTGCTTTCCTTGGTAGGGACGGGAACTTGGGAGAGCCCAGAAGTGACTGGCACGCCACCCTCTCCTCGCACATTTCACACGTCCTCGGCGGCGATTGGTGACCGATTGTATGTGTTTGGGGGAGGCGAGAAAGGGGTGGATCCGGTCCTGGATCAGAAACTTCACGTGTTTGACTCCGGTGAGTTTGGGCTGTGTCTTTTCTAGGTCATTAAGTGCACAATCCGCATGGATCCGAGAAGGGCATGGGCCGTTCGGAGCCTCCAAGGTGTTTTGGCCTACAGTGTCTCTCATTCTTGCCCCTGGCCATGCCGGCTGGGCAGCATTGATGCAAGTTGGAGACCGAAGTCTGCAGGGCCTCCGTTCTCTCCCCTAGAGCTCAGAGGAAGAACACTTTGGTGCAGCCTCATTACATTATGTGTGAAGGCGAGACAAAGCCATGACTCGCCCCCTTTCATTTCAGTGGGTCTACTTTTAAGTATGGCTGAATCTGAGGGCAAGCCATCAACTTTCCCGCTTTTTTAGAGGGGGGTTGGCAGCTGTGCCTAAATCCTGCATGTCTCCATTTTCTGGGAACAGCTGGCCTGGGAAAGAAAACAAGGTGATATTTGGCAGGGCAGGAGGACCCTGAACCTGCTCCTAAGTTGGACACGGCACCCGCCGGCCACACCTGCTGGGGTTGATGGTTATTGAGTGCAACAGGTGAGATTTCCCACTTCGGGACAGGGTGAAGTACTTTGCCGATGACGTGCAGATAGAATAATGAAAAATGTGGCGTCTGGTAAGGCAGGTAGTTGCCAAACAATCCCCAGTATTCAGCTCATGTTCCGATTTGCCTTTATTTCCCTTGAAGGAGCTAGATCAGGTTGGAAGCGAGGCAGGGGGCTCCTTCAGAGAGCTTATTCCGGGAGGGAAGAACCTAATTCCTGCACGAACTCTTCCCCCATGTTAGCTACGCTGTCCTGGTCACAGCCGCAAGTCCGTGGCCGCCCTCCTGCTGCTCGGCACGGCCATGTCATGGTGGCGGTCCAGAACCGGCTCTTCCTGCACGGAGGCCTGGCAGGCAGTACGCTTTACGACGATCTCTTCTCCATCGACACCAGTAAGTCCTGGCGGCAGATGGGCATTTTGCCTTGGCTTTCCCCTCCGCCCCTTGAATAAAAGAGCCGGCTGCAAGCGCTGCTGGACACATGCAGTGCTGTAGGCACATTCCAAAGCTGCCTTGCTCAAGCTTTCCCCTAGATGAGGCTTCTGACTGATTGCCCATTTGCAGCCGACATGGAATGGGTGGCGATGGCGGCCACGGGATCCGTCCCACAAGGGCGGGCCGCCCACTCGGCAGCTGCTTTCCGGGACCATCTGTACATCTTTGGCGGAATGGACCCGACAGGCGCTCTGGACACAATGTACAAGTACCACATAGGTGGGTGTTCCTTGAGAGGACGTTGTGAGCCTTCTCCAAGCTGGCACCTCCCGGATTGTTTGCACTTCACATCCCATCAGCCACAGGTAGCATGAACAGCCAGGAATGCTGGGCACTGTCGTTCCAACAGTCTGCATGTTGGGGAAAGCTTCTGAATTACCTGGTGCCATTTCCAGTAATGTTAAGGTCGGCATCCATCTCCCCCACCCAGAGCTTTGCATCTGGTACAGCCACTGGCTGCTCTTGTGCTTCTTCCTCCCCCCCCCCCCCCCGGCATGAGGTCAGCCAAGGAGACGGGAGGCTTCTTCTCCCCCCACCCCATTGTTTGGACCCAGGAGAGGCAGGGGAGGAACAAGCCCAGGGAGCTCGTCTGCTGGCGAGGTGGGGGCGTTTATAGCAGCTGCTCGATCTTGCGACAGCCGGCCTCGCTGGGTTACAGGGCACCTTCAAGAACTGCGCGCATTCTCTCTTGCAGAAAAAAACCACTGGACACGGGTCGAGTTCAAGTCGCCTTCACCCCCAGGACGGCTGGACCATTCCATGTGTGTGATTCCATGGAAAGTATCTGCTGGCAGCGCCACCGCCGGAGGGGCCCAGGGCCAGAAGGAAGCCACAGGCAGCTCCAGCGGAGGCTGCCCAGAGGAAGGCCTGCTGCACCTGTGCTTAATTTTTGGTGGAATGAGTATGAAAGGGGAGATTTACAGAGATGTTGCTGTGAGCCTTCTTGTGTAATAAAGAATTCATTTAAGCGTTCCAAGTGCTGACAGTCATGTCAATCAAAATTCCCCCTTGCTTGTTTCGTGTGAGAGCTTAGCAATACTCTTGGAAGACAAGACACAACACAGCAATCCGTACATCTGGCAAAATAACCAAGGTCCAAACAAACTCCGTCCTACCAGGGGCATCACCTTCCACAGGGAAGGTACTGCTGGCACTCTTGGCCCTTGCTCAAACTCGATGCTGCCCCATGTGGTCCCACATTTGCTTTGGATTGCAGTTTCGAGAAGGGAAGCAATTCATTTCTAGCAAGCACCAAACATCTTGTGGCAATTTAAAGCTAAAACAATTATTCTGGGGTAAGTTTTGGCAGCACAAGTTTCTTAACTATATGAAGGTGTTTAAGCCCTTAGCTTTCTACCTCCTGGACTTAATTTTAAGTAACCATAAATGGGGAAGAGTAAACCCCTCCCAGCTACATGCCTGTCCAGGCAGCTCCCATACAACTGAGATTTTTAAATTGCACAAGCAGTCTGCTCACTACTGCCAGGAGACCTGCAGTTGCAAATATGCTCCTGAAAAATAAGTTACTTCTATCCCTTTGCCCATCTATGCAATACCACCTTTGCTTTGTTTTGCGTTGATACACACAAATGTATTTTTAATAATTGAGCTTACAATTGGCAAGCGGTAAGGGTGAAATGTTACCACCCAGACACCCAGCAGCACCGGGTAAGTCTTGGAGTGTTTTGGTCACTGGCTCACACATCCAAAGGCATCATTTAAATTACTTATTGGTACTCTGTTTTAAAGATGGCATGTAATGACTTGTATTAAAGAACATGTGGACAGAAGCAATCAGACACCCCCCAGCAAGGTCTGTAACTCACAGCCTTTGTGTAACTGCACATCAACTAGACCCAGATCAGTGTTAAGTAACAAATTTATTGTTGTCACTTGGAGGGTAGAAAAGTTCTCCACAGATGCACACAACCCACTTGTTAAATAGAATGGTTTCAAGATGAACACGTCTATGCCTGTCCCAGTAGGTTAGCCTCTTCCCCCCTCCCCTCCCCCCCCCCCCCCCCCCCCCCCGGCCCAGACATGTATCAACTGCTAACGAAAAGCAGTAAACAGCCACTTCGGGCTAGCATTTCCAACTCCACTTGAGTGAAGATTCTGATCACATTCCAGATCTAGAGTTCAATAGTTTAAACAAAAGTTCGGAGTCCAATATTTACATAGCATCAACGTTCAAGCAGCCACGGCCTACAACTCATCCTTTTCTCCTGCCCCCGCTTCTTCGTCACCAGGGGGTGGGCCTGCACCACCGTATAGCTTGCCTACAATGGGCTGCACCACCTCTTCCAACTCCTTCTTCTGAGCTTTGAAGTCTTCGATGTCAGCATCTTGGTGGCTCTCAAGCCACTCGATTTTCTCCTCCACGGCCTTTTCAATTGTTTCTTTGTCTTCTGACGAGAGCTTGCCACCCAGCTTTTCCTTGTCCCCAATCTGGTTTTTCAAAGAGTAGGCGTAACTTTCCAGCTCATTCCTGGCATCGATCCTCTCTTTCAGCTTTTTGTCTTCCTCAGCAAATTTCTCAGCATCGTTCACCATCCTCTCGATCTCTTCTGGCGTGAGGCGGTTCTGGTCGTTGGTGATGGTGATTTTGTTCTTGTTGCCAGTGCCCTTGTCCTCAGCAGTGACACGAAGGATCCCGTTCACATCAATCTCAAAGGTGACCTCGATCTGGGGGACACCTCGCGGAGCAGGAGGGATTCCGGTCAGGTCGAAAGTCCCCAGCAGATGGTTGTCTTTTGTGAGGGGACGCTCGCCTGCAAGGAAAGACAGACACAGTTTACATACACAGACCACAGGAGACTAAGCAATCCAAACAACTGTGGATTGGTACCTGAAGCCCTTTTATTCCACTCAGTGGTCAGGTATCCTCATATACCCCTCTCCAGACATTCAGGACTACAACTCCCACCATCCATGCCAGTGGCCAGACTAGCCAAGTTGCATTCCAAACATCTAGGACATAATGTATGGGAGAAGACTGCTCTATGCCTTGGCTTATTACGGCACAGGCCACAAAGAAGCTCAAATTGGAAGATTAAACTGCCGCAGATGTTGTGTTCTCTTCACTGCTCACTCAAGGCAGAAGATGTGCAGCCACTTACCTTCACAAACTTTGATTGTCACCGTTGGCTGGTTATCAGAGGCTGTGGAGAAAATCTGTGACTTCTTGGTGGGGACAACAGTATTTCTAGGGATGAGTTTGGTCATGACTCCACCAACTGTCTCGATCCCCAAAGTTAGAGGACAGACATCAAGCAGCACCAGGTCACCTGAGAAAGAACAACCATTTGCATTTATTTCAATTTAAGTATGCTAATTCGGTATATACTACTAACAGAGGTTAAAGACATGGTTCAGGAAGGCACCACCTTGACATCTCCAACTAGAAAACTAGATTTGCTGCCACCCTTATATTATTGAATACGCTTTGATACTTTCCCCACTTGCATAGTCTGTTAAGGCTGCCCATCCTCCTGCAATTTTAAGTCATTCCACTTACCAGTATCTTGGTCTCCTGACAGGACACCAGCTTGGACAGCAGCACCATAAGCCACAGCTTCATCGGGATTGATGCCCCGAGAGGGCTCCTTGCCATTGAAAAATTCTTTTACCAGCTGCTGGATCTTGGGGATTCGGGTAGAGCCCCCAACCAGCACAATTTCATCAATGTCTGACTTCTTCAGGTCTGCATCCTCTAGAACTTTCTGGACAGGTTTCATGGTGGAACGGAAGAGATCCTGCAAGCAGAATTGACGCATGTATAGGTGATGTGTTATTTCTTACCCTGGGGCAGAACAGCCACATAGAGTTTCCAGGACTAAATTCCGCACAAATTAGGGTCAGACTGGATAACTGCATGTAGCTTCTCATTTATGGAAACTATGAACAAAGCATTATTTAAACTCCCAATTTTGCTGTTAACGCACTTTGTTGCAGTGCCTGAAATATACCATCACCCCCTTAGTAAACTCTCCCAAACCTATTTGGGCAGGTACCATGTTTCTGTAAATCTTGTACTGTTCGTTTGAGGAATGTTAAACCTTTCAGTCACAGGGCCAAATTCAATTTTGGAGTAGCCTGAAGCCAGTAACTAACCCTTCTGAGGCACCACTGCCTTCTGAAGACAAGGAAAGACATTGTGACTGAAGGATGAGAAAAAAGGAGCCTGGCCATCTTAAGCAGCCCAGAGAGCCATACCTGGCTCCCAAGCAGGTCAAATTAGACCTGAGGCCTTCAAGTTCTGCACCTATGCCCTGAGTAGATGATCAGTTTTAAGCCAGAGAATATTCCACTCTTAATTCAAGATACTCACCATGTTCAGTTCTTCAAATTTGGCCCTAGTCAAAGTCTCAGAGAAATCTTCTCCCTCAAAGAAGGATTCAATCTCAATCCTAGACTGGTGCTGGGAAGAAAGGGCTCTCTTGGCTTTCTCCACTTCCCGACGGAGCTTCTGAACAGCTCTGTTATCCTTCCGGACATCCTTCCCAGTTTTCTTCTTGTACAGTTTAATGAAGTGCTCCATCACCCTCTGGTCAAAATCTTCCCCACCAAGGTGAGTGTCACCATTGGTAGCCACGACTTCAAAGACCCCATTGTCGATGGTGAGAAGGGAGACGTCGAAAGTCCCACCGCCCAAATCAAAAACAAGGATGTTCTTCTCGCCCTCCCTCTTGTCCAAGCCATAAGCAATGGCAGCCGCAGTACTGCAAGAAAGAGCGCATGTTACAACTTTTAACTGCCTAGGACTGCCACTGTCCATCCTCTCAGGAAGAACATCAAGCTGGTTTAATCTGTTCAGTGATTTAGCGGCCCACCTTCCAATGGAAGAACTTACGGTTCATTAATGATTCTCATGACATTCAATCCTGCGATGGTGCCAGCATCCTTTGTGGCCTGGCGCTGGGCATCGTTGAAGTAAGCTGGCACAGTGACCACAGCATGTGTAACCTGGGAGGAGGAGGAGGAGGAGGGTTAAAGTAGGCTGATCCAAACTATGCCACAACATCACCTATTAGCTTGTTTTGATCAACTTGGAAGGTTCTTTCCAGTGACTTTATTTGGAAGGACATATAATTTAAGCTGTCCATCTTCTTGGAAAAGTCCATAGCTCCAGAGGGCGGCACATTTTTTCACATACAGGTAATCCCAGGCAAGTAGAGGAAGGAAAGAAGCTGCCCATCCAATCCAGCACTGCCAACACTGGCCAGCAGCAACAGCTCTCCACCAGCACTGGAGCCTGGGATCCTCTGCACACAGCACTGTGTCCAACCCCTGAACTGTGGGTCCTACCAAGGATCTTAAGGGCCTCTGCCACAGAACTGCTCAGAGCAGGCAGTAACTCAGTAAGCCACCCCAAGTACAGAAGGCACCCTGAGTACCCCCCTCCCTCTCACACACACACACTCTCTCTCTCTCTCTCTTAGTCAAGGGAATCAATTTCATCATACCTTCTTTCCTAAATAGGCTTCCGCTGTCTCCTTCATCTTTGTCAGAACCATGGCTGAAATTTCTTCAGGGGCAAATGTCTTCATTTGCCCTCCACCAATATCAACCTGAATATGAGGCTTAGCCTTCTTTTCAATGACCTGTCAAAACAAATTGAATGGAATGCAGTTACAAATGATCCATTATTTAGTAAGAAGTTAGCTTGTAATTTCTACCCAAAGAACCTCTGAGACCACTAAAGGACAGAAGCTGCCTCTTCCTGCAGGAACGGCCATGGCCCTCACCAAGCTGTTTGGCTGAGCATCTGTGAGCTGCCAACAGCACCCATGTGAGTCCACACAGAACTGCCAACAGCTTTGAGATATAGATAGCACAACCTTGGTACCACTTTCTAGTTGGTGCAAAGCTTAGGTGCCTGACAGTGGTGTTAAGTTTGGAGACTATCCCCCAGATTCACTCAAATTCCCACAACAAATCAGTTCCCATCTCAAGCAAACAAGTTTCAAACAAGAAGGAAGTAAAGGTGCAATTCTCTGCAATTTTCAGAGGAAAAATACAGGGAATCACAGACCATTTTTCTAGCCCATATAAAACAAAACAGAGATCAAGGGAATTAAGTGTACCTTGAAAGGCAAGTACTTGACATCCTGCTGCACAGAAGGATCATTCCATGTTCTCCCAATCAGGCGCTTGGCATCAAACACCGTGTTCTCAGGGTTGGAGGTCAGCTGGTTTTTAGCAGCATCCCCTATGAGACGCTCCCCTTCTGGCGTGAAGGCCACATAGGAGGGTGTGATTCTGTTACCCTGGTCATTCGCAATGATCTCCACTCGGCCATTCTTGAAGACACCAACGCTACACAGTAGAATGTATGCCATCCATAAGCTTGCGTCATCAACACATCATTTTAGCACCTAAGTAATTTCCATTCCCAACCACCCAATAAGCAATGCACAAGAATTTACAAAAACACAAGCCACAGGGACAATAAAGCAGAACATAAACCGCTACAAGACAGGAAAGGGCAGATTCAGAACTTCCGACTGGTTGCAGCCAAATTGTGCAAGCACTCTAAATCAAATGCACAATTCTAGTAAACCTCACTGATCAACACCATGACTCAACTGATGTTGCATCCGATTGCACCAAGATTTAATGTCCCGGGTAGGAGATCACAAACCACCCTTTCACAACCTGCTATTCTCCCATGCTTGGGGCTGGAATTCCCATAAGCCTCAGTTAACATAGCTGATGGTCACCAATCCTGGGTACTCGAGTCCAAAAGTATTCAGAGAAAATCAAGTAGTAGAAAAGCTGCAAAAAACCATTCAAGGCAAACAAATCATCTTTCACATACCAGGAATACGTGGTTCCCAGATCAATGCCAACCACAGTCCCCACATCCTCCTTTTTCTCATCGTCATCAGCAAACACGCTGCCAACAAGCAGCAGGCAGACAAGAAAATACTTCATGCTGTCTTCGTAGCAAGTCTGACACACCAGATGGAAAAAGCTCTGAAGAACAAAAAGCTAGAAGTCAGCTGCAAAATAGGTTGAAAGAGGGCACAAAACACCAGGAAACATTTAGGCTGCTCAAACAGGGCCGATGCACACTTTCCAGTAACCAGATTAAGACTTCAGGAAGTTTAAAGAAAATGGCAATGCCAGCTTGCTCCCCTTGCCCAGCACCCTATTCGCAACAGACACGGGAAATCTACCAGAAGGTGAAGCAATACCTTAGCAAGAAAGGCAGGGTTCTTTGTCAAAGCCCACTAGCTTGGGGGCCCATCACAAGTTGCCCTATTACCTGGGGAGAAAATATACCTCCCCCAACCTAGCTTGGAACCTTTTAGATGGGTGAGATGGTAACTGATTCAATTCCCTAACTACAATTATGAGCATCACAGACCAACCCATTTGGAAAGGAATCAGTCTGGGAAAAGTCACTTACAAATGCTGTACAACCAGACCCAACCTGGCAGTGGAAGGCCACCAGCTAAGAGCCTCCAATGCCGCTGAAAGAACCCAGCAAAAGGACTTCGGCATGGTGTCCCATCCCCCAACAGGACTGCCTTTCGGCTATGCTGGGAGTGGCAGTCTCAGTGCAATGCATCTGGGTGGCACCAAATTACAGGAAGGGCAATACATGGCTCCTTTTCTTCTTCTCCTGGGCCTTGATATATGGCATTATCTGAGTCCTGATCAGCCCTCGTTAAGAGAGTGCCATTTGGCTATTTCTGGCCCAGACTAACTCCCATCAGAACCAGCCAGCACTGCCAACTGTCAGTAATAGTCTAAAATGTCTTTGAGAAGTCAACGTGGGCAAAACCAAATTAGAGTTTTCGGCGTGTAATTCTCACAGCATATTGTTAACTTGTATAAAAGAAACAGCCAAATTAGTAAGCGGCAAGTACACCTTCGTGATAACCCTTATAAAAGCCACAACCATTGTCCCAAATCAAAGGTGGAAAAAACAAAGCAAAATAGCCAACAGCACTCAAAAACATTGAAGTGGCCCTTTTTGGAATCCGGAGCCCCGTCTTCTAACAAGTCACCATATGGGACGACAAAAGAAAAGCAACATAAAGCGCCAGCAGCTGGTAAAACCCCTTTTTGTGTTAGGACATCAGGTCATCACCCCTTCATACCGCAAAAAGGAAAGAAGTATTAAAAACGAGATACACACTGCATTCCCCAACTTGACCCACCCCCCCCAAGACTGGACTGCAGCTCCCATCATTCCCAGCCAGCATATATGCTGGTAACTGAGGCATGATCCAGTTATCCCCATGCCATAAAAAAAGCTATCGTAAACCATGAAAGACGCTGTGAGACTCCTCGCTGGGGATGATAGGTCTGCAATCGAATACCCCCCCCCGCCAAAAAAAGCACCGGGATGGACAAGTGCAAGGTGCTAGCTAAAAAATGACAAAACCATCAACGTGGGGTGGCGCAAGGAGCGGCCTAGGCTTGCTGGGGATGATGGGACCTACAGCGTCTTGGAGAAGTCAGATTGAGAGGAAGCCGGCAAGAAATCCCCGCTCTGGCTAGGAAGGATGGACGTCGCAGTACAACGCCTGCAGAGGATGCCGGGCCCGGAAAGACGCAGAACTGCCCCGCAGAGTGCCCCCTTCCTCCCCTGCGCAAAGGCCGAGGCTGTATTACTCCAGACTCACCTCCGACTGCGCTGCACCGGCGGCCCGCACGCTCCCCAAATCTAACTCACGGCTTGCTCCTCAATCGAGTATTCGGGCCCAGACGCCCCTCCGCTCTTATATACCTTTCCGCAGCCTTGCGTGGAGCTGCGCCATTGGCTCTTTTTCCCTCGCTGGAGCCTCCTGATTGGTCGTTATCCACCAAGCTGGCCGGCGCTGAATGGCTCGCCTTCCTCATGACGTCAAGACCCGGTCGCGTGCCGTGCCGTGCCGTCGCTGTCGCCCGCGCCTCTTTTCTTCTGTCCCTCCCTTCTTTCCTCCTGCTCCTCTCTTCTCTTTCCCACCCGCCCACCCACGAGTCTCATTGGGCCGCCCAGCCGGTGTCGCGGACCAATCAGAGGGAGCGCTACAGCCAGGCGGAAGGAGCTCATTGGCTGGAGAGGACGTCGTGTTGCAGCAGGATTGCGCGAGCTTGGGCTGGGCCTTTCTGGAAGTTTCTATGGTTACCAGGCCTAGCCGTCGGGCCTTGTCAGAGGGAAGGGCTGCCAAGGCTGCGCCCCCCCCCCCCCCAGTCACGACCCCTTATGGGAACCCCGCCGTTTCTCGCAAGTCTCCCTTTCCAGCCCGATTCCATGCGAGAGACATATGTGGCTCGCCCCCCATCAGCCTTCCCCACACTGGCGCCCTTGACACGTGTTGAGACTACCGCTCCAATGACCAGTGATGCTGGTCACTAGCCCAGCACCAGATTGGGGAACGTGGCCCCTCTGTGAAAGCATGTTGTTATTATAGTTGTATATTGTTTGTTTATACTATATTGTAAGCCATCCCTAGACAATTGGTTTGTTTAGGATGGAATAAAAATGTTCTAAACAAACACATGGGCTCTGAGTGGACATGCGCAAAAGGGAGAATTGGTGTATAGGCAGATGGGTGTTGGTGCAGTAAGTGTACAATGTGAGACGTGTTTTTCACTGGGGGGGGGGGTTGGGAGAGGAAGCTCCTTGGGGTATGCATGTGTGAACAAGAGTAGTTTGAGCACTTTGCCCAAGCTTGAACGGGTGTGTGTGTGTGAAGGGCTGGATGGGTTGGTTGGTTTGATAGACTATTATGGTGTAGTGGTTAAGAGGGTTGGACTGGGACTCTGGAGATTCAGCTTCTAGTCCCCGTTCAGCCATGAAGCCAACCGGGTGACTTGGGGCCAGTCACAGACTTTCTGCCCAACCTACCTCCTAGGGTTGTTGCTGTGGGGATAAGATTCTCAAGCCTGAACATGCCCAGTTCTCTCACTCTCTCCTCACAGGGCAGTGTTTCCAAACCCTGGATCATCTTTGTTGCCCTCCTCTGGACCCTTCTGAATTTCCCTGCATCTTTCATAAATCTTGCTGCCCAGAACTGGACACAGTATTCCAGAAGGGGTCTGACTAGTGAGGAATAGAGAGGAAGTACTACTTCTTGTGATTTGGAAGTAATATTAATGTTAATACATTCCACAATAGCATTTGCCCTTTTGGTGGCTGCAACACTGCTGGCTCATGTTTAGTCTAACAGTGCAATGCACTGAGTTTGTTATAACAAACAGCAGGATATAAATAAAATAAATCCCACCTTTTATCTTTCAAGGAAGTTAAAGAGGAGCTTACATAAGAGAGACGGTGTGGTGTAGTGATTCAGAGTGTGGGACTGGATCAGACCAGGATCTCTCTTGTCCATTCTTCCTGCATGCAGTGGCCAAACAGCACCCACAGAAAACCCACCGGCAGGGGACAAGAGCCACAGCATCCTTCTGCCACGTTTTCCAGTAACTGGTTTACACAAATGTAGTGTCTCTAATACTGGACTACTGATAGCCTTCCTGACTTCAACCCTTCCCTTTTGACGCCATCCAAACTGGTGATCATGAGGACTAGGGCCGATAGACAGCCTTCGCCTCCATTACTTCATCCAATCTTTCAGAACCATCCGAAGGGGTGACCATCACTCCTGAATCCCCAGTTTATCTCTGCCGTGTGCAAAGAAATCCTTCCTTTTCTGTCCTGAATCTCTCACCATCCAGTTTCATGGGATGACCCCACTGAGTTCTAGTATTACATGAGAGAAGGGGGTCTTACTTGCTGCTTTCTCCACACCAAGCATTCTTCGGTACACCTGTGAGCAGAGCTTTGTACAGACAGAGGATATGAATTTCCAGCAGGTGTATCTGTGGCAATGAGGGTCCAGGCTGAGGCCAGGGGTGTGGGCCCCATGTTCACAGGAGCTTGGACTCTGAATGATCCTATGACCCCTGGACCCACTTCCCTTTTGGTGCACCTGCTTTTGCAGAAGAAGAAAGGGCAGAGAAGGAAGATTAAACAAAAGGTGGGTTGACTCTGTAAAAGACGCGGCCTTGAATTTAGTGCGGCTAAGCAGGGATGTCATGGACAGGACATTCTGAGTTGCCCTGTCGGAGACAGCTTGATGGCACATGACCACTTCTGCCACTGTCCCTCTTCGCTGAGGCTTTTCATTCACCGGCCCGTCTCTCGGTCTCTGGCAACCTTCTTCAAATTAGCCCACATGCAGTCCTGCCATGTCTTATTTACATGTATGTTATCTATTCCACTTTACGCTCCCTTAACATAAAGTTCCTAGGTAAACTTATTGTATGAGGCATTTAACACATTTAATAAACACATTGCCATATGCTGCTGCAAACAAGACCAATGTTGAGGCATTAGTGGAATTGTGGTCCCAAATATCGGGGAGGGGGGTGTCCTAGTGGCATGCTACTGCTGTCGGCACCAGAGGGCACCCCAGTGTAAGAGACGAGTTCCAAGGGCTTGGGTGAACAGAAAACACTGGGAGAAAAAATGTGGCATTTAAAGTAAAGGGAGATTCAATTGCCTCAGGGATGAACCAGGCTTCGTTTTCTCTCCAAAAACACGGAGCACCCAAGAACCCAAACACCAACATGCCTCCAAAATGGAAAAGGATTGTGGCTTTGGCCTTTTAGGACATCCAAAGTTGTGGGTTTTCACAGCCCAGTTAATTTTTTTCTCTGCTAACAAACCCTGATATTTGCCTTCTGGTGGAGATGCAAAAACAGCCTCCTTTGCCCCGAAGTGGCCTTACCTGCACCGCGATCGCTGCATGTGTTCATTCCATCATGTGAGGAAGGGTTCTGCCATTTTGCACCTGCTGACACTTCGGCCAGTGTTGACAGGTACCAAATGCGAGTCTGGTCTGGGTAAACAGAACCGTCTGGTGACACAGAGGGCCAATACAATCTGGACCTAAACTGGTGTGACCTTGTGCAGTGTTCAGCCATTGGCCAAGTGTCTAGACTTTGATGCCTTTTTGATCTTGAAGGGCTACAGGAGAGAAGCTCTGAGGAGAAAAGGGGAGACAGAGGAATAGTTGTGGATTTACTCGGAGATGAGGGGACTACCGACATCTTCCTTGGGCTGCACAAGAGTTGGCCAGCTGACGTCGAAACTTCAGATTTTCAACCCGAAGTTGGGCTCTCAGAGCTCATACAGCCCCATTTTGGGCCAAAGATGCTCAACCACAGGAGCCTCATGGGCTGGAACAAGCCATCCGGGCTCACAAGGCCAGAGGGAAGCCGCTTGTTCTGGGTCACGCTAAGCAGGACGGGTCCCATGCTGTATGGTGCTGGGGGCAAGAGTGGAGAGGTAGCGCACCTTCAGAATATCACCCCTGCTGGATCATCGGGGCCGTTCCAGATGGGCCCGCGCCACGTTCTGTCGTCTCTTGCTCCTGCGTGCCTGAGTGGAAAGGACCATCCACACAATCAGGTGACAGAGAGCCAAGTCCTGTGGCCAGGTTGGAACAGAAGGGGGTGCTGAGGACCCCCTTTGGACTGGGGGTACGTGCGACCCGGCCAAGTCCTCCTGAGGGGTCACATAGAGCCTCCAAACCAGCGACCTAGACAGCAGCATGGGGAGATCGACGTCTTCAAAGACACCCTTTGCGGCCAGAGACAAACTTCAGGGGCCCCTGTAGAGAACACGGCACAAGAGTCCTCTCCTCGCCATCCCCTGACACTAGAACCCAGAGGGGCCACCCTGCCGACCTGCACGGCCAGAGATTCCCGAGAGAGAAAAGGTCGGGCTACTTCTCTGCATGGGGCAGAGTTAAATTCCGGAACCCACGTCCACAAGATGAAGCCACGGCCCTGTCCAGGTGGCTTTAAGGAGAAAGCCTGGGAGGAGATGGCTAGTACAGCCGATGGCCATGTGCTCCCTCCATTCTCAGAGGAAGCATGCCCAGTTGCACCAGCTGCTGGGAAGCATGGGCCAGAGGGTGCTGCTCTCCTTCCACGCCGCGTGTGGGTTTCTGGTGAGCAGCTGGCTGGCCACTCTGTGAACAGGAGAGCTGGCATGATGCATGGGGCTCTCCGGTTTTTGGTGAAGCAGGGGAAGAGGGAAGCGAAGCAGGCCTGAATCGGCCGGAGGGCGTCTGGTCAGGGTCAGCACAGTTCTCGTCTCCCCATGGAGCCCAGCACTGTCTCAGAGCCGGCAGGGTCCAGTGAGTAGGAACTGCTTTGGGCACAAGAGGGCACTCTGGCCTAAGCGAGGGAGCAAAGCAAGGAAGTGCGGACGGAGGCCTTCGGAACAGCGGCAAGCTCAGAGACCACAGCACGGCGGCCTCCGAGTGGGAAGCCGGGAGGAGCTAGTGGGCCATGCCAGGAGACTTCGAAGGGATTGGTGGAAGATGCCATCTGCCCTGCTGGAAGGCTCCATGTTGCCTCTTTTCCTCACGTCTCGTGGCTTTTTTAGATGGCAAGCCTATAGGTGAGAAACATCTTGTTTACCAAGCATGTGTAAATACTCCAGGAGTCTTTTGGCTGAGGAGTGGGAACACGTTTTTGGGGGGTCTTCTTTCAAGGATGAACCTCCCCCAGTGCAGCGTGCTGGAATGGCAGTGAGTTTTGTGTGAGCCTCACCTCCACTCATCGGAAGACACATCCTGGAGGATGAAACATGGCGGACAGATGCCCACTTGACTACGGAACCTTCCCCACCGTATGTCACGCCTCCGTGCCTCAAAACGGTCACAACATGGCTCACAAGACTCCAAAAAAGTTGGAAGGAGGCAGCTCAAGGCAGTGGCGAGAACTGGGAACATTGAAAGCTGTACACACCGATTCTGCACTGAACTCTTGACTCCACCACATTTGGTGGCACATTTGGCAGGGATGTGAGAAAGGACCGTACTGGGGATGTCCTGACTCTGTAACCTTCTGCCCAGAGGAGGCCATTCGCTAAGGGAGCTGATGTATGTTCCACCTTTCCAACAGAATGATGCCACTCAAGGCAGGAACCTAGCTTCAGAATCAAGATAAAAATGTAAATTTATTGAATACAGTGACAAAAACAGTCCTTCAACCCAGCTAGCAAAGATGTTGTTAATCTGGGTGGAGTTTCTTGATTCGGTGGTTTCATTTTCTGTTTTAAATTTTATTTGCCTTCATGCTTCTTTTACTTAATACAGATTCTTCCTTTTAATCTGGATTTTAGGGTTAGCTTTCTGGAATACCTTTGTTTTGGTGGAAAGCTGGAGCAGAAATCAAATAAGCAAGCAAAAACTAACCAGGTGTTCTGCAAAGTTGGGGCCGGGGGCTGGAAAGTCTGAACTGCTCCAACAAAATCGTGCAATTCCGCTGCATCAGAGTTTTTTTTCCTTGAAAGTCCATGGCCACTAGAAGGCAGGAGTCTTCCCTTTCATTTGACCGTGAAGCCATGAAATCTTGCCTGGAGGATGCAAGGTTAAGCAAAAGGCCTGCCATATCTGCTTGGATATAGAACAGGGCTTCCCCAACTGTTCGGGAAGGTATCCACGTTTGGAATTTGGAGTTTCGTGGGTGCTCTCACAAAATGGTTGCCCCCAGGATGACTTCCCCATTCATAAAATGGCTGCCACAGTGGGGTTGGCCAGTCACAGAGCATCCTTTCCCATGAAGTTCAAGGAAAAGCAGCTTGCCCAAGAATTCCCTAAATCCAAAGGAGAGCCAGGGTCAGCCCGAGTTCCAAAAGCACTCTCTGTAGCCCAAATCAAAATGGCATTGGAGGGTCATAACTTGGCCTCGCAGCAAGCCAGCCCCATGGTTTAAACGTATAATAAAGTATTTATGTAAAAACTGGGAAGGCCACAGTGCCTGGTGAGCAGGGAGAAAGGCATCCGTGGATTCATGGCTGTCCCTGGGCACCATGCGGGGGAGCCCAGCTTTAGAAAAGCCTCTTTCTTGCCACCTCTGGAGCGTTCTGGCCCGCAATCGCCTCTCCCATCTTGCTCCTAAAGCCTGTTCCTTGTGGGCCATTTCAGACTGAAATATTATTTAATTGCTTAGGACCAGGTGGTACCGGCTAATGCCACCATGCCAGAAGAGATGCAGTTGCTTAGCAACCCCATGGGCCTGTCTCCTGCCACGATGCACATCCTGAACGAAGGAGCGGAGGTCCCACCAAGCCCATGGGCCACCCTGCACAGCTGTGCTGCAGCACCATGCCAGGCAGCCACTCCGCTGGAGCATGACCCAGTTCTTGGCACTGACAAGCGGCTTTTGCTAAAAATGTGTCATGTATAAAATTGGGTTTTCCAACTCGGATGAGGCAGCCTTGCCTGCCTGTTGTCCTGAGAGGTGTGGCGCCAGGCACTGGAGTCAACTTTGCCCCCCCTCTCCAGTGCACAAACTGGCACGCTAACTTGCACAGATTCCAGTCTTTGGTGTGTTCTTCAAAGGGCCCTTTCTCCGAAGGATATAGCCCTATTTACGGAAAGGGATGTGCAAACAGGGAAGCTTTTTGGGGGTGGCAGGAGGGGAAGCCCCTGGGGTCCTAAGCCCGGTCATCCAGGGGATCTGATGCGACAGAGGTCCGGGACCCTAGGGAAGCAGCCTGCCCAAGTTTGGGTGCTACTGGGCAGCTGCTAGACTGCCTCCGATCCTGGGACTCCCTGTTGGAAAGGCCAATTTTCGCTGATGCGAGACTGCACAGAGAGGGAATTCCATGGAAAAGGGGCCAGCACAGTGAAGGCCCCGGTAGACTCCAGCCAGGCCGCAGATCTACTTGAGACGGCCAGGAAGTTGGCCTCCAGTGACCCGACCCGCTTCTTGAGTATTATCTTTTACGCTAATTACGAGGCAGAGGGAGGGTCCGAGCGTCAAGCCCCTCATCTGAACTCAAATAAAGTCGGCTTTCAGGATACTCTTCCTGCCATCTTTTAAAAGTCCCAATTAATAATAGACAGGCACCTAAAGGTGGGCAGATACAAGCACACGATGCAGGCTGCAGATCTAACATGTGGCTGAAGCAGGGTGCGGCGTCTTTGCACCGGAATTACAAGCATCCATCCAAGACCAGCAACAGCCAAGGTGCGCCGGCTGAGGACTGGCAGGCCCCCGTGGGTGCCCAGGTGAGGCGGTGCTGCCACACCTCAGCCCAGGCAATGGCTCTGAAAGCCTCTACAACTTTACCACCCTCTGTGTTGCTTGATCGGCCCCCTGGCATGACCCGCCTTCCCCAGCCACCCCTGCGGAACCGCCTGGCATTCCTTCCTCAGGCAGTCAGCCCTCACAGTGCCGGGAACCCACAAAGGTCCACAAAGAAACGACATCGGTACCATTTCTGGCGCTTTCGTTGTTTGTTCTTTCAGAAAGAAGACGACTTGTTTTTAAAGCTCCGACAAACTCGGCCACATTTAACACTTTTGTTCATGCAGAGAAAACTTTGGGTGCTGGAATAGTGGCAAAATTAACACAGGGGGGAAAAGGAGATATGGAGAGAGATGCACACAGAGAGGGAAGGAAGGACAACATTCAAGGGTGTTCGCACGCACAGAGGATGGCGCCGATCTTAAGTACCGGAGACCAACAGGCCTCAGAGGGGACCTTTTGCTGGTGGTGCTAATGGAGCAGTGAAAGAAGGAAGAGCAAGGACAATACAGGGAAGTCACATTTACCTGCCTCAAACTCAGCCAGGCAGCAGAGCTCATGTTTATAACTTCAGGGAAAGTCTTTTTTCTCTCTCGTTTTCTTTCTTTTCTGCTTGATTTCTACCATGGGTTACACCAGCTCATCAGCAGAGACACATGTAAACCTTACAGCCTTTGATCGCGAATTTTTTTTTGGTCTTTCTTTCTGACACATCCAGCTAAAAATACAGCAGCGACGTTGAAGCAGCAAATAAATAGGTACCAATAATTTAGAGGTCCTTTGAAAATGGGGTGGGGGAAGGAAAGGAAGGAAAGTGCCTCGCTTTTCCTACACACACAGAAATAAAATAATGTACAAGACTGCAGCACCCCCCCCAAATTAATTTATCTACATACATATATTCCCCCCCGCAAGCAATGCAATTTTTTGCAATCCAGGACGATGATACGGAACGTGGATTTCAAGGGGATTTTTTTGACACACACACACACACCCACACACACCCCCAGCCCCAACCCTGGTGTAAAAGCAACAGCCCGCTCTGGATAATGAAACTGCCCACCCGGGGACACACGGTCCAGTCCTGCAGCAGTTGGACACAGCACTGCGTTAATAGTAAGCGCCTTGTCTTCAGCCCACCTTCCCCCATGAAGGAAATGCAAAGAATCACTTCTTCTCAGTTCATTTCAAACAAAGAAAAAAAGATCGATGTGCGAGAGGAACCCCCAACCCAGTGATATTTGGGGGCCGGAGCAAACGAAGTTGTTCTGATTTCTTCGTCTCCCCTCACGTCTTCTTTCCCCTTCCTTTCCATTTTCCCGTCAAATGCAAAAGTTGGCAAATGAAGGCATGTTGCGTTTGAGCGCAAGGTGGCAGGGCTGGCGTCGCACCCCCCGCGCATCCGTTGCTCGCACTTAACGTAAAGGAGGGCTGGCAAGGGGGGGTCTGATGGCACTAGAAGAGGCATCCCCAGGCGTGTCTGAAAAAGAAGGGGAGACGGGCAGCAGGTTGGAGCGCGCCTGCAAGTGGAACCAGGTGTGCCTCCGCCCCCCTGCGGCCCCCAGACACCAGCCATGGGGCAACTCACCAAAGCAGCGGAGAACTATACAAGTCCGTCGTAGAGGGAGAGTGCCTGGACGATGGAGGGATCTGCTTTGGAGCCTTCCTGGAATTCTTGCAGCGTTAGTTTGCCATCTGCATTCTGGAGCAGAGGAAGCAGAAAGCGGTGCTGGCACTTAGCTCCCGGCCTGTGTTCTCTCCAGTCTTCCAAGGAGACCGAGCGTGGGAAACATCTCTCTGCCCTCTCATCCCATCCTCACAGCAGCCCTGTGAGGTGGGCCAGGCTGAGACAGAGTGTGCCTGGCCCAAAGGCACCCATACTGGAGTGGAGGGTTTTGAACCTGGCTCTTCCCAGGCTGCCCCCTCCTTAACTTTGCTTCCACCTCATGCACATCCCAAGGCATCGCCTTGCCCCATGGAGGCGGCAGGAAAAGGCAGGTGGTGCCAGGGTGGCCACTGGAACATCCGTGCTCTGCATTCCTCATCTAAGAACAGGTCTCCTCCAAGGGGGCTCGGGAGACGGCAACAAGGAGGGTGGCCTTGACAGTGGTGGCCCCAGGTAGGTAAGAATCTCCCCAGCCAGGTCCACCCACACAGGCTTCTTCGTGCGGCACTGAGGCCCCCTTCCCTCAGCGAGTGTTGGGGTTTGAACCCTGAATTTTGTTGCTGCTGTCGATTGCTTAAAATCGTATCTCTCTCCCCCGTTCCTATGTGCTGGAGTCTTAAATCCTTGTTAAACACCTGGGGAGCTTTCGGTGTCAAGTGATGCCTACATGGGATAAATGAACCGAAATGTTCTTGTGTTGAGTTCTTGGGCGGGGGGCACGTGGGGGTGTAAGCTCTGAAGGCACGAGGCACTGCGGGAAGGGACCAGCGGCCCATCCCCGGGCTCCGTTCTAGGGACTCTCACTGCATCACAGAGAAGGACAGGAATCCACAGCGGGAAGGGAGGTTGCACCGAATGGGACCCTCGGCCCAGCCCGTGCCAAACTGCCCGTGCAGACGGCAGAAAGGCGCCCCAGAGTATCGGGCCGAATTTCCTGGCCTCCTGGAGAAGCCGGGAAGTAAACTGGGCACCTTCCACGCGCGTGCCCCATGACACACGCTTGGTGTGCTCTAGGCCCTACAGGGCGGTGTTGGTGAGGATCAGTGCGGCTGCCCCCGATTTGGGACTCCCCGGGGGCGATGCGGTGCGGACAGTCGTGACGAGCGCCTGGGCGACACCACCGCTCAGCGGTGCCCGGCTGCGCACCAGCCTGTCTCTGGATGGGCCCCTGGTCGCAGCAAGGGGAGAAGAGACCAGAAGATGCCTCACTTTATCCATCATGGCGAAAATCCGGTCCACCCGCTTCTCTGGTGTGTTCTCTTCTTCAGGAAGCTCCACGGTATTGCCCTGAGGAAAGGAAGGAGAATGAAGCAGTGGCGCCTCTCCTTTCCGCGGGGCTCCTCCCTGGACTGGACGTCTCGTTCCTCCAGAGTCGAGCTCGCCTGCCTCCCTGCAGCTCCCCGGCTTGGCTGCTGCATTCCCAGATTGGATTCCCCAGAGCCCCCCGGCCAAACTCCCACTCAAGCCCAGACCTAAGCTCCCTGGGGCAGAAGCTCTGCACATTCTCCGCTCTGGGCTCTCCAGGGTGGGGTCCTCCAGGCAGCCAGCCCCTCTGGCTTATTATTTGATGCTAAGTCAGCTCGCACAGCCTGGCTCCTCTCCAACTTATCTGCAGAGCAACCTGGGATGGAGGCTCGGCAGAGCACGAGGGACTGGGCCAAAGCCACACCATGAGCTTCCTGGCTGAGGGAGGGCTCGCTCCAGGTGTCCCCGGCCCAACACTAACCTCTATCCCACACTGTCTCATCCAAATAAATAGCAGACTCACCACCATCTGGTAAATAGCATCTACAATATCTAGCATTTCGTTCCGGGTGATGTATCCATCGTTGTCCAGGTCGTACAGTTTAAAGGCCCCTAAAACGACAAGGAGGAAGTCGAGGAGCGTGAGAGGCACAGGCAGGGGCTGGGAAAACGTATTGCTGGTAACAGGGACTGAGCTCAGGCAGACAAACTGCAAGCGTCTGTGAACACACAGTCAGGAAAATGTACAGCATTTCTGTAAAGGAAACAGACCTAGAGTGAGATGAGTTCACAAAGGAGATGGGCTGAGGCAAAAGGCAAAGACGCACGCTCTGAAAATCATGGGATCTGATCGTTCTGGGTTGGCCAGACCTCACCTCACACACAAAGCGAAGGTGCTGAACGAGGGAAATCAGCGTTTGAGCTCAGTGGACGTCCAGCCCGCTTCCAACTGGAAGGGGGCTAATGTGTCCTCCTGTCCCAAGGGTATCCTTTTAATAATTTTTTATTATTTATTTGTTGTTAATAACCTCTAATAATTATCTTGCACGAGGACTGACAAAGGGGGCGAACCCCCAAATCATGGGATTCTGGTGATCACTTACACCGCAGCTTCTCGTCCAAGGTTCCCCGGGAAGTGACCGAAAGGGCCTGGATGAACTCTGAAAACTCAATCCTTCCATCCTGAGAACAGAAAAAGGACTTGATGAGAGCAGAAGCCCCTGAAACACAGCAATTTTCGAAAATGCTCCTGAAAGCCATTTGCTCAAAGCTCAGAGTCCCAACAAAACATTAAAACATTTACACATACGGATACACGCATTTCCTTTTTTCCCTTCTGGGAAAACACCGTTCCGGTTGCTGCTTTCTGTCAATGATTCCCCTGCTTCAATAAATCTAATTTTCTTGTGTCATTTTTGAAAAGGAAAAGGGAGAATTAATCACCAGGGAGAAAGAGAAAGGGCTTTTTCAAAAATAGGAACAGCTATGAAAAATGCAAAGACCTGATTAGCTGCATCTCGTTTTGCTGCAGCTTGTTAGCAAAAAACCCAAACAAACCTTTAATCTGGTCAGAGACATGAAAACCGATGCATCATGCAATTCTTGCCACGGATAATTCTGGAAGCATTTGCTGGTTTAAGGGAATGGGGGGGGGGGCTTGCCCAGCAGCCTTTTTCTAGTTGCATGAAATGTCTCTCGCCCGTCGCTTCCGGCACCTTTCTGCATTTTGCTTAATATCCGTTTCCCAGTAATAACAACAGAGCAAAGAAATAAACCCTGGGGGACGGCAATTTGACACTGCGACAAAGCGAAGGCATGACTATTCCAGCCTCCAGAGGAAAGCTGGGCTCAGAATTATTTTAGAAAGGGGGGGCGGGTTCTCACTGGCAAGCCTATGAACTGTTTGGGGTGGGGAGGGACATGTCATCCTTGGCCCCAAGAGCTGGATTGAGGGGGGGGGGGGACACAAGAGCATCTCACCACCACTCTTCCCTGCTTTAGAAACGCTGCTGTTGCCTCATTATTGCATTTATATCCCCCTTTTCCCTCTTCCGAAGAAGCCAAGGCGGTTTACCGAGCTCCATTCCATCCCCGCAGCCCTGCCAGGCAGCGCAGGCGGAGAGTCCGTGACTGGCCCCAGGCCGCCAGGGAGTTTCACGGCCCATGCAGCCCTGCCAGATTTGCCTCTGCAGAAAGCAAAGTGGGGATCAAATGCTGTGACGGCTACGGAGCATTCACACGTGGCTCATTCCTGTGCTGAACTGGACCCTTCCTGTGCTCCATGCCCAGAGCTGCTCCAGCGTGCAAAGCAGCCGCAATTTGGACCGTGCTGTGCGGGCCGCACCCCGTGGAGAGTGTCTGCTCGGGGGCCCATGCAAGAGAGCTGTGGCCCCCGCAGCAGCCCACCCATGCCAAGGCACGGAGAAACCCCACACACAAAAGTGTGCCGGCACCAATGGATAAACTAGAACGCCGGCATCCGGCACTTTCAAAGCTGCCCGCTGTAGCATCGCCGGCCAAGCGGGAACGCAAGGAGACTTGCCTCTGCTGTCCGGGGGCCAGGCACATTTGAGGGTGCCACAGGCAAGCCTGTCTTGCCCAGCTCGAGCCCTACTGAGACAGCTCCCCGCAGAGGCGGCTGGGGAACAAGGGAGTTGTAGTCCAATGCATCGATCGCAGGAATGAAGCATGTATTCCAACTGGAGTATGACTAAAACAAACATTATGAACTGGCCTCTGGCTACAAAATATTTCTAAAAATAAGAGGGAAGGCTGCTGCCGTGGCCAGCTTCCACCCCGAGGTCCCGGTGCTGATGTGGGTCCTTTGAGCCACAGTCTGCATCACCTGCTTTCTCTGGGTGACCATTCTGGAACCCCTGGCCTAAGCAGTCCTCGACTGCAGCGCAATGGTTTTGCCATTTTGAGCCATTTTGCCATTTTGAGGTCCCTGTTTTGAGCCTTGGCAGCATCTCCTCAAAGGACAGGAAAAGCTGTTCTCCAGGAGAACCGCTGCTGCCTGTCTGTGCTGACAGTATGGGGCTGGATGGACCTGGGGCCTGAGTATACAAGGCATCTTCCAGCATTCCCAAGCCTTTGGCTGGGGGTCACACTCCAGTTGCATACACAATCTCCCCTCCACACACACGTGCGCACACGCCAGAGTGTGCTGGGAGAGGAGGTCTGCACCTCCACTCACCCGCTGCTCTCTGAATTTCTGGGGGAAGCTAGGCAGAGATGTGGAGGTGAACACCTGTCCCGGCGGCCAGGTTCAACCTGCAGGCAATCCTCACGGCTGCCCCGTCCCCAGGGAGAGGCCAGACCGACCCCACTGCTGGCACCTCCACCTGGGAGAGGCCTTTCGTAAAACGAATGGGCAAGCTTATGTCCTGCAACGGCAGAGGGCTGGACTCGATGGCTCTTGCGGCCCCTTCCAACTCTGCCATTCTATGATTCTATGAAATGGGTCTGAGCCGCCCGCTCCAGCACAGGCTACCCCTACCCCAAAATGTATCGCACTACACTGGGGAGAAACGGATTGCTGCTGGAAAGGTTATTTTTGCTCCCAGTGACTGTGAGGAGTGTAGCTAAGCTGAGCCAGGACAGGGTGGCAGAGACCGGCAGCATCGCTGCAGATAAGCAGGTCCTGGAGCTTGGCCCCAGCCGCCCCGGTTCCACCACCCACGCCTGCTGTGCCAGCTTGCTCCTGGGACTTGAGACCCGGTGCCGGTGCGTGCGTCTGGGGCTCAGGAACACGCGTGAGAGTTTTGCTCTCCATTGGGAGCTGGCCTCTGAAAACTAAACAGGTCCTCATGGACCCGCCATCCCGGAATGGCTTTGGGTCCCCACCACGATCCTACCGCCTTGCTTCCCTCTCTCGGGGGCAGGATCAGGGCAGGTGGGAAACGGTTTCGCCTTCTGGCCCCAGGAAAAGGGGCAAGGGAGAGGGTGGCTCATACCCCTTTGGGGGGAAGTGGGTGGGACTCGGAGGGGAAAAGCAAAGCACAGAAAGCACAAGCAAGTTGGGGGGAAGGTGCATTTACTTTGTTTTCATCAAAGACATTAAAGACGAAGGTTGCAAACTTGGTGGGGTCACCAAAGGGGAAAAATTGCTTGTAGATCTTTTGAAACCCTGCCGCATCCAGTTGTCCACTGGGGCAGTCCTTGATAAAACCTTTGTACCTGAGAAAGAGAGAGAGAAAGAGACAGGAGATGAATTTGGTGTAGGTTTGAAATGTCTGTAAGGCTATGAAGGATTCCTCCAGAGCTCAGAAAAAGCAGAGAACTCGGGAGTGAATTTGGAGAGCCTTTTTGCGCTACCGGGCACATTGGAGAGGAGTCACGGACACGCTCACAAAATGGCTGCCACGGGGGGCAGGGCTTCATCTTTGGCTGCTATGGTGGGCGTGGCCTACCAAAGAGCATGCCTCTCTGGGGAGACTCAGACAAGCCGCTTGCGCAAGGGCCAAAGCCTGAGAACACTCTTTGGAACTGGACTGCTAAGGACTGCCAGAGGCTGCCTTCCTCCTGCGTCAGACCTCTGCTCTATGCAGGCGGCACCGCCAACTCGGCCTGGCAGCCGTGGGTTCCAGGCAGAATCATTTCCTCACCCCACCTTGAGAAGCTGACAATCCAGCCTGAGACACTCTGCATGCAAGTCAGTCATTCTTATTACAAACAAGGCCACGATTCTGCAGCCGCAACAGTGGGCAGAGGCCCGTCTCACAAGCAATATGACACACGCTAACCCATCTCCAGGGAAGGACCAAGAGCAATGCAGCAACAAACAGAGGAAGGCAAGTTGCTGGCCCTCACTATGTTTGGTAGTAGTGAATTCTGTGTAGTGATGGCCAGCATCTTGGCTTTAAAAGAGCACTGGAGAAATTTATGGCCGATGATGTTTCTAGTCCTCATGGCTGTATATTACCTTGAGAATGGAACGGACCAATGGAAGATTCAGGACAGACACGGAAATCAGTTCCGTGACCTCACTGGGTTCTGGTACTTGAGAGAGGGAGAGCAAGATCTCCATCCACTTTCTCTGCATCCGGCATCATTTCTGGGCTTCCTTTGGGCCGCCCTCGCTTGCTTTTTCTCCGGGTGATGGATTCCCGGCCACTGTGACCTCTCCACACCGAGAGTTGCTCCAGGCTCAATTTGCTTCCCGCGTTCGGCTCCTTTTCCAACTGGGCACAAAGCGCGCCAGGGATCAATCTCTTGTCAACGCGTGTTGGGGGTGAACAGGACCAGATGGTCAAAATATTTACTGACTGGGCCCTTCCCGCTCTGCCTGTTATTTCTGATTTAGGTAACACAGCAGCCGGTGTTAAAATAATATTTACAGGAAAGGAGACCTTGACGAATGTTCCAGCTGTCATGGTGAAAATCTGGCTTACCTTTCCAGGGCGCAGATGGGCAGATGGGATGAAGCGGCCTGGTGGGAACGCCCTGCGGGAAGGGTGACCCCACAGATTCCTCTTGCCTAGTTCTCCATATAAGCTCAGCTGCAGGGAAAAGGGCAGCCCTGGACACGCATCCCCCACGCTGGTGCTGAGGAGGCCACGCCGGTCCATGTGGGTTTTGTCAAACCCATTCGGCCCACACCGCTACGATTGTCAGGCACTTTCTGTTTCATCGCCGTCTTGCTGACGAATCCGTTTCAGTTGCCCATATTTGTGTTTCTGAAAACGCACCACCCAAGCGCCCTGCCAAGTGTGCATTTTCACACTTCCGTCTGGGCGGCGCTGGGGGAGGGGGCCATGCGCTGCCTCGCTTTCCCCTTGTGTCGTATTTTGCTATGGCTCAATCTGCAGGGCCCCAGGAGGGCCCCCAAAAGACACACTAGTTAGTGGTGACAGCGATCGGTGAGACGCATGAGAGAAGTGTGGAGTGGGGACAGTGATGCGCAGTGGTTAGACTGTGCGATGGGACGCTGCTCCTGCCCACTGTGACGCTCACAGGTGACTTAGGGCTAGCTGTGACCTCTTAGCCTGACCTCCCTCAGGGGGGCCTTGTGTGGGTAAAATGGAGAGGAGGACCATGCAGTTGCCTTGGGTTCCTTGGTCCAGCCACGGCAGTATCAGAAACTGCCTTACACTGAAGCAGATCTTCAGTCAGGGGAGGGCAGTATGACCAGCACTGAGTGGCAGCAGCAGCTCCCCAGGGTACAAGCTGGTGCTTTTCCAGCTCTCTCTGCCCGTGCTGTTGGGGGTCAACCTTCTTGTTGCAAGGCAGAGGCTCTACTTCCAAGCTACAGCCAATCTACTTCAAAACAAAGCAAAGATTCTAGCCCTCATGGTTCTGAGGAAGGGGCTCTCTTAAAGCAGATCATAGGAAGCTGCCTTGTCTTGAGTCAGTCCCCAGTCTCTCCAGCCAGGACTGCTGGCACTGACCAACAGCAGCAGCTCTCCAGGGCCGTAGTCAGGAATTTTGCAAGGCCTTCCTGGAGAAGCTGCCAGGATCGACCTGGCGACCTTTTGCATGCAGAGCAGGTCCCACCTGTGTGACCAGCACTGCCGAAGAGGAGAAAGCAGCAACCCTTCATTTGCGCAGAGATCTGGCTGAACGATATCACTTAAAATCCCAGACCCCCCAAGTCTAGTCTTCCTCCTCCCTCTCCATTCCCCTTTTCTTTTGTGCTGCATCTTAGACTGTAATCCTGTAGCAGAGCCTGCCTGATTTCTGAATTATGCAAGCTGCTTTGACAGTCTGCAGCTGAACAGTGGGGAAACATGCTAATCATCATCATCAGTTATTAAAAGAAAGTTTCGGTGTTTTGTTCAAGAGCTAACCAAGCTTTTGCATTAACCTCACACTGAAAATACAAACTGTCAGCAAGCAAAGAGATCAAAGTATGTGTAATGATAAACTGTTTACAATTGGTTTGTATCCTCAATTTTTAAAGTTAAATAACTCAATGCCCTGTGTTCTCATCTCCTCTTCCCTAGAGTTAGATTAACAACTTTAATGGTGCCGTGCTTTGCAAAATAATCTGTTCCTCCAATACCAAGCTTTGCTTAAAGGGGAAGCTCCATCTGATGCCAAGAGGAAGGACATCAAGGCCCAAAATCCTCAAATCTGAGCACAGTGGCACCCCGATAGGACGAGAACTGTATCCTCCCACTCTGGGCATCTAACTGGGAGAAGTCTCTCTCCCAGTAGCTGCAGGGAATTTAATCTGCATTTAAGAGTCAGCTAAAACCCTACCAGCAGATAAAAGAATATCCAAGCAGCATCTCTCAGATCCTGGGGAGATTCTCTGGGGAAAGCTCTCCCCACATAGCTGTTTCGGAAGGTATTTGGCTGCCCACTGCTGGAAGCAGGATGCTGGGCAGAGTGTTCCTGATGTGTTAAAGCAAGCCCCCTTTCACAGCCTTTTCCCCTGGGGGTCTGGCTTGCCAGACGGCAGCCACACAATGGGGATGAGATGCCGGCAAGGACGAGCGGCGCTTATCTTTCCACTCAGGTATTCTGGGCACGGATTCCTTCCTGGACAGCCTCCCGAGACATCATCCTGATCTGTGCCGGCTGGAGCAGCCCACAGCAGCGGCGCCCATCAGCACGGCCGGCGGTGGCGCAGCAGACGTGGAACCGTGTGTCGCCGTGCTCTGTGACGCCGCAGCGGCTCTTGCTGCAGCACAGATGGCAGCTCAGGCCAGGCCAGGCCAGGCCAGGCCAGGCCGGCAGAAGGCGTGTGCACGCAGGCCGTGCTGGCAAAGCTGCGGGACGCGAGCAAGCAGAGGTGCTTCGGCTGCACAGGTTGCAAGGAGGGAGGCCACCTCCCTTACCGGAAAAGCAAGGAGGCGAGCTCACCGTGGGGGGCAGGGGGCAGGAGGTGGCCTTCCAGCCAGTCCTGCGCCCATCAGAGGTTTGCACTGAAAGGCAGAGGCCACCACAGGAGGGGCTTAGATGTTGCTTCACTGCCATCTCTTGCGTGCCGTTCTGGGCCCCTCATCGCAGGAGGGATATAGCCAGGTTGGAATCGGTGCAGCGAAGGGCCACTAGGATGGGGGCCGGTTTGCAGGGGAAGCCGTGTGAGGCGAGACTGAGGGAACTGGGTCTCTTCAGCCTGGAGAAGAGGAGACTCCGAGGGGATCTGTTGGCGACATGCAGGTATGTGAGGGGATGTCACACGGAGGTGGGTAGAGGCCTGTTCTCCCCTGCAGAGGAAGGCAGGATGTGCTTCAACAGAGCCAAGCTCAGGGAACCAAGGTTCCATTCGGATGCCAGGAAGCACTTCCTGACAGTCAGGACCCCGAGGGTGTGGATTGGGCTTCCACAGGAGGTGGTGGAGGCCCCATCGGTGAGGGGTTCAAGGACAGGCTGGACATGCAGGGGAGTGGGGGGGAGCAGTGGCCTCTGTGCGATTTTGCAGAAGGCGTGCTGGAAGAACACCCCTGCCTTGCTGCACCCTTGGCCAATGTTTCTCCTCTCCTCTTCCCTCCTCATCCTTTTTCCTCTCCAGTTACGAAAAGTTACTCTGGGACCTCTGGGGGCTGAGAGTGGAATACAGAATAGTGCAAACCGACATGCAAGTTTGCCACCAGAAAGTGCCAGTTCCTTCCCTTTAACTGCTTTGGTCAGTTTGATGGTGTCAAACGCTCAAAAAATACACAGAGAAAGAGGGAGATGAAGGACAATAAATCCACAGAGATTCTCTGTTTTATGGGGGGAGCCCACACAAACTCTTTTACCCAAGGGCCAGAGTTCGTTTTGGGGAAGACTGCAGAGCAGCCTTCCAGCAGCGGGGCAGACAAAACCAGCCGTGCGGAGCAAAAATATTCCAAAGAAGAAAAGCAGCGCGTCCCGCCCTAAAGCTCTTAGCGCCGGGTGCCCGAGGCTTCGCAGGGGCCTTTCAACCTTTTGGGATGGACAGAAAGCGGCACAAAAGCTGGGAAATTTTTGGTTTGTTAGGGGAAGGGATGTGGCCTCCCGGAGAGGCTGGAAGGCCAGACCGGGCCCTGCGGCCTCTGGTTGTGCACCCTCGAGCCGGATTGCTCCAATCTAACATGCGACTGGATGTGCAGCTGGCTCGGCATCTGCCCCACCGTGCAGCTCATGTGGGTCAGCCACCCTGCGCCACTCAGGGGGCTGCATTCGCTCCGGGCCCGGCTCCGGCTCGCCCCTTCGTTCCTTGCACGCTCTCCAAGGCGGCGTCCGATTGTATTTCATACAAGGCAATCATGAAAAACAAACGAAAACAGCAGCACAAAATGTTCAGAGATAGATCAGAATAGATGGAGAGGGAGAGATTCACGAGGAGACGGAGGGAGGGAGAGATTAGGATGAGTGGAAGGAAAGGAAGAAAGGTAGCGGGGCAGGCAGACAGACGAGCTGGAGGAAACGATGGAAGAGATGGAAACAGGGAGGAAAGGAGGGGGGCAGATGGTGATGGATGGATGCGGAGGGGGGAGAGAGCAGAACAGGTTGAACGGGAGGAAAGAGAATACGGGAGGGGTGGAAGCGGAGGGTGGCTGGAAAGAAGCGGGTGCAGGCGCTTTGCCCAGTGCCTCTGGGGAGCCCCAAACACGACAGGAGCTGAGACCCCCTGTACCCACTGGCTAGTCAGAGGGGGGCAGCCGCTGGGCAGAGTGTCCATCTCCAAACATCACTGCCACTAGGGCCTGCTGGACAGGACCAAAGACTCACTGGGCCCGGCCACCCGGTTCCCAGAACGGCCAACCAAATCACCCAGACCGTCCCTTGCAAAGGCATCAAAGCCGGAGAATTCCAAAAAGCAGGGGCCAAGCGGAGATGGAAACAGAGCGGAGGAATCAGTCCAGCCCGGCCTGCCCCACACAGCAAACGCCCCTTCCCCCACAGCACACGCTGCCAGCTGATTCCCACCCCCTCCTGGAACCATTCCCTGGAAGGAAAGGTGTGAAGGAACGGAACATTTGCACGGATCCATTCAGCTCAGCCTGCTATCTGGCCGGCTACCCAGAAAAACGGCTCGTGGGTGGATTTTTTAAAAAAGCGTAATTTTATGATGATGATGTTTTCCTTTTCAAAAAGAAGGAACGGGGTGTTTATTCTTCAGTGACTAATAGAATATTCCGTTGCTCGATCCGCAACAACGGAGGCTTGCTGGTGCCTAAGTGAGTGCGTTTGCCTCCACGTTTGGAGCATGAGGCAGACCCAGAGAGCTGCGGTGTGGGGCCTCAGCCCCGGATGCTCTTTGTGACCACCCCCACAGGCCGTGCCCCCACCCTGGAGAGCCCAAAACCGCAGCCGATCCGGATCAACAAGCCAGCTTCAGCAGCTTCCATCTGCCCCAGTGGCAGCCCCTTGGTAAAGTGAGCGTTCAAGATCAAAACACCTTTCAGGATACCAGGGGACAATGTATCCTCCCCAGGACCATCCGCTTCCTTCCAGCTGAAGTGGGAAAAGCAGCCAAGCGCCAAGGGAAGTTGCTCGTGACCCTGAGCTATAGAGACCTCTGTGCTGTGTCCCGGTGGACCTGGCCTCCTCCACGCCACTGCCTGTCCGAGCAGCTCTAGCTGCAAAGGCCCCCCAGGCCTGGCAGTGAAGCCAGACATCCCCAGACAGACAGGCGCATTCTGCAATCGTCTGCCAGCACGGCCCCCGTTCCTCTACCCCCGAGCATGCATTAGTTGTCCTTTCTACCAACATCTTTAGCTACCTTTCATGCCAGAGAGATTTTCTGCACATCTGCTCAGGGGGGTCCCCATGCCAATTAACCCACTCCCCAACAAAAGCCAAAGAAGGAAGCGTCTCTGGATAAAGAATAGGGTTCAAAGCAAGAAAAGAAGAGGAATATTTTTGCTGTTTGGAGAAGTTTGTGTTCCTTTTTGCCAATGGCTCCAGGGCGGGTGCTATCTCTCCTTGATAAGGACCGGCCTCTTTCCACAAAGAGCCAACTTTTCTTGACTTCATGTGCGCCCCGGAGGGCTTTCACCTTTGACTAACCAGGTGGGGTGAGGCAAAACCAGGGTGGATAAAAATCAATGATTAATAATAATAATTATTATTATTATTGGATTTTAAAAATTTAAATAAGATTTTTATTTCAATTGGATTTTTTATTTAAATCAGTTTTTTTATTTAAATTGGATTTTTAAAATAAAATGCTCTGAGGAAAAATCTATCTAAAGATAGTGTTGTGTTTAAGATACATGATAGTCCAAAGGTTATTCATCATGAAATAACAATTAGTTTTTAATTAGGTAGCATAAGGCTGAATATTCATGCAATGTTTAGATTTTTTGGTAAATGAATTCCATTAATCCATTCACAATGCCACGCTCTTCCAGAAGCTTCTGTAAGGTTATTGGGCAATTTCTCTATCTGGAAGATATAATCACAGATGCTTGGTTTTACAGTTCCCAAAGCTGTGAATTTGTGTCTGCAGCGATCTCATGCCTCTTCTTCACAGCAAAAATGTTATAATATAAACACACAGAGTTGAGAAAAGGACCTGACTCCCATTGTTCCTTTGCAAATCATTTATGCATAATCATCCCTGTGCCTCTTAAGTGTTGAGTTTCAAAAAATTCAATGGATAGAAGATTATCTGGAGCGGAAGATGGTCTGCAAGAGAAGCCAAGTGTCAGGAGGGAGGGGCAAACCATAAAAACGAAAGTGCAACCTTTTGAGCCCAGTACTGGGTAAGACACTATCCTTGAATCACTTTGGATCTTTTTGTGTCTAGCCTGAGGGTTATACTACATATTATTCCTTCCCTAGAAGAGAAAACCTTTCATGGCAGCAGGCCGTAAAAGAGACCAGTATGGGAATATTTTAATGCAGTTCTTTTACATATGGATAAGGCAGGCAGGCAGGCAGGCAGGCAGGCAAGCAAATTATGGAGAAAACCATGATTTAAATCTAGCCTTAATGTCTAGTGATTTAAATCATGATTGGGTCTCAGGATCGGTGGGGGGGGACGGAGGTGGCCGGAGCTGCGCATGGGGAGAGACATTTCGACTGACAAAGCAACCATAAAAGAACCAACCTCCACTGCTGCACGGATCAGGGCCTCCTCCGGATGGGGAAGGCCATGCCTGGGCCCCTCCCCACACTCAACTGAACCTGCCCTTCCCTTCCCCTCTCGTCTCCCCTCCTTACTTTCATTCTGCTTTCCAGCTGTCAAATCTCCCCAAGCCACAAGTTCCCAGATTTCGCTCCTCCGGAAGCGAAACCGCTGAGAAAACGGCTGCACAGAAGGTGCAAGCGGGACGCCCCCAGCACACTGGACTGTTTGTAAAAGTTGCCACCATGTTTAAATTGTGTCTTGAGTGGATATTTTGAGTGCTTTTTCTAAACCAGCTGCAATCCTTTTAATGCATCAGGGCACAAGAACCCCCGGAGGAGCACAGGCTCCCGATCATCTCTGGTCTGATATTTTGGGGCATCCCAGCACACAGCTGCACGCACGCACGCGAGAGAGAGAGAGAGAGAGAGAGAGAGAGAGAGAGAGAGAGAGAGAGAGAGAGAGAGAGAGATATCCACTGGTTACTCACCACTGCTGTACTTCCTTCTCTGTAACTGCAAAAGAAGAAAAGGACAAGGGTTCAAGCGTGCCTGCACAGCAGCTGCATTGCAACGCTGAATGCCTAGGCCCGGGTCGCGTGTTCAGGCTCGCCGCTGCCCCCCCAGACCCCCGTGTTCCCCCCGATCCTCCCCCACATCTGCTGGGAGGGACGTGAATTTCCCCGGCCAGAGGCGGGTTTCGGCGTCCTGTGGGTGTTTGTGGGGCAGCCGGTCTCAAAGGAGCAATTCAGGAGCACGGGGAAAGGGAGCCTCACAGCAGAGGAGCTCTGGCCGGGGCACAGTCCCCCCCTGACATGCACGAGATCCCGCAGGGCGTGCCAAGAGTGCCACTGGCCTGCTGAGACAAAAAGGAGGAGGCTCCGCAATCGGGGAGGGGCAGCTTCAAGGGCTCAGGAGCTGCATTTTCCACAGGAAGGAGAAAAGACCCTCTCTCACCCCGAAGAAGTCTAAGGAGCACCTTTCATTCCCACCCAAAAAGAAAGCAAAATGGAAAACCGGGGTGGCAGCAGGAGAGCGCATCTTGGGTGGAGGCAGGTCGTGGCAGTTTGTTGCAAACCCCTCGGCATCTCTGACGGCCACTCGGGTGCAAGATTTATTGTCTGGCAGCAAAAGCCCCCAGGAAGGAAACACACAGGTGAGCCAGCCCGGCACTCTTCTCACTGATGATGCCACGACCTTGGGAAGCAACTTCAGCACAAGCGTCCAAAGCGATGTGGGTCCATGTTTCTTCATCCACGCACTTCAAGGTGGAGAATCGGCTTTCCAGCCCATTTGTCCCCCTCTTTTCACTCTCACAACAACCTTGCCAGGTGGGTGATGCTCACACCCTGTGGCGTGTCCAAGTGGCTCTCCCAGGTCTTCTGGCCCTCTCTTAGAAGCAAAAACACACTATCTCCTGGGCAAGACCTGCCACCAAAATTTCCTGCTGCCTACCTGGGCCCTAGGAAGGCAGAATCAGGGAACTTCTGACCTGCAGGTCAAATCCGTTCTCTTAGAAATTTGAAATGGTGCCAGTAGCTTAATAAGCCTGTTTGCATCATACAATAAATCTTTTTGTTCCTTCGATTTTTGTGTGACAGCCGTGAGGTCTGCATTCCACTTCTACGCTCCGAAAAATAGGACTCCAGACCAAGAGTTACGGCCTGCAAAAGAGTTTCCTCATTCAGCTGCTCCCGACATGTCTGTTTGCAGCGTGAAAACATACTGGTGCGGGGACATGGCGAGGCCCAGGGCTGCTGCCCCTGCAGTGCCCGGAGGAAGGATGCCGGCTGCCCCCTGGGCTGTCCAGAGCACACTCGGCCGTGCCCCCGTGCCCCGGTTCCAGCCTGACCAGCAGCAGAGTTGTCCTGGTGCTGCGGCCGCCTTGGCTGGTGGGCAGCATCAGCACATGGGGAGCCGATCCGCCAATGTTTTGAGTCCCCCTCCGCCGGCCTCCAGCTCCTACTCCCCGAGTAGGACTCCCTCTGTCCTCAGAGGCTCACCATGATCACCGTGGCCCTCAGAACGCCTCTCCTCGCCCATCAGCTTGGCCAGGCCTTCCATAAGGAAGCCTCAGCTTGCCGGAGCAAAGCAGGGGCCGGCCCTGGGAAGGATGGCGTGTGGGGGCGGGGGGGCCACGTTCTCCAACACGGCTGCCCCAGCATGACTCTAGATCCTGCCCAGGATATGCCATGCCTCGGGCTAAAGACCCAGGTCTCTTCACCCAACAAAGTCATGAAGCTTCCCAGCATCAGAAGCCACGGTGCTTTGATTCGCACCAGGGCTGGGGCAAACCAGGGTGACTCCCCTTGGAACCATGGTTGGAAGGAGGTTTGCAACCCAGGCTTAGCAGGGACCCACTGCATGGCTTCATGCCAGGAAGAGGAAGGCGAGTATCTCTTGGGGGCAGGAGCAGAGCGTTGCCTCCCATGGCACAACCATGGTTTGCGTGGACTCCACGCTGCACCGCTTCCTTTCTCCATCTCACGACTCACTGTGAGCCGAGTGTGCAGGGCAGCTCTTTCGGGTCCCTTCGATGTTGCCTGCTTTTCATTCCTCCTATTTTCATCGGGTGCTTCGGAGCAGTTCCGCTCCCCTCCCGCCCCCAGCCAGGTTTTGATGAATAAGTCACACAGGGCCAAGAATTTCTGCACACACCACCTCTGTCCCTCTTTTTTACACGACTATTTTTATTCCTTCCCTGCAAGCCTCCATTCAATGGTTGTACAAGCAGGGAGATATCTCGCCCTCTGGCCGCCTACGCCTTCCTCAAATGGTGCCGGACTACAACTCCCAGAAACCCTCAGCAGGGGATTCGAACTCACATCTCTGCAGCCCACACCCAACACTTTCACGCAGCTAGGACTTTAAGAAAGAAGATTGGCACAGGCCCTCGCATGAGGGGCTGTGTGGCAAAAAGAAACTGGCACTCCCCTGACACAACCGCTCCGGGACCGAAAGAGCCAACGCCCCTTCCTTCCGCTTCCCATTGTCAGCTCCAGGTGCCGGGGCCGCCGAGAAGCCCCTTCCTCCGGGAGCCGCCTTCTCTCCCAGTGGCCACCTTGCCTGGTTTCCCTCCCTGGCCCCTCCATGCTTGCTTGACAGGCAGGGACCCTGTGGGCACAGCCCGCCAGGGTTGCTCGTGAGCGGACCCCTGCGGGAGTGTGGGCCCCGGGGAGCACCCGGCTATGCCAGCGCTTGATGCCATCCCTGCAGCTTCCGGCGCAGCCTCTGCCGCACCTTCCGTCCCGCCAGCTCCCCAAGAGCCCATCATTCCCCCGCTGCAGTCGCGTCCCTTCGAGCAGAGCGCTTGGGCTTCTTCCGACGAGTCGGCGTGGGCAGTCCCTCCCCTCTCGCTGCAGAGACCTTTATCGGCACGGCTTAATCGATACGCTGTCAGTGCAGCACTGAGATAATGAGATGCGAGAAAAACGGAGAGAAGTTCTGAGACAGGAACGGCTGTTGGAGGCTTTCCCGTAATCGCATTCACAAAGCAGCATTCCCGCAATGTGAGGCAGGCAGAGGCGCCTGCTTACACTGAGGAAGGCCCTAGGAATACAGCGCCCATCATTTTCATGCCATGGATGACCATGCCCATCATCCACCAGCCTGCTAGACCAAGAGCATTCTGGCCCTGATTTGGCTCCTATGGATGCCAGGACTGCCTCATCCCCAAGGCACTTTCCGGCCGTCCAGCCTGCGGGCCCGCCAGTCCACGGGTGCCACTGCATGGTTCCCCTCAGCTGAATTGCCCTGCAAGGGGCAATTTCCAAGGAGATTGCAGCTGGGGTGGGTCCCCCCCCCCCCCGTGCCACAATAGCACCTCCCCCGTCTGCTCTCACGGCAATGAAGCACAGAAGAAGCACACACTTCCCAGTGTTGCCAAGGGAAGCGTTGCCCATCTCAACCGCTGGGAAGTGTGTCAGAATCTGTCCTGAGAGCCATACAGGTCACCCCGTTTGTGCACACCTGTTCACACAAGAATTAGAACAGATCTGTGATGCTTTGGGGTGGTTGTGGGGAAAGCACAAAGGACATCATCAAACCCGAAATAAACCCCAGCAGCTACTTCTGGAGTCGCATCACTACTTCTCAATCCCACGGGCCCTCAAGCGGCTGCTCTGGTGGGCGGGCGAGTCACAGCACCCACTTCCTGGAAGGCAAACAGGCGAAACTAGAAGGGAGCAGCCCAGGAACTGATGTCTTCCTGGGTGTTCAAGGATAGGCTGGACGTCCACATGGTGGGCATGTCGTGAGCGGAGCCAGCTGGTGCCGGAGGTCAGACTAGATGGCCCGGGAGACCCCTTCTGACTCGCTCTGTTTCTATGTTTCTTCGGCAGAAGTGAGTCCTGTAGCCCCCAAACACAAATCCTCTTGTTGGAAGCCAAATGAAGTTGGCGCTGGAAGCTGGCCTTTTCCTTTGCACACGTCAGCCTCCTTGCGTAGGAAACCCCCTGCTATTTTTAATTGAGACATAAAATAACCATTGGAAGGCACAAAGGGTCTGACATACTGAGAGGGGCTTTTGTGGGCAGACAGGGGGCTCTGGCTGCTCTGTTCTCTCGCACGGGGCTCTAAGAGTCTTGTCCACGCCAGTCTGGAAGGGGACATCCCACCGCTCTGGCAGGTTTTGGAGCCTGTCCTTGTCCAGTTCCCAGTGGAGCGGAGCCATCCCACCCGTCTCTCACGGTCCAAAGCCCCCAAGTGCATAAAGCTGGTGGGCGAATCCATTGCAGAGAGACCGCAACGAGCCTGAAATCAATCAGTATTTGTGCATTGCGTGGCGTGAGGTGCAGGAAGAGAGGGGAGGGCGAGAGATGTGGGGGCAGATCCTTTAATCCAGGCAGCTATCACGGCAGAGACGGACCGGGAGCCGGCAAAGCGCGCAGCTGAGGGCAGAAGGACAAAAAACGCATTAGCGGCGTAACGGATGGGCTCCTGCGAGCGGCAGAGGGAATCTTTGGCGGTGGAGGTGTCCGGCTTGCAGGGGCTCCGCATGCTGGCCGAGGGAAAGAGTCGTCCCCACCCCTTCCCTCGCCTGTTCCGAGCCATCGATGCTGGACCTGACCCAGGGAGCGGCCCGTTTCATCATAATTTCCAGCCTGAGATGGAGCCAGAGGGGAAGGCGGGAGTCTCTCTCCCTCCTGGATCTGGAAAATCTCCATTCTGCTTTCCGCCAACAGAAAGACAGGTGTGTTCACGGCAGCCTGCAATGCCCCCCTGCCACGGTCCGACACAGCGGTGCAGAGCCTATTTCAGTCCGAGGGTCAAACTCTACCGAGGAGAAGCTCTCGGGGGCCACATACTGGCGGCGAGCAGGAGCCGAAGGCAAAGGGGACGGGGCCAAATTGCAGAAAATACGAGTGCGTTGCAGTTTAACACTCTAACTGCCAGGAAACCACCTCCAGAGAGGCATTTCCACCTTTTACGATCAGAGGAGCTGCACAAAAACTAGGAAAGCACGAAAGAAGCAGTGGCCAGGTGGGAGGGGAGCTAGAGAAAGGATGCAGCCTTCTGGGGAACCAGAGCAGATTCGCCAAATTCACACCGAGATTTGCAAATCTCCTCCAGTCTGTTTCTGGGCCTGGGTTAAAATGCTGGTATTAATTTGCATAGCCCTGCACAGCTTAGTCAGGTTACCTGAAGAATCACTTCCTTCCATGCACACCTGCCTAGATCGAAGATCATCCTCAGGAAACCTCCCCTGAGGGCTGCTACCAAATAGCTGGCTAGTAAGAACAGAGTCTTTTTAGTGGTGACACCATGGATGTGGAATGTCCTAAAGAGGCTAGTCTGTCATGCCCATGGGTCATGGATCTTTTTAGCATCAAAGGCTTTAAAAGGCTTTGTAGTACTGCATGTATGTGAGCTTAAAGTGCATTTGAAAATACCTACACTATGGCTGTCTTTTTTTGTTTGTTTAATCTGATGTGTGTGTGTTGTTCTGACCTTGTATGCTCTTTATATTATGCTTGAATTATGTTATTGAATTCTGTGGTTTTGAAATCTCATTTTGTGAACTGCCTGGAGAGTTTTGGCTGGAGGGCAGTTTAGAAAGACAATAACCGCACAAAGTATTGTTTATTCACAGCGAATGCACTGGCCAGGGGTGTGCAGCCCTCTTTCTGCCCACCCAACATGGAGGTACCCTTCTGTGCTGGTTTATCTCCTGCCAGAAACATTTATGCTGCAGAGGCAGGTCCTCGAAACGACTGCTCCTTTATCATACCTTAAGTTCCAGAAGGAAGAGAAAATCAAAGGGCAAACCATTTTCTGCTGCGGTTTTAAAAAGATATTAAAGATGTCACCTGCACTCTCCCCAGCATTCTGATCATCACTGAAGCACACAATTCTTACACCAGGATTAAAACTGGAGGCCACGGTTAGGGATGTGAGAGAACGTCATTTCTTTTTGCAGTGAGTGCCTTTTGTGGGAAAAGTTCACACATTCCTCAGCTTGTGACGCTCATCCACAAAAACTTTAGGAAAATGTGCAGGTCAAAGGAAATGCTCACCTCCACAGTTTGGCCAATGAGAAGGGGACACGTCCAGCCGAGTACCCAAAGGCATACTTTCCCCATCTGAATGGAATGCCTGTGCGCACAATCAGGAATGGGGATGAGGTGGGCCCAGCTATGGACAGAGGGGAGCTTGAAGACCTCCATTCTCTAGCCATTTCTTCCTTACAAATTCTGCACTACAAAGGGGCAGGCAAGAGCACCCCAAAGGGAGGGGCAGACCTCCCAGGGCACAGCAGGAGAGCCTGATGTGGGCAAGCCACCAAGTAACTCCCTTGGGCAGAAGGCCCCGTAGTGCCCTATTTGGGGCCCAGAAAACAGCTCTCCCATTTTCATCTGGCTCCGTGGTTGAGCCCTGGAGGTATCTCCGTCTCCCCATCCTCACAGAAGTCCTGGGGTTAAAAAAAAATCAGGCAGGCCCTTTAACAATCCAGGGAGCTCCTCCATCCACATTGCAGGTCTTGTCTGGCTTTATAAGGCTTCAACTTCAGCTGGCTTCAGCTCCCTGCTGAGCCAACATCTGCCTTTTGTCTGCACCAGAGCGGGACCCACCTGGACCTACCCAGGGAGGTTTCTGGGCAGCATCCGATACATTAAAAAGAGATTCAAACTCAAAAGCAAAATGCTGAAGCAAAGCTGGGGAAAACCAGCAGCAGCGAATAAACCCACCTCTGCACATAAAACCAAATTAAAACCAGCAGCCGGGTGAAGCATTAACAAGCACTAGGAACTGCTCCTGTAATGAGCCGCAACGCTGAAGCCAAATGGGTGGATGTGCCCCAGAAGTAAAAGCCTCTTTCTAAAAAGAGGCAGGTGCAATGGTCCGGAAAATATTAGATATAAAAATATTTCAAGTTGCTCTGCAGTGGGGAGGCACTGCAGCAGAGCGACTGAATGTGTGGCTTGCGCGTTGAGGGTCCTGTGTCCAACAGCTGATCTTCTTCTACTCCAAAGAATCAGGTGGAAAATGACGGGAAGGCTTCTGCCAGGCAAGTTGGAGCTCCGTCTCCAATGTGGTGCCCACAGACTCCTCTCCCGGGGCCTGCCAGTGTCCTCGTGCCTCTGGAGATCCCTTATTTTCAACTTCAGGGTATTTGTTTTTCAAACTGGGAGGTCAGCCAGAGTGGCACCTGCAAACTGGTCCGCCATCTTTATCCAGGTTCCAATTCTGTGTTCTGCAGCTCACTCCCCATCGCTGCCTTGGACCTCCGGTTTCTTTTTGCCTCCCATTTTGCCTTCTAGGAAAGGACCACCATGGCAGCCATTTACCAATGGCCAAAGCAACCTCAGAGTAGCCATTATGTGATCATACCCCGTGCCCCTCCATCAAAATTGCCTGCAGACCCCAAAAATGGGTAGGGAAGGTTTTTAGAAACAGAGCGAGTCAGAAGGGGCCTGCTGGGCCATCTAGTCTGACTCCAGCTCCAGCCGGCTTCGCTCACGACATGCCCACCCTGTGCATGTCCAAGAGGGTCTTTGGAGAGCCCTGTGGGTCGAGGTTGACCGGATGGCAGTTTCAGGCCACAATCTATGTTCAGTCAGGAGGACAAGGTTGATGGATTGCTTTGAACAACGAAAGAGGAACGCTCAGCTGGGCAACCTCGGTTTCCTTCTGGCTTCAGCTCCGCCCATCTCTGGCACGTGGCCCGGGGACTTCTCCAGAAAGGAATCTGGCCCCAGGTGAAAGAGGCTCCGCACTTCTGGGACAAAGCACTTACTCTTTAAAATTTCCCAGGATCCACTACTTTGAAAGCTGGACAAGGGCAAACTAGGTGAGCAGCCCTGGCAACTCCCCAGGGAGGTCTGGAATTGGCTGGCAGTCCTGTTCACACGCCCCAACATTATTTTGTGGATTCCCAATGAATGTGTTTGCACAACATGCAGCCTTTACTGAATTTTAACAATGTGGTTTTCAGGTATGGACTTGAAAGAGAAGTGTAGCACAGATTAAGATGCACGTTAAATATTTCTGCACAGGCCGCCAAATCCTGCAAGCCTGGCCTACCAGTCACACTCCAAGAAGCACAGATATGATCGACTTCAGGTCAGTCAGCCCAGGAAATGGGAACTTTTAGCAATGATCTACTTTACACAAACACTCGTGTTAGAGTTGCAAAGCCTGAAACCAAACTCTTGAAAACAGAAACTCCTCGCCGACTCCTAATTTTGAAGCAGAAAGTTGATGCCCATTTGAGAAACGGCATCCTAGCAATGATTGAAATTAGGTTTCTGTAAAAATTTATATTTTTGCTCTGGTGGTTTCCACTCATAAAAGTTGTAACTACTTTGGTTAAACATTAAAAGCGCAGAAAAGTAACAACTCATTCAAGCCTAGATTTCCCTGAGGCCACCTGGGCTGCACAATTAGTAAATACAAGGCCTGTACGTGTGCTGCTTCATGCAAAGGAAGGAGGAGCCTCCATGCACCCAGAAATCTAGCCTGTCAGTGGCTGGAGGAACCTAACCTGGCTTTCTTCTTGACCTGCTAGATTTCTGTGTGCAGGGCAATAGCTTTAGTTAATAGCTGGAGGGGGCTCAGCCACTTCAAAGTGGTACACCCCAGATAGAAATTTACTGCCCCTGCTAGGAAATTCGGCTTTCACGTCAACTCAGCCGTCTGCCCAGGCTCAAACCTGCCTGCCAAAATCCAGACCTAACTCAAATAGGGGAATTTCCTCCGGGCTCCTCTCCAGGAACCATCTGCTGCCAAGCCAGGATTATATGGCAAGGGAAATGCGGGCAGAGGGACCTCATATTCGGGCCACTGCATATTCTGGCACCCCCTGGAAAGCATTGCCGTAATTCAGTGGGTGGAAAATATGGCCAGGGCGGAGCCCCAAAGGGCTGGGATGCCATTGGCCCCACCAGCCTGCAGCCTCGAGGGGGACTTGCCGCAAGCAGGATCAGGGCCCCAGGGCTTCTATGGCACCGGATCCCCGAGGGGGTCGGCCGGCTTTTGGCGCCCTGCTCCTCCCCTCCTGGCCATTCTGTCTTTGCAAGCTTTAAGTCTCTTGAAGATGAACTGAGGCCCTTTTGGAGAAAGGCACGGGACCTTCCTAATCGAGACGATGACAATACGAAGCCGGGCTCCATCAGCAGATTTTGGGAAGCCTGTGAAGATGGCTCCAGCAGGCGGCAGATTTTGGCACCCTTCAAAAGCAGCTAAAAGTTCATTGTTCAGTGCATTGTCGTATTTTTAACCCGGGGTGGGGCAGAGGGCGAATTGGGAATCCTGCCAAGACGGCGGCAGAGCTAGCCCGCCCCCTCGTCTCCGCTCTGTCCTCTCCAGCTGGTGCCACCTCTCTGCCACCCCACTTTTTTCATCCTTTGTGACTGATCTAATTGGCAGCGTTCACACTAGCTGAGCTCTTGGGCCAAAGCCAGGCTCAGGACTAATTCTGGGTTGTCAGTCCCTTGTGCCAGCATAGAATTTTGCCTGGAATACAAAGTCCTCTGTCTGAGGCTCTGAGCTGCCCTGTG